GATCTGTCCAGCCCCAGGCCCGCGGGAGCCGGCGCGTTCAGCCCGGAGCTGCTCCGTGGGCAGGAGCGAGGGCTGTAGTGGGGCAGGAGTGCGCGGGGGGACAGGCAACGGCACCCCCAAAAAGTACTGCGTGGATAGCTGCTGAACTCCAAAAAATAGAGGCGCTGGCACGTGAAACTTACCTAGTGCAGGGAAATAAGCTCCCAGCTGTTTGGGCAGTTTAAATACTTTTTTTTTTTTTTTAAATAACTTCCTACCTGTTTTTTTTCTCTTCTCCCATTCCCTGTCCTTAGGCCATGGCCATGTTGCCTTTTGCGTTTTTTTTTTTCTTTTTAAACACTTATCTTTTGTTCATGTATGTGACATTTTCCACAGGCGAGGAGAGAGAACCCATTGGCTCTAGATAATTCTGTTCATAATGTTCCTAAAGGGTGTCACAAGTGGCAACATAGTTCAGCATCAGTGCTTTTTGTTCTAACATCTTCTTGCTCTGGGGTTATGCTTCAGGTTGGTGACTCTTTAGCAGGGAGAGAATTCTGAATACAAATGCATGAATATCTTTGAATGCCTTTTCTTGATATTCACAGGTTTTCTGTAGATTCTGGTAACTGAGCAGTGAATTGGCAATATTAGCATAATGTGCTATAGAATTTCACATCTGTTCCAAACTTCCTATGTGTATTTGCCATCAATGGCACACTTTAAAACAGCTTTGTGTTTTAATATATATATATTTTTTCTCTCTGAAGGTAGTGAAAAAGAAAATATCAAGATGAGTAAAAAGCCTCCAAATCGTCCTGGAATCACATTTGAGATTGGTGCTCGCTTGGAGGCACTGGACTACTTACAAAAATGGTATGGAAGACACTGCTGTATTTGCTAAGAACAAAATATTTTTTTGTGTGTTGTAAGTTATGTCGTCTGATTATAAAACTGAGTAATTGTGTTTCACATATAGACTTTGAGAGTCCAAATATTAAATCTTTCTAAATGATTAGATTTTAGGAAAATATTTTTCAGAAGTCAAACAAAACTTTTCTGTACTTTTTTTTTTCTCCATTCCTTGTGCATTCATATTAAGCAGAAGGCATTTTCAGATTAGCATAGGATGTGGTGCCATGTACTAAGACTATCAGATGCGTTAATGTGGCAAGCTTCAGCGGCCAGAGACCACTTTTAATTCAGTCTGGAGGTGTATTCAGTGTATTGTGTTCAGTAATCACAGTTGGCAGGTATACAAAACTGGCATTTTGGAAAACATGCTTAATCAGTGTTCCTTAAATAGGTAAGTATGATACTGTTTTTATTGAACAGTTGAAGAAATTAAGAGCTTAAAACTGTGACTCTCCTTCAGCCAGGCATATCGTGATTAAGTCAAGATTATAAGATGCAAATCTGTGGGCACAAGGATTATGTTGCAGCAGATACATTGTGAAATGAGTTGTTCTTTTGAAAGATGAATTCTTAGTCAAGATTTAGTTAATACAAATGGATGTGTTCCATGTGTGCTGGCCATGTGGTTTCAGTTTGGGGAAAAAAAAAAGGCTTTTTAAAAGGTGGATGATAGAGGGACTTGGTAGTTTTCTTCATTTCGTAGCTCTTATCGGTGATTGGTTAGGACTTGACAGTGTAAAAATTTTTGTTGTGTTCTTACAGAACTGAGCATTTCCTGGTTCGAGTCAAGGTCTGGTCTTGCTAACCCCAAGTTATGTGTTAGGCAGACTACATATGTTTATTCAAAATTTCTTGCTCTGTAGAAAAAGTGAAAACAAAGCTTTTAACCCAACTTTTTACCAGTTTTGCTTTCATTTTAATCATAATAAATGTTTGTTTTAGTAAGCAGGCCCTTCAAGGAAAATATGATTTAAAGAGTGCTTCTTATTTATTACTGTAGAGAGAACTTTTAACTTGCTTTAAGTGAATGCCAGGATAATCAAAACATCTGAATAATGCTTCAAAATTTTAGTAATTGACTTAAAGGATACTTAAAGGATCTCCTGTGACTAAAGATAACTGGTTAATATTATAAGCAAACAAAATTTAATATGTAAAAACTTATTTGGCTTAATTATAATGCAGAGCAAGATCACTGTATCCGGTAGGTATTTTCTTTGGATTCATCCAGTTTTTCCAAAGGTCACCTGTCAGTTCTGGAGTACCTGTCTAGATTGGACCGTGTTGCAAATTGCCTAGCCGAGTACTTGGTATTTTCAGGCAGAATAGCATGTATTCTGAACTTTTCAGGAACTAACTTGTCAGCTGGATCACCAGTAGAAAAGGTTGACTTTATGTGAGTGTAGACTTCTGTGATATTCTATATAAGAGCAGGAAGTTAATATTAAAATATGACAGTTCCAGCAGTATCCAAAACAAGCCTCTTAGAAATGAAACGGATAAAGTAGTATTCACGTAAATAACCACAATGCTTGTTAGAGAAAGTCTAGAATAAGCCTGTTATTTTTCTTGGCGTTCTAGCTGTTGCACAAGGGTGTGGCAGATTTTTAAAAAAATTATTTCTATATACAAGCAGTGTGCATTCCCCTTAGCTGCCTGCAGTAGAACATACTCCAAAGAAAAGTTGCCTAACTTACATGAAATCTCTTTATTATGTTTCTAACAAAGCAAAAGTTGAAGAACAGTAATATTGCTTAACTTTCCTTCTGCAATCAGCTGAGAAGATTTGCTCAGAAATAGTTTCTAAAAGGATTTTCATTTTTTCCATTATCTGAGGACTTGCTGTTTAAGCAGTGATTATGTGACAAATTATGTGACATAATGAACTTTAATCAATATGTGCTTCTAGAAAAATGACATCTAGTAAAATGCTGCCAGCTGCTTTTTGCTTTCTGCTTTTCTAGATTTTCTACAGTGTAGTAGTTACTGAAATGCATCTCATGAAGCTTACTCTTCTGTTAGATTGACTCCTTATATTTTGGATAGGATATTGTGTACCTACACTCTTTTAGTTGAAGAAAACATTGCTCTTTAATGACGAATTTTTGGCATGCAGTGCGTGGGTCACTAGCGTCATTTCATTTGTACAAATACGTAACAGAAAAACCATGGTCAGATCAGCGAGGAGAGCCCATCAAACAGAATGCTTATTTTTGGTGGTGTTTTCTTTCATTGTGGAGGTTACTGCACTTATTTCTTGTAAAATGAAAAACATAATGTATTGTTGCAAGGGAGATCCTCTAACATATGTTTATACCACTTGTTAAATTTAAACTTTGCCAAAATGTAGTGTGAAACTTATATTCTATTCAGTTCTATTCAAAATCCATCTGATCATCTGTCATCAGATAGTAGGTAACATGGAATTGACTGATAAAAGAAAATTATTAAATAAAAGATGCTCAGAGGCCTGGAGCACGTGCCCAGTGAGAAGAGGCTGAGGGAACTGGGTTTCCTCAGCTTGAAGAAAAGGTTTTTGGGGGGAACCCAGTAGCACCTACAAGGAGGTAGTCTGGAAGATGTAGCCAAGCACTTCAGTGCTGTTTCAATTTACGCCTGCTGTCTTTTCTCTTCCCACCATGCAGGGGAGATTCAGGCTAGGAACAAGGAGAAACTTGGGAGTGGGAGGTTGGACTGCAGGCTTCCTGAGGTCCCTTGCACATACACGCCCCCCACGCTGTCAGTAATGACACAAATGAGTATTTGAAGTGTTGAAACAGCAGTAAAACTGCACATATCTGCAAGTATATGCACATTTACAAGGTTGATTCTTAAGCTGCTGCCTCCCAGATATATGTCATATAGTTTGTATAAAATCGATGCGTTTCTGAACTTACTTAAAGGTACATCTCTTTCACTATTGCTGTTTTTAGCTCTACTGGTTGTCCCATAGAAAACCCTTATAATGTGCCAGCTAGATACTACTTTGAAAACATGATTATTCTGCTTATGGATTTTTATAATTGATTATGAAAACAAAGGCAATAAATTACGTGCAACAGTAATTTTGCAGTTGTGCGATGGAAACAGTTTACTCGACTAAGTTTCTTTTTTTTTCCTTAGTATGGAGGAGATATTTGCTAAATCTTCTTCCGTGTAAGATTTTAGGAAATACTGTTTTGTATAGTCTTTGTTTTGAATTACAGTTGATTGACAGACTGATATTTGAAAGGAGGATTGTGGAAACTATGCTTTCTATTGATAATAAGAATGCTAAAGGTGGGGAGGTAGAAATAAATGCTTGCAGAGCTTGCAAATACGGGAAGACTTTACAGAGGTGTCAGAATGAATGCATTTAGCATTACATCCTCTGAGATGGAAGGAAAGACTTTATTGTGAACTCAGGAAATGTGTGACTTTCTGGATTTTCTGTAGGTGTGGCCCTATACCTACAGGCATATTGCATAGTGTTTTTGCATCTGTTTTTCCATCTTTTAAAAAGGTGCTTTCCTGCTTCATGGTGTAATTCATTGACAACTTTTCAAAGGTCAAATAGAAGCACTGAATTTTAAAAATGCCAAGTATTTTCTTGTGTCCTTTAATATCTCTTGACTAGACTGGAAAAGTAGATGTTTGTAGATGTTTTACCATGAAAAAACAAAAACTATGATGTATGATGGTTACCCGTTAACTTTTCCTCTTTGAATATGATTGTCTGACCAATGCTGCCTCACTTATGCGTGCTCTGTGGGTTTTGCAGCTTTACGAATAATTCTTGTAGGTTGGAATCACTGGAACTTGAAAATGGAGAGTATGTTTTATATAAATTAAGCAGCTATCAGCTAACAATTTTTCCGCTCTCTAAAAGTGATTCGCGTTTTGAGTGAGGCTTTGGGATTATTACATTTATTTTGCAGCATGCTTGCAGACTATTAGCATTAAAAAACAAACAAAAAGGTTATTGGTCCTTCTCACTGAAAGAATAATTACATTACTGAGCAGGAGCGTCATGGTTTTTTCTTTTCCCTCCCCCTCCTCCTGTAAAAAAGATAAAGACCTTTTTCTCAATCATCAAAAAAGTATTTTTGTCAGATTGCCCTTTTATAACTTATGCTAGAGGAATCTTGGAAAATCTTAGTGTGGGGTAGAGGATAATAACCTTACTAGTAGGTAGCTTGCCTTTAGACATCGTCACACTTCAGTAGTATAAAGCAAGTTTAGATTCCCCTTTGTAATACTTCTTTGTAATGCCTACCTATAGTTTTGCAACTGATATTAACTGAATGTGTTAATATAATTTATCTTCTCTATCAGACCTAACTATTTTCATACTGCTCTTTTTCCACTAGAAAAAAAGTCAACATTGGTTGCTTGGACTCAGCAAAAGCTTTAGTATACATAGCATGAGTTATCAAAGCCCGTTAGTGCAGCTCTGCATAGAAATTTAGTTATTCCTTCAAAACTAACAGAAGAACCTGCTAAATTCTAATGAAGAAATCTGAGTAGAATGCAAAATGTTTTTGAATTTTAATGAGATGAACAAATATTTTCCAATAAAGAAAAGTAAGACTTTTGTCATTTCTGCATACATTGCTACTAGAGTTCTTAAAACTTCAATATCAATTTTATTTTATTCCTTTTTTTTTGTTTTATTGATAGGAAATGCATACTTCCCTTTCAAAAATGTGTAAAACATTGCAATTCATGAATTTTCTTTCAGTAAAAGTACAAAAACAGTAGTAATGAAAGAATGTTTCTATGCAATGTAAAATTTGTAGTATTAAGTTCTTCAGTATGCATGTAAATATTAAAACCTATTCTCTTCTTTTGTACTGTGGGAGTAGTATTGTAAAATATTGCTCTTTATACAGATTTGTGGCATGCTTTCTGGCTAAATTTAGTGAATAATATCTGGTTGCTAAATCTATACAAAGTAGTTTTTGGTTTACTTACAACCAGTCATATATAGCCTGGGTGTTTAAGAGATTAGCTAGTCTTCCATTTCTAAAGATTGAAGATGAATGCAGCTTTTGGTTTTATTCATCTTGCAACCACTGCACAGCTGGTCAGCTTAACATATATTTAAGAAGTATAACGACTTATTGCAATAAAACTGGATTATAATGATGACATGATTCTTATAAGATTTAGCTTTGTAAATTTTTAAAGCAAATTGATTCAGAGAAACTGTCAGAGAAATAAACCACTAAATCCTTGGTGGTGTTTTTGCATAGTTCTGCTGAATGATCTCTAATGAGACTAAATACTTTGCATCTTCTATTAATTGATGCTAGGTTTCTTCTTCATTTTCTTTTTAAATATATTAATGACCTGATAAGTGTCTTGCTGATTTTTCCTTAGTGTGCTTATCTTTGTTGGCTATAAGCTATAATCTGTATTCCTCTTCCCCGCTTTCCCTGGCTTTCTCTTTTTGAGGCTTTGTGTCCTTTTTTTCTTCTTCTGCATGCAGTGCTTGGAATGCTGATTTTATTGCTGATGACCAGATGACTAAGCCTACCAGCTATACAACAATAAAAATGTAGTGAGGGAGCAGTTCTAAGACAGCGTGTGGTAGGCACGTTACCCCTTAGGTGCCTGGAAAAGATGTCCCACGTCTGACATCCCTGAATTCTGTAAAGTAGCCATAGTTTTACATCACCTTCTTCCTGGTCTCCAATTAACTTGAGTTTTCCTCTGCTAAGGAGAAAGAGCTTAGGAGAAAATGCTAAGGAGAAAAGCTCCTGTTTTGGATTGTTGCAAAGTAGAACCTCCTGTTCTCTTGCATTTCTAGTATTTTTCCCTCCTTCAGTCTGTCAGACGCTTCCTATATTCTTTACTACCGGTCAGAACTCTTTCAAGTAATGTTGAACTCATATGTTTCCTTTATTAACAGTAAATCAACTTTTTCCTCTGCTTGGCTACTCGTTCTGCTTTTTCTGACCTGTGGAGTATAGTTTTAAGAAGCTTGAAATCAGAAGACTTGGGAAGACCAACAAACTAATATATTTGATTAAATTCTTAAGAGCAGTGGCCCAAAAACTCTTTAAGAAGAAAGTGTCATTTGTTGCTTAGGTAGAAACATTCCTTGGTTCACTTCTACTTTTTTGAAACCTTGCTCAAAATTAATAAACCAGGGTCTTGATAACAGGATTTTGGTTTTGATTTTCAATTTTCTTTTCTGCTTTGTTACAAGGTATCATCCTTTTCACTCTCCTCATTTGATTTTTGTTGTTGTCAGACCCCTTTGGAGGTATTAAGGGATCACTCTTGTTGCTTCTCTGAAAAGTCTAGTGGAGCTCTTCGAAAAAACCTCAGCTCCTCAGGTTCAAACTGCAGAGTCTCCATTGCCAGCCTGTCAAAAACTTTTTAAAGTTAAATTAAAAGAAGTTAGGAATGTAAGGAATGGCTGTGAAAATGTTCTACATTTCTGAAATGTACGGATGAGAAAAGTACAACGAGAGGTTGTGGTAGCAACCTAGTAGGTTAGGGAGTGTTTTTTCTCCTTCTGCCACTCTAAGTCCAAGATATTTCAGTGTGAGGAAATTCTACATAGTGCTGCTCCTGAAGAAGCAGGACTAGAAAATGAGTAGAGTGAAGGAGCAAGTTGAGTCTGTGGCACCTTTTTGTTTTAACATCCTTTTCCCAGTAGTGACCAGGAAAGAAGGAAAACCTGTGCTGCTTGAACTGTATTTTAAACAGAAAGTGGTATTAAAAATTCCTTTGTCAGGAAGCTGGGCATTCTAAAGAGAAAATATTTCCAAAATAGAAAATACTTACTGAATTCCCATATATGTCAATAGGATTCCTGACTAATAGGATATGTGGTAGGCCTGGATGTTGGCACACCAAGCTCTGCTCCCTATTACTGCTCAGCAGTGGCATTTTGGTGGAAGAAAGTGATGCTGATTAGCAAAATCGTACTTTTATTGTGATACTTCTCAATATGTTTTATTAATTTTTGGCCATCTATAATCTCTATTCCATCATTATTTGTGTTTGGACATCATATTTGGAGTAATGAAACTAAACTGGAATTGGCATCTGAACTGGAGACAGTTCGATAATCTAATTTACATTTTTATAGGAGATTTTGTGCCTTTGGGTCTGTTGTAATACTCTTAAGGGGAACGAGCTGAATTTTGCATTATTCCAGTTTTCTATGCACTTTATAGCATGAAGTAGCATGGCAAAAATAGTTCATGCCTTGCTGCGTTACTACCATTCTGTGAAACAATTCTCTATTTTGGGACAAATGGTAAGACTGAATAATAATAATTGAAGATAAATTTGCCATTTTTCCTGTGTGATCTTAAATTTTATATATAAACTACAAGATTTTTTGAATCCATATTATATCCTTGCCACACTTACAAAGTTGAATACCTAAGATTTCTTCTGTTTTCATCTCGATTCTGAGTGTATATAGTGTTTGTGAAAGTAAAGTGTGTGTGTTGATAGGCATATTTATTGCAGTTACAAAGAGGACTGCTAAATGTAAGAACTGTGAATCAGATTTAATGGCAATGAAATCACTGAAGATGATCTTTAAATTAGTAAGTGTCTTATATTGTGTGGGAATGTTCAAGCGACTTGTTTTGATTAGATGCTTCGGTTTGTCTGAAATCAGTGGAACAGTTTAGTGAAACATTTCATATGCTAAAGGTAATGAATGTACTTATAAAACTAGCTGATTTCACTAGCTGATTTCCTACCCATCCCTAAGCAACGAAAATTTCTGATATTTTTCTTTTAAATAAACATGAGCTTTAAAAAAAACAGCTAAGCTCCAACTTCTGTTATCAATTTCAGGCTTAGTCTTGCAGTTTCAGGTTTATGGCTGTATACAATCACCTATGATGAAGTCAATATCTCAGTGACGTGCAGGTGTCTTTTGAACCAAAAGTTATCCTGTTCGTTATCCAAGTTTATTAATCTTTTTTCAATCTTGGGAATTTCTATGGACAAAGGGTTAATATAACTTTTTGAATGGTCATATAAATGCTGTTGTATCAAAAAGAAAAAAAGAAAAAGAAAACCTGGATAAAAGTTTTTGAATTTATCAGTTTGTTGTTTTTATCATCTAAGGTATCCATCTCGTATTGAGAAGATAGACTATGAAGAAGGGAAGATGTTGGTCCATTTTGAACGCTGGAGTCATCGCTATGATGAGTGGATTTACTGGGATAGCAATAGGTTGCGACCCTTGGAGCGACCAGCATTAAGGAAAGAAGGGTTGAAAGATGATGAAGAATTTGTTGTAAGTGGCACGTTTATTTGGCTTTGGCTTTTTTTTTTTTTTTTTGTAAGATGTTAGATATGTTTTCCTTCAGTAAATCTTTCTAGTGCATAATGATTAAGTCTTTTTTAGGAAAAATCTGAACATTTAACGTATTAATAACTAAAATTGTTTAAAACAGGATTTTAAACCTGGAGAAGAAGTCCTAGCTCGTTGGACTGACTGTCGGTATTATCCTGCAAAGATTGAAGCGATTAATAAAGAGGGTATGTATTGTTATATGATCCATATGTAAGGACTGTTTGCATATTATATGCTGTAGTCCACTTTAAATGGGGCATGTGTATAAAACTTCATTTATCTTCAATGTACTACTGAAAATGTTTGTTTTACCAGATTTAGTACGATATTTGATCTTTTATCTGTATGAAATTAAAAACCTAGAATGTCTCCTAGAAGATAAAACACAGAATGTTTCCTCAGTGATAACAAAAATATCCTTTGAGTAGTGTTATTAATATTTTACATAGCGTTGATGATTTAAATCCAGCAGAGTTGAACCAATTTTTCCTAATTGTTTTAGGAAATAATAGTGTTTTTAAATTCTGTTGGTTGTAGAATAATAACATAAATCTAGAACTAAAAACTTGATTTAGATGCAATACTTCACAGTGATGTTTTAATGGGCATTAATGAATTTTAACTTTTCAGTGTAGTTTAAACCAAATGAGCATTTAGTTGTGAACTAATTTTTTCTTTGTAGTGATAGGTTGAATGCTGCATCAATCAGGCTGTAAATAAAAGCGACATGGTAGCTTAAACTTAGAATTACACAAGTGGACAAAATGTGACAAGCAGGATTTTTTTTAATTTTTCTTAAAATTCTTGATCCTGCATGTAGTTAACACTGACTTGCTTTGCTCATATAGCCTATGAAACATTATTGTAAGCAGAGTGGTGAGTTATACTTCTTTCTTAACCACTTGTAGTGATTACATCAATTATTTTGCAGGAACGTTCACTGTGCAGTTCTATGACGGTGTTATTCGGTGTCTTAAGAGGATGCACATCAAATCTATGCCAGAGGATGCAAAAGGGCAGGTAAGAATATTAGGTATCATTTTGTTAATTCTTACTGATTTTTGTAATATCTTAAATCTTGAAAGCTAGTAAAAATATCATCTAGCATTACTAGTTTTAGATTAGTCTTTTTATTCTGGGTGCTTCACTGTCTTGCTTCACCTTTTTTATTGTTGATGCTTATGATGCCTTGGAGTGTGCGCTGCTCCAGTAACGTTGCCTCTCTCTGATATGTCTAGATGCTGTACACTGCTGACTAATTTCTCCCAGATTTGTGTCTTGTGGAGGCCATGAGCATAGGGGCATCCAGACACTTTTTTCTTTTGTTGCCTTTGAGGAAAAAGCATTTAGTTTCCCAGTGTCTGTGCTGCTGATTTATCTCCCTCCCCCTCAATCTTGACATGTTTCAGTGATAGACTTTTTTGCCCACATGTTTTTAACACCACTGTTCTCCTCCCCGCCCCCCCCCTTTTTTTTTTTTTTTTTTTTTGCCTCTCCCCTTTATCCCATTTAAGGGTTCAGACAGGTAAATATTCCCTCTGGTAATGTCCTTGTTGCTCTGTTGACAACAATCTGCTGAATAGATGTGGATGCAGACTGTGAAATAGTAGATGATTATATTCAAAACAAAAAACAACAACAAAAAAAAAGCCAAAGTCAAAACCAGTTACATGCTTTCTGTGAAAATTAGGGGGGCTATTTTGCATGATAACTGTATTTTCATAATTAATGAGAAATAACTCTACTGAAACTGCTCAAAACTCACATGTAAGAAATGTGAAAAGACTATTGTTATTGTTGCAGATTTTCTTTGGGATGAGCAAAGTTCAGATATTTCACAATTACAGTTGCAGTAACCCATATTTGGCTCACACGACAAGCGCAGATGGAGACAAGAACTATATAGAAAACTGTTCTGTATCCTGGCCTCCCCTTCCACATTGAAGGTGGTTGTATATGAGGATAGATCTTCTAAGCCCTGGAACACTGTGCAGTGTTTAAACCACCTTTCCTCAGACAGACTAAAACTGAAGCCTGTATTCGGGCTACCTCTGGCTTCTTGCTGCAGTGTAGCAAAAATTCTGTTAAATCAGTGTGTAGTATTTCAATTAATATTTTTCTTATGACAGTAAGTTAGGAAACTAGAGCATTTCCTTTGACTTCCCGAAAAGGAAAATCTGGTAAATGTGTTTGCAGCTGGGCTAAAACAACCTTTCTGTATTAACGTGAAGAAGTCCCTTTCTCCTAGTCCTGTGCTTTTTCTAGACAGCCATTCTGTGTCTAGCCCTGAGTTGTTGCTTTTAGACCACAGGCATTTTCAGCTTAAAATGTAAAAATAGATTCAGTTTCTTACAGATGCTGGGTAGCTACCATGTTGATACCCAGATATGCTGGGTGGCAGCCCAGCTCATCTTAGAATCCCCGATTTTCTTTTGTGGTTGAGAATGATGGCATCAGGATAATGCACTTCAGTGGCTGAATGTAGGTAGCTTCAGTGAAGTTCTGAGAAAGAAAGAATGGGCCAAACTTAACACTTCTTGTCATAGATTTATATTTTCAAGGCTCTCTTGCAGCAATAGGAGTGCCAGATATGCTTCCTGCCACACTAATTAATATTATACTTGATATTTCATTGTGAAAAATTAGAGATAGACACACAGTTCTGTAGCTTTCAGAGAGAAAGCTCCTCTTCTGCAACATCTGCTACGTCATTATGCTACGGCAAAAATATTTGCCTTTCAAAATACTTTTGTGACTTTAATAATAATATAATTTAAGATTTTGTTTGAAAATCAGTTATTTGAAACTGAGATTGGTTTAAGCCAAAGCCTCAAACTGAAATGAATGTTTTGAGGTTTATACCTTTTTCTTCTATGTGAACACATTTATTAGAAATGATTTACAGCCCAAAAAAGCCAAGAATATAATTTGATATGAGAAAGTGCAGTTGGCAGATCTGACATTTCATGCCTAGCTCTGAACCTACAGCTTATTTCTGTCTTTTTCCAAAGGAGAATAAATTAAGAGACATGCCTTAAGTTTAAGAAATTCTTTAAAATGTAGAATATTAGCAAGCTCTAAGCAAGGTCTATTTTGGAAGTTATGTGCTAATTGTACAGAACCTTCATAACTCTGAAGAGGGATATAGACTTAGTTCTTTGTTAATGAATATTAGCGGTAGAAAATACTTATAAACAAACATGTAAAAATGAATTTTTATACAAGCATTAATATTACAGTTCTCAGTCTTACTAAAATAAAGTGTGTGACTGACTGCATCTGACCAAGAGAGCAAGAGCAGTGATTATGGCCTCCAATGTGGCACACATTAGACTATTTATATTAGGCACATTTATTTTGTCAATAAATGTAATGATACTAACAACAATTTGAGTTTACTGTGTCTTAAGGGGATTTTAGACGCTAACATTCAAACTCAATTTTTGAGTTGCAGATCTGTTTTTATAAGCCTCAGCTGTTGAGGGTGGAAAGCAAAAAATTCTAAGAATGAAAATACTTGTGTAGTTCAATGAACAGAGACTACGGGCTGTGTCTCTGCGGGAAGCTCAAATTAATTGAAATAACACAGAAATATGGCTAAAGTAGTGCAGAGGGAAAATGAAAGACGGGGATATTGAGACTGCCCTTGTTAGAGCACATATGAAGTATTCAGATAACTTAATTTTTCTGTTTCATGTTTTTTGTTTTATCTTCGATGTAATTAGGCGCGCGAGAGGGAGCAGATAGCGCCGGAGCTGAGATTAGTGACGGAAATCGAACCAAAAGAAGTGAGTTTTGAGGAGGGTTTTGAAGGAGAGGGAGGGGACTTGGCACCCAGGAAGAGGAAGCTGAGGAAAAAGCGTGGATTTACGATGGGGACAGAGGGAAAAAGAAGATATGACAGGAAGCCATGTGAGCCAAGATGTAGGTGGGACAGACTGCTTAGACCTGAAAGGTGAGAGTGAGGAGTCCAGCCTTGATTAGGCATCAGACAGTCAATAGGTTGGTGGTGCTCTGCGTATGTGTGTGCATGAGTGTGTGAGAGCTGGGAGCTGTGGAGTGTCAGGAGAGGAAAAACAGCCGGAGCGGTGGCACCACAGAGGTGCAAAGAGGTGGTGGTGGTTGTAGGTTGGTGAATGATGTATGTGAAATCTGCAACTGGCACAAGGGCTGGCATTTAGAAACGATCCTGTTCTTGCCTTTCTGCTGTTGTGGGTTTAAGCTAATGCAATGGAGTATTTTAAAATAAAAGTTTTTTGTTTTTTTTTTTAGTTTGCTAATTAATGTATAAGGGTGTTGGATTGCTACTACTAATTTTTTGATTGTGCAATTTCCTGTGCTTTGGTTTAGTAAATCTAATAAACAAGGTAATCTTTTTTCAGAGTAATCATAAGGTAAAAGTTTGTCTTTTAACTGCAGTATCCTGTAACTTTTTTCCTGCCAATTTTCTTTCCTTACTTAAAAGATGTACCTTAGGAGTGGAAAAGGAGAAATACAACTTTTAAAAAGTTACCTAGACAAGGGAGAACGTTCACTGTGGTGAGATTCTGTGGGAAAGGAGGAAATCGAGTTGGATGTGAGCCTTTTGAAGAATTAAATACCATAGCTGCTAAAGAGCTGAAGTTGGAGCACTAGAGAGAAGTAGGGGAAACTTATCTTAGGAGAAATAAAATTTCTTCCTTCATAATGTGCTCCTGTTTTGGTCCTGAGCTTTGGGTTTACCGAACATACATGGAAAAAAAAAAAAACTGCTGTTCAAGATCTATGAATAGTTTATGCAATAACTGTGATAATATCCTACTACTGTACTTGACAGAGTAGGTACCTTCAGCCCTAGCTGAAGAGAGATTGCAGTTTTCTCTCTGATTTAGTTTCCCTCTTTCCTAGCTTCTCCCTTTTTTTGTTTAAACTTTCTAACAATTCTTATTTTTTTTTTAAAAAAAGTAGGAATGCATCTTTAAAAGAATCACCTTTTTTTGAAGTAGCAACTTCTGAATCCCCCAGAAGATGGGTGATCACCTCATAGCATCCCAGATGTTTAGATAGTTCTCGCAGGTGATATTCTGTGCAGCTGAATAGCTGCTCAGCAGGATTTCAGAGTTAAAAAGCAGAAATTGTCATTTATGTGTTTCTGCTCAGCCAGTCTAAAAATGGACCCCAATATTTTTCCAGCCATTTCTCTTCACTGAGTTTATTTTTTTTAAAGATAATGTAAGAGAAAAAGCATAACTGTCACCATAAATAACACCTCTTTGCTGTGGCTTCTCAGTGTTTAACCTTGTTTCATTTTTGTGTGTCCTGCCACCCTTTGTAAGTGCCATGTGTTAAGTAACCAAATACTGAAAATAAAAACTTGTGTTGCACAATAACAGTTACAGTTAACCCAGGATACTTAGCTCAGTGTGTCCCTTAAAGCTTGAAATCCTCCTTGGAAGCTGGCTTCAAGGTGCCTGTCCTGACTGACAGTGGAAAAGCTGTTAAGCTGCTTTGCTGCTGGCTGCACTTTCTCTTCTCCCTACTCCTACATGATCCAAGCTCCAGCAACATTACGGATCCTCTTCAGCCCTTGGACAGAGCACACTACAACCCTATCACCAGGTCTCCTGTCTGCCCACCAACATGCTCAGTCTTTTTTTCACCTGCTAGATGGGAAGGGCTCTGGATGCACTGGAGTTACGGTGTGCTCTCGTTGGCCAAGCAAGAGGTTGGCTCTGCATCTAGCAGTTAGATGGGTTCTTCGTGGCTGGCATGGCACCAAATAGCTTTGGGAGCTGCCTTTTGTGCAGCCCTTCCCAAAACCCTTCCAAACTGTTTTCCTACCAGCCAACCTAGGCATAAGCATTTTGCTTTGACAGTATGGACATGAAACACTTTACCTTAGAGGAACTAAGACTGTTATTTATTGATTTTTTTTTTGAAGTGCATTAGTTGGACACCATATCAACTATATGCTTTACACAAAGCAGTGAATTATTTATTGAGCTTTGTAAAATGAAAAGCATAATACAGGAAAAAGTAACAGTTGTATAACTTGTGTTATGCTGCTCTTGTACATCCAAAGAAACCCCAGTAGAACTGAAATTTGAAAGATTTATAGAATGTGGTTCTGGTATGAAACACCCAAAGTACTTTTGTTTTTATAAATGTTATCTTATATGATAACATAGCAGTGAGGAAACAGGCCAGGGTAAAATATGGTTTCATGTTGAAAAGGAATTTTTAAAGTATTCACACAAAAAAACAGACAATTGGAGTTCTTATTGTAGCGGTTGTTTTTATATTTGGCTAAACAAACCTAACATACTCTTGGAGCCAAATCTCTGTAGTAAGCTAATTGTTCTTCAAAAACACTTTCAGATATTTAGTACTTACTGCTGGATTGTAAACGTTGCTCTTGGTTAGATTTGGTTGATCCCTGACACTTGGGAGACATCAGATCTAATGGAAGGAGCTTGGCTCGGCTTTTGGAGGTGTTTAGCTCTCTCCTTCTGTATAGAGTAACCAGAGGCTTCATTTACATTTCTAAGGTTAGATGAATTTATCTCTAATTTCTCCTCTTTATTCCCTGGATGATCGTATATGGTCAAATTAACCATTTTTTAAATGGTACTCCTTAATCGCCTTAAATGTATTTTGTAAAAATCCAACTGTGTTGGAGAGCTTTATAAAAAATATTAAATAAGATGTGGAAGATAAAATACAAAAAGAATGTTACCTGTAGTTGTTGCCAAAAAAAAAAAAAAAAAAGGTGTAATTATAAAAGCTTTGTCAGTGCTTTATGAATCTAATTCAGAAGAGCTCTGTCCCTATATCATGCGGTTTTCTGGACTACGTTTAAGGCTTATTGTCCTTTTGAATAACAGTTAAAGGTGAGCCACAGTACAATTGATGTATGGCACAGCTGGGAAGGCAGTAACCTCAGTGGTTTGGTTGGGTTTGGTAGCTCTTGACTTTCTAAATCTGTAAGATGTAAAAGAAGCTGTAAGGGAACTAGTGCAGCTAGAATTCTGTATCCAGTGTCCTTCTGAACCTTTTTTTTTTTTTTTTCTTGCTCTTTATCCACATAGCATACGGATAATACTTCAAATCTATATAGGCAATTTGGGGGCATGATTTTGCTTTTTCTAGAGTACTAGCTATAAAATTACATCCAACTGCTTTGGAACACTTCTAGATGAAGTTCACTGGGTTTATAAATATATTGTATTTGAGTTTCAACCTTCTTTTTAATATTTACTTTTTTTCCTTCTTGGAGGATTGGATAGCTTTGGTCAAAGCTGCTGCAGCAGCAGCAGCCAAGAACAAAGCAGGAAGTAAACCTAGAACCAGCGCAAACAGCAATAAAGATAAAGAGGAAAGAAAGTGGCTAAAAGTTCCTTCAAAAAAGGAAGAAACCTCAACCTCTACAATCATGCAGGAAGTCCAAAAAAAGGAAGAGGAACCTACATCTAGTGACACATTTGGTAAAAACAAATTCTATAAGGGATGAAATAGCATTGTTAATTGATTAGTAAGCTAGCTAAGTGCTCTTAGTCATATAAGAAACTTTTTTCTTTTGCCTTTTTGCAAAACTTCTGTCCACCTCTAAGAATAAAATGTAGGTTTTTGAATGACACTGTGTTCTGGTTCCAATACCTGGATCTTTTGTTAACTGTGAGATACTCCTAGAGATTGTTAAAGATAACTTTTCCAATGGGAATGATAATTCAGCAGTAGCTGAGACTTTTTCAAGGTCGATTAAAAATGTGTTCGTTTTAAGTCTGTTACTGTACCTCTCATAATACTGAGTAAAAATTGCTGTTTTAAAAGTAGTTAACATTTAACGCCTCAGTCTAATACTGTAAGTCTTTAGAATATGTCAGTTACAATACAGCAGCTAATTTTATAGTTATTAAAATGTAATAGCCATTCTGAAATTCAGAATGCCATTCATTTTGGTTTTGATGATAATTTATTAACTGTGAAGTTAACAGATTTCCCTTTTGTTTAACAGTAGGCTTTCCTGTAGTGGATGTTCCAAAGATGGCCTTTGTGCAGGCAGAGAGCACATTATCCCACAAGAGGAAAAGTAATCTAGGCAACTCGTTTCAGGCAAAGAGAGCTCGTCTTAACAAGATCACTGGTAAACTTCCTTTTTTAGTTGTTGTTGTTGTTAAGATGTTTATCCCTTTCTAATGCATTGAAATACATATGCTTACATAAAAGGTACTCACGTTGATCAGTAAAAGCACATTTATCAGACAGATATTAACCATATTCTAGTTTGGAGTATAAAGCAATGTGGAAGTAGTAATAAAATTGAGTTTATTTGTGAGTTTGAAGAAGGATTTCTTACGAGAATTATCTTCCTAGTAAATTAAAAATACTATCAAATTAATTTCTTGCATATGGATACTTTTCTCAACTCCAGCTGCCTCATTACTCCATTAACTGGTGAATTTGGCATTTGCACAAGTTCTTTACAGTCATGAGTTACATGTCACCCCTGTAAATTAATACAGTCACTAGTTTGGGAAAATCAAGTATTCTATTCTAGTTTGTCATAATGTAAAATGGTTGTGGAAAGGTTTACAGTAAAGTATAAAGCCTAGATATTGAAATAAGAGCTAAAAGGGTCTGGCAGTATCTGAAGTATCTGTGCTTTATTTATTATTCAAGGATATTAAATGAAAACATAGAGATACAAAATATTTTTAAGCTAAACTCGCAGAATCACAGAACAGTTGAAATTGGAAGGGAGCTCTGTGGAATCTGCTCCAACCCCCCTACTCAAGCAGTGTCGAGCAAATTGTTTTTGAGTATCTCCAAGGATGGAGACTCCACAGCCCTCTCTGGGTAATTGTTATAGTGCTCTGTTACCCTCACAATAAAGAAGCTTTTCCTTACCTTCAGGCAGAACTTCCTGTATTTTCAGTTTGTGCCTATTTTCTCTTGTCTTCTTGCTGGTCACAACTGAGGAAGTATGAGCATCATCCTCTTCACAGCCCAAATATGTCCTCAGCCTTCTCTTCTGGCTGAAAAATCCCATATCTCAGCTTTTCCTTACATGAACTGTTGCAGTTTACTAAACTGCATGATGGAGTTTTGCAGACTTGTTTCTGCTGATGCCACCTTTTGTAAGTCAGGTGAGAAGATTTAGTCAGTTTTCCTGTGAGCGTGTATCTATTTCAATCTCTCTCAATCAGTGTTTTTAAACTAAAGGACTTAAATGGGGCAATATGGAGCATGGTTTGAAGATGATACTTTTCATATATTTAGAAAAAAATACCTTCAGTCTCCAGAATATCATTTTCTGGAAGGTTTCCTCTTTTGTATTGATTTGTGTTAATGGACAACTGTCACTTCAGTCTGCTCATTTTGCTCACTTCCCTGGTTAAAGCCCAACCTAATGCTGCCAAGCAGCAAGAGGATAAGGTGTAGCAGAAGATACCAGAAACTAGTCTAGAAATGGTGTTTTTCTGTGAAAAGCCTGTGGTTCCAGAAATGGTATTTTTCTATGCTTATTGAAACATGTGCCTATCACAAATGGACTCGTGTAGACTTGTAATTAGACAACAAACACTGCAGTTATTGAGTTCTCCTTCTAAAAAGAGTTTTTATTTGTCTCTGAAAAACTTTCTCTACTAACTGAGGTTGTGTTACCATTTGGTCTAAGTGAATTAAACTTTTAATTCTGAAACCAAATTTGTCATGCTTGGTAGTTACTATATGTAATGACCTGTTTTTGAAGTAGCACCTGCATTTGCAGATCATATTGTACTTTTGTTTATTGCTACATAGAATGGAGAAGTTTTGAAAATGTAACTGCTGCTGATCATACTTCCCCTTGCTATGTGCTAGCTTATGCTTGAAGATTGTCTGTTTATGTTTTGTCTCCACCATGGGTTTTACTTGATTTGAAGGAAGGCTAGGGGTGATGCTTGTGATGGGTGTATCCATCTAAATGGCTACAAGGGAACAATAAAGCGTTGTGACTCTTAGAAAACGTTCAAGTCCTGAATCACAGAAAGACTGAAGTTGGAAGGGACCCCCCTGCACAAGCAGCGTCACCTAGAGTACATTGCACAGGATTGCATCCAAGCTGTTTGGAATATCTCCTTGAATACAACTCCACAAAATCTCTGGGGAATCTGTTACTGCCCTCAGTCACACTCACAGTAGAGATTTTCCTCATTTGCAAATGGAGCTGCCTCTGTTCCAGTTTATGTCCGTTGCCTCTTGTTCTATTGCTGGCGCCATCCCCTTGACAACCCTCCCTTGAGATATTTGTACACACTGATAAGATTCCCCTCTCAGCCCTCTGTTCTTCAGGCTAAACAGCCCCAGCGCTCTCGGTCTCTCCTCATAGTTTAGATGCTCCAGTCCTTCCTCACCTCTGTAGCCCTGTCCTGGCTGCTCTCCACTACCTCCCTGTCTCTCTTATTTGGGGGAGCCCAGACCTGAATACAGCTCTCCCCGTGTGGCCTCACTAGGACTAGAAGAGGGGCAGTAGCACCTCCCTCGACCTGCTGGCAGCTCTTCCTCAGGCACCCCGGGCTACTATGGGCCTTCTTCCCCACAAGGGCTGTTGCTGGCTCACGGTCAGCTCAGTGCCCACCAGAACTCCCACCCCCTTTTCTGTAGAGCTGCTCTTCAGCAGGCCAGCCTGAGGTTGTACCTGTGTATTGGGTTATTCCTCCCTATCTGCAACACCCTGCACCTGCCTTGAACTTCATGAGGCTCCTCTCTGCACTACTCTCCAGCCTGGACTTGTCCCTCTGAATGGCAGCACAACCCTCTGTTGTGTCAGCTACTCCCCTCAGTTATGCATTTTGCTGAGAGTGTACCCTGTTCCTTCATCAATAAGCTGAGCAATACTGGACCCAGTATTGACCCCAGGGGTTACCACTATCTCCAGGCCTCCACTTAGACTGTGTCACTGACTGCAACCCTCTGAGCTCTGCCCTTCAGCCAGTTTTTAATCTGCCTCACTGTCCTCACTAATCCACATTTCCTGAGCTTATCTGTGATGATGTTAGTGGAGATAGTGTCAAAAACTTTGCTGAAATCAAGGTAGACAACATGCACTGCTCTCTCCTCATCTATCCAGCCAGTCATTCCATCACAGAAGGCAATCAGGTTGATTGAGCATGATTTCTCCTTCGTGAATCCATGCTGAATTGTGATCACCTCCTGTCTTCCATGTGTTTAGAAATGGTGTCTGGCATGAACTGTTCCATCACCACTTACCAGGTATATTAGGAATTATATTGGGCAAGTAAATAAATGTAGGGCAAATAATTTGACTGTACAGGCTGTTTGAAGGGAACTGTCTTTGAATTTCATTTCAAGATTCAGTATTTGTTTGTCAAATGTTCATTCATTTGTCCTGTCTACTACAAGGACAGCAGCTGCCCCCGTGTTCTTTGATCACCTGGTAAAAAATATTGCTCAGTTCTTCTTCTGTTACTGTTACTCTCAGTGAAATTGTTTCCAGAAGTTGAATGTTATCGCCATTAAGAAGATACTAACATCTCTCCAGCTGGTTTTTACTTTTGCTGGAATGTTTGTTTCCACATTTCCCAATACAGTGTTACCTAAGAGAACAATTAAAATCTGTAGTGAGTTAACAGAACAAAATGCGTGTTCTTCACCATGCTGCACCACGCTTTTTATTTCTTGTGTACTGCTGCTGACCAGAGATGGTCCAGTGAGAGTCCTGGTGCTCGCAGGTGCTTGTTCCCTGCACCCGTGTTGTTTGGTTAACAATATACCTCATGGGAAGAAGAAAATAAGGAGGGCTGTATATTCCCAGGTCTGCCAGAATTTAAGTCAGTTTCTGAGCTGTCGTTTCCTTTCTGAAGCCTGAGTTTCTAGGTAGGAAAAAAAATAAAACTCTTGAAGTAGATAAATGAGTCATTATAGCTTGAGACTTCTTCAGGCACTCTCAGACAGGAAATTATCTTCATATTTATGTTAGCACAGGCAGTGTTCTGGTTCATCTGGGAGTATTTTCAGGAATCAAGCATGAGGTGCTTGCTGAATTTGTTTTGCACATTGGGGATTCTTGTTACTGCTTTGTATGAAAATACAAAGAAAGCCTTTCTGAAAAGTAGCCCTGCCTTATTCATACATGTCTTCAAATAGCACCCCAACTGTAATATCTTTTCAATTTTACTGCAAAGGTCAGATACAGGACAACTGTGAGGGATTTATTTTTCCCAAATCACTGTTACTGAAATCCTGTAGAACTTCAGAAGCCGCATTCTAGCCTGTATATCGTTATCTAATATGTAAAAACATATTTCACTTAATTTTGAATTTTTTTTTTTGCGGCAGAGATCAAAATAAAGAACATGTATAAATCAAGTCAGAATTAACCAGGATAATTAGAGTTGCAAAGGTTAATTTGTATGCAAGAGTATCATCTTTCATGAAATCCAATGCAGAATTAAAATATTTTTAGATAATATTTATATTAATATCCTAGGGCTAAGTAGCTTTCTGCTTTGAAGTTAACTTCTTTAGATGTAAAATCATAGTACTTTGAGACTCTTGTTTTGAAGATGGTCTTCTGAAAAAGCTTTTGAAAATACTTGCTTACCAGAAAACTGAAGCAAGTAAATGAAAAATGAATTGAAAAACTCATGAGACACAGAAAAAATTGACAGCTCTCTAAGAAAATATCACAATTTATTTTTCCCGGACTCCCTCCTTCCCCACAAATATTCTGAACGCTTTTGCCTTACGAGAATGTTTTGAAGCCCAGAAGAGGTGAGAGGAAGAAAAAGATTTCTGTAACTTATTTAAGGTTTATTTGCTGGTTTTTAAAGCCTGAACACTTCCCAATGGTGAGGTATTATTTTATGACTGTTGGTGTGATATTTTTGTATTGCTAGAGGACATGTCAGAAATGTATGTCTCATGATAACTCGGCCATCCTGGGAAGTTGTTTCTTCCAATTTATCCCACTTAGCTTTGTGTAGAGCTGTTTCAGAGAGAATTATATTAAAAATGCAAATACTTCATATTTCTTCTCTTATCATCTTGTTTTGTTTTTCACGAATCCTCCTCACAAGCTTTTTCTAAATGAAAATCTTTGCAATTTTTCCCCTAAGGTTTGTTGGCATCCAAAGCTGTTGTTGCAGATGGTGCTGAAAAAAAAGAAGGCAACAAAGAAACAGCTCCAGTCCTGGAGCAGGTATGAAATGGTAGAGTTTGATTCTTTTGCAAGATTCCCACTGGAGTGTGCCATGGAGGTGTAGTACCTACAACACTAAAATTAGCCCCTTTGTATATAATAGGGAACTGAAACTCAATCTTATGTTTACATTTCCTCATAGCCAGGTGTATAGTTTTTAATTGTCTCTGACCACAGAGTTAACTTGAGTTTCAGTAATGAACTTTCATATAAGAAACTAACAAAAAAACAGAAGCAAAAAGTCACCACGCAACCAAAATTAGGAGACCAGTTTCCCAAGATAGAATTTCTAGCTGGAATTATGACCATGACTGGCTTAGGAGAAGACCCTTACGCAAATTTGATTTGTGTTCGAAACAGGTTTTTGACATCAAGTAAAACTTCTTTCGTAAGAAGTTTCTTTTATATTGTAAGAATAGTGTTGTAGACTGTTTGTGTTTTCTGAACTGCTCAATGAGCCATAAATTTTGCTAGGGTGTGTGTTTTAATAAATACAAAAAAGAAACTTTTAAATAATGTTAAGGGTCTGATTTTTAAATCTGCATATTTGCAGCACCTAAAGGCTGCCACTTTGTCTTTGGCTTATTCCATTGTGTTCAGGCATTGCTTGACTCAACATTATTGTGCACATCCAAAGGGCTGAATGCTTAAGCACAGTAAAGCAAGCTAAGGATGAAAAGTAGTCTTGATGCTGGGCATCTTTGCTTTGCCTTGCTATAAATCAGAGCCTTAATGTAGTTTTAATACAGCTTTTTTGTATTCATTTTCATTCATTAATAGCAGTGCTTAAATAAAACAGCCTTGCTTCATGCACTTCTTAAAAAAAGCACTTCTATTCTTAAACCTCGGCACACTCTATAAGCACTCCCTACCCCAAACTTCCTTGATATTTTGGTTGTACTGTTTTTTAGAGCTGATACATAATTATGTTGCTGTGTTTTTTTTCCATTGATACCACACTGGATACGAGTGCAGTCAATGGAACGTTACCTTGTTTTTAATGCAGTCACTGTCACGGCTACCTGAGCCACGACAGTGTCGGTGCATTGACTGATATTTTGCATAAAGGTTTACAGTGTATTGACATGACATTCCATTTCTCAAATTTTTGCATATGGAAGATGCTATGACTTACTGCTGTTGTGTGTAATATTTTCAAAGTGCAAAAAACTGTGAAATGGCTGAGAGCATGTTGTTTCTGGAGGAATCATTACAATGTAAATCTTACCTTGCAGAATCCCATTGAGTTGAATGGGGCTTTGTGGTTTACATAGACTGTGTATGCAACAGTATAAACTGCAGTGCATATTTATTAAAAACCTTTTGTTATTTCTTAGGCTTAGTAACTCAGCTGTTTCTGTTTTGTTAATTAGAAATAAAAATACAGATGTCTCTGTCATTGTTTACATGCTAATGGTCTGAAAAAAACTAATTTTTGGAAATACAAGTTGAGCTCTTTTAAAGAGGCATCTAAAATCCCGAACTGTCGTTTTTCTTCCCTTCTGTCTAAAAACAGAAGCCCCACAAATATTTAAACGATTAACCATATAGGTGGGGGACAATTATGAGCTTACAGCTTTTCTTCCCTAATTTCCTGCCCAAATTCAAATTGGCAGAGTTACAGATTCCCTAAAAGATTTTCCAATAGCAAAGCTGGCAGCCCTTAGTTGGAGGTTTTGTCTGCTACAGCTGTAAAATTAGATGGGTAAAATATCTAAAGTTTTGGTTTTTTGTTTGTTTACTTGGTTTTTTTGATAATGTAATATGGACATGGTAGAAGTATTCAGCCCAACAGCCAGAAACTTACTTTGCTGATGGAAGTATATTTTATTTATATTTATATATATTTTTTAGTTTACATTTTTTGAACCTGAAACCTCAGACAATTAGGTGCAGATACAGTAGTATATTTAACTGTATTAGGGTAGGTTATGCTATCTTTCCTTTTGACCAAGATCTGCTTAGATGATTAGCATTAAGTCTTTAAGGTTTTTAATGTTAATTTGTCCTGTTAAAAGGTTAAGCACCTTATCAAAATATTAATTTAATTTTTTAATCTTGTTTAAGAAACTTTGTAATTTGAAAGTAATGGATGCTGTAGTACTGTCTTTCACATCTGTGAAGATGAACAATAAAATTGTTTATTTACAAGTTATGGCTCTAATTAATTTCTGGTAATACCTCTTATAACCAGCATAGGTATACTCCACAGTTCATGCAATTTCTTTTTTTAATGAATAAAGTGCACTTAATACATGTGTATATTGGAGGTACTCAAGATAGTACTGATGTCTGCTGAAGGGGACATTTTGCACTGGATCTTTATATGGTACTATATAGGCTATTCTATAGCATTCAAGGGTGCCTCTTTTGTGTACATACAATGTGCATTGATGTTGGTTTCCACTGGCACTTTCCATATTCCAGTGAAAAATGAAGCTGTTTATACTAAAAAAACCGAATAATACCCTCGAATCATCAGAGGTGTGATACTTCTGTTTAGTTTGGACCAAGTGGTGCACATATTCTAGAATATCATTTTGCTTTGATAATTCTCTTTTTATTAGGTGGCACCGTGCTGTGTTAACTGGGATAAGAGAGGGGGAAGATTTAAGAAACTATGGTATTTGGGTACCATAGTTTGCCATTACTGGGCAAGTTGTAACTCTTGCACAGCTTATCCAGTAAAATAGGCAGGTCTTCTTTCTAGGTAAAAATACTATGCTAATGTCTGTCAATGCATGTGAATTGTATAAAAAACAGCATTCCATTATGTGCATTAACAAAAACAAATGAAAACTGATATTATTAGGAAGTTGCATTATATTTTTTTTCCCCAAAAAGTGTTTTAACTCTTTATCTGCTCATTTTTCTCCACAGCTAGTAATCTATTTAACCCTGCGGTGCTAGAAGTTGTGATTTCTTCATGTGTTTGCACAAGCATTTTATGTGGTGAAATCCAGACTCCCAGCACTAAAGGGGTTGTGTGAGAGCGTGTTCAGTCTTTGGGATTTTTTTAATTGTTTTGAGACTTTCCTTAAAGGAGCATTGTCAACTTTTTCATGTTTTTTTTTCCTAAAATTTGTCTTAAATATCGAATTAAAAATAAGTTTTTTTTGAGGAGGTTTTTTAAAATGATCATCTTTATTTATTCTAACTTTTAACGACAGCGTTCTCCAAATTATTCTTTGTCCCTCCATTCGTGGTCTACCCTGAATATGAAAGAGTCAGAAACTAAGAAGATCTTGATGTGGTTTCTGAATGGGGATATAAGGAAACATTTTGGTTCTCATGCTTTTTATAGATATCGCAAATAGCAAAAAGGTATTTTGAATACTGAAAATAATTGACAGTGCACCTTTAAAGCTGTGATTCGAATATGTTTTTCACTTGTATTGAAAATATTAACTGTTGCTTTAAAATGTGTTTTGAATTCTAAAGTTACTTTAAAAGATCAAAGTAGAATACAAGAACTACAGTGAAGAAACCGAAATAAAAGTATCAATTTTTTATTATTTATTCAGGAGATTTCACCTAAACCACAAAGTCAGAAAAAAAATGAAGCTGATATTAGCAGTTCTGCCAGCATTCAGAAACCTGCACTGTTATCCTCAACTTTGTCTTCAGGAAAGGCTCGCAGCAAGAAATGCAAACAAGAATCTGGAGATTCTTCTGGGTGTATAAAGCCCCCTAAATCACCACTTTCCCCAGAGTTAATACAAGTCGAGGATTTGACGCTGGTGTCTCAGCTTCCTTCTTCCGTGATAAATAAAACTAGTGAGCACAGACATTTTAAAAAATACCTTAATTTCTTATAAGATATACAGAAAAAAAATATTTTTGATTGTAAATCAGTGTTGCTTTTAAAAAATGAGTCTGCTTTCACAAAAGAGTCTGCTTAAAAAAGAAGAGTCTTAAGTGGAGACTTAGGGATATCTTTGTATTTTTAAAAGTCACACACTCAGGTGTACAAATTACTCTTCCAGACATAACTCATTTACATTTATAGAGTAAGTTATGGCTTTTAATGGTCGAGTCCCACTATAGCTTAAATCTCCACAGTGATGGAGGAAAAATCAAACTTCTCCTCTGAAGGGGCCTGATTCATTAAAAAGAAAAAGACATGCTCTTGGTTGTGGATCTTTCCCTTTCTGAGAAATTCTGCGTTCAGCGGGCTGATATGCTATACCAGTATTCCTTACATTATGTGATACTTTCTCCAAATATGACATGAAAGAAAAGACGAGCTCAAGATCTGTGGTGAGGAAATAAGGTCCATATTGTGCAGCTCATGAAGGTACTGTAGATGTTCAGCCTCATAACGTGTGACTGACCTTCAAAGTACCAAAATACTGGTTGGCAGAAGAAGAGGGGAAAATATATGCTGCATCCTTGAGTGGGCTATATATATTTTTAATTGAGATATTTTGTATAAGCCAATGCATTTTTTTATAGTTTTTCTTCAGTTTTCAGTCTTCAGTCTGACCTTGTAAAACAAGTTGTTTATTGTCAGAAGATGGGGCTTACCGTATATCAAAAGCTAAGGTTTTTGCCTTACTTTTAGAGCAGTTATTAAAATAGGGACTGGAGAATTTACCTGCATTGTGTATTCCCCTTTAGTCTTTAGTTGATACCTTCCTGTAGGACATAGCTCTTTCTTTTAATCTTTTCTCTCAGGAAACTTTAAGTGAATGGGAGAGGGAGCTTAGCAAATTCAGTTGTCTGTTTTATCCAGGAAAGACTGGTATAGGTTTTATCTTTAGGTGTCCCCACAAAATACTAGTCATTTACACTAGAATGCCTTCCCCACCCTGCCCTGATGATGGTAGGTAAGTATCCGTGAGGATATCTGCACTTTTCACTGAAGTTAAACTTTTCTTTAGAAATATTTGAAAGACAAACTAATCTTTTTAAGCTTAATAGCTTAGTCTTTTTAGTGATGTCTTTGGGACAGTGGCTTTCATGCTTTGACAAACTCAAATGGAAATTTAATTCTTGTTTGCTTTGTCTTTATTTTTAATCTGCACATCTTTGACTCTCAAAACCATCTGTAGGAGGAGAGAGTGACTTGCTATGTAATGATATATGAGCTGGTATTTTTCCAAGGCAGAGTTGTGAAGCTATGGAAGAGGGGAGTGGTTTAGGGATGTCTGCATGTTTTTTTTTTGTTTTTTTTTTTTAATGAATCAGGCCTATAACATCCTATATCAATCCCCCATTCTTTTTTTCCATTATTTTTTTTTAACATGAGGTTCTTCAGACCTTTTGCTATGCTGTGCACTGATGGTGTACGTTTTAAGTATAGTTGGGGTATTGATATCAGGTTAGCAGAAAATTGGCAAATCAGCTGTAAAACACTCCTTCTGCTTACTTATTTTTAAAGTTGTAAGTCAATAGTATTCCTGACTTTTTAGATATTTAATTGTGATAATTTATTTAACTGGGATTGAATACTGCAAAACTCGGTTGCCCTACCCCCTTTATAAGTGGTCTGCTCACATGTGTTTTTGGGGATGATTTTGCTTATTAGTGGGAAAGTAGATACCCTAGAAAATGTATGATAAGGAAAAACTAAAATCATGTCTCAAGCATAACTTTTTCTGGTAATCATAGTTTTAATTATTTACCAGTTTCTGTTGTGATTATTAGTTCTGCAGATGAGAGCTATTTAAAACACGCCCATCTCTAGATCTCTAAAGCACTACGGTAAGATTATGGTGTGTATCTCTGCTTCATGAACATTGAAAGATCTCTTTTTAGGTCCATCACAGCCACTGAATTCCCCTAGATCCTACAAACATAGCCAACGGAGGAGGAGATCTCAGCGTTTAGCCACTTGCTCGTTGCCTGATGATTCTGTAGAAAAAGTTTCTTCTCCCTCTTCAGTTACTGATGGAAAAGTGTTCTCCATCAGGGCTCAAAATCAACAGCCATCAAAATTGGAGGGTAATGTATCTTAATCTAATAAAAAACAGCCAAAGAGAAATTAAATCATAAAGATTAGATGATTCTCAACTAATGGGGTATTTTGACTAATTGTAGCTATAGTGCTGTTCTGTTTGTATGTTATGTAACACCACAACCCAAACTGTTATTTATTTGGCCTATGTATTTTTTTTTTAATATTACATTCTTTCTTTTATGTAGTACCTGATGTTGCTCATATGTCACTTGAGAAGCGTGGACCATGTCTCCCTCTTGACTTAAGCCGTAGTTCGGAAGTTGCATCACCATTATCCACAGAATCCACTTTCCGTAATGAATATCCCAGTAAAGAAAAGGAAGATATTCAGATGATTACATATCTTTCTTCCAAAGCAGTAACTGATGGAAGAGTAGCTACAACAGCGTCAGGTAAAGAGATTTAGTTTACAAGCAGTTAGTTTATAGTTAGAGGGTTCAAATATGTGTATTCAGTCACACAGAAAGAAGGGACCCACAGAAAGAAGGGACTTCCCACTTCTTCCTGGGGGTGGATCTGGATTCTTTGTTTTTCACCATCTTTGAACTGCATTGGCACTTTCTGTAACATACTTCAGGGAGAGAGTGCATATACAAAGTAGTACTTCTTTCTAAAGGCTTTTTGTAGTGTTAAAACTTGTAAATTATTTTATGCAGTTGTTTACTAACATACCAGCATATATGATGAACTCATTTATTTTGTGGCTTCAGCTTAAAAACTTGCTAGAATTGTCAGAGTCAGTTCACATTCATTTGCAAGTCTTTGCAGTGGAAACTTTGTCATTTGCCTTCTAGGATATATTGCTAAAATACTTCAGAAAATTCCTCTGCAATTTGTTTAAATTATGAAAGGGTTCAGAGAGTTAATATAGAGCCCAATACTGGAAATCTGTGTTACATCTCACTTTTACCAGTTTTACATACTAATTTCTGGACCCTTAAAGAAGAGTCTCTTAACATTTAGTGTATGTTAGGTATGTTTTTTTTAGAAAAAAAAAAAAAGCCAAACCTCTTAGATAAGCATTTTATAGGTGAGTATAATACTGGTTTTCAGTTGTCTCCCAAGGCAAAATTTTTTCACTAGCCATTTTTAAATGAAAAAGCTGTTGAAAAAAATTAGAATGAAAGTCAAGTTACTAGGAGAGCCTGACCATAAAGCATGTAACTTTACGCCATCCTGAAAAGATAACTTAGCCTTGTTTAGGAGAAAACTGTAGCATCTTTACATTAAGTGAAAAAATAGCTGCAATATTCGATAGGTCACTACGTTTTTGTTGTTGTTTAAAATACATGGCCTCTTCTTGGGGATCTGCATATGCGATTGGTTTATAGAATTGCAGCATAGTTGCTTAGCTTTATGCAGGAAAGGCTGGGTGGGTCTTTTAGGTCAATATTGTGTAGGTTAAATTATATGATTATTAATTTCCTTCTTCTCACACACGTGCACAAAAGCTATTAATTTCTTCAGCTAATTTGTGAAATTAAGGATGACAAGGTTTTCTAATGAACTAGTTAAGCTTTTAAAAAATTACTTTATTTTTCCAGTGAAACAAAATAATCTTGGCTTGCCTTTTCTGTACTGCCAAATACTAAAATCAGATTCCTGGGAAGATTTCTTCTGCAAAAGCCCTTTTGTCTCATGTCTTCTGCCACTAAGAGAAGTGCTTTTGAGGCTTCATATTTGCCCACTTGGAGAACAAGATCATAAAAGAAACACGCATCTACCATCTGCTGCTTTTTAATTAGTTCACATTTCAGTTATTGCAAATTTAATGGACTATGGCTTTTCTAAGTATATTTTTTGGATAAGTTGATGCCTAGGTGCTTCCTTTGCTGCGTCCTTCGCTCATGGGACTGCTTTGGGATTCCAGCAGTCTGACTCGGAGCCTCACTCCCTTCTGTGTCAATGAGTATCGTTGTACCAGTTTATTGATCGAGCTTGGGTGTAGTCTTGGGCCACAGCTGAGTTTAACCAAAGAAATAATGTTCTTTATTTATAGTTCCTTTTACTTATGACTAAAAATATTTGGCAAATCAAAAAAGCTATTTGCATCTAGAATGAGAAAATGAAACAGTTGGAACCTTTTGCTGAAGGTGCTTAATTAAAGGCACTTAAGCACACGCAGTTACACAGAATACCTCCATGCTTGAATAGCATGAATAGAATCATGTATTTTTATAATTTCTTTTATCTGATGGAGCTGTTAAACAGTGGCATTTATAACATTTAAACAAATTGATTTCTAAGGGAGGGGTTCCCAAAGCTTTCCTTTCTCGACCTTGGTGAGGCTTGAAAGTACTAGGAATAGTGATAGCATTTTTTTTTTTGCCGTTTGGAGGAACATCTGACTGCCTAAGTGTAATTAAAATATTGTGTTTGGTGTTTACATTGCACTGCTTTTTTGTGCCGCAATTTGAGAATTCTGATGTAAAATACAGACTCATCTGCAATTAGCTCCTTTTTTCACCTGAAAGAACTATTATGAATCCTTTTCAGCTCAAGATGTTTGAGATTTCTTTAGGTTCTGTTGGAGCTACTTGGACAAAACTTTGTGTAGAAATCTGATCTTCTAGATTTTGGTAATACGATGGAATTTGCTAAGCGTGCTCAAGTTAGACTTGCTGTGTTTTTAATTCTGGAATAATTCAGCAAAGAAAAAGAGATGGTTTCGGAAATTAGGGAAATGAGGGATGTACTTAGCCTTAAGTAATTTATTGTGATCATTGGCCGTTCTGAAGGTGGCTGCCATTTATACTATTTAGAGGCGTGATATTTAGGTGCTATTTTAGACCCAGGGATGTAATTTGTGCCTGTGAAAATATAGACTTCTCATGTAGGGCACATGCTGAGCCAATCAAAAAAATAATTTTCCATTGTCAAAAATGATGCATTTGAATGACTTCTTACTCAAAAGCCGCTTGCTTGGTGCCTTTCACAGGAAAGGGATGAGAAGTAGCTATTCTTCCATACTGCAGTGCAGACATGTATATAGCAATTTATAGTATTAGCACAATTTCCTTCACAAAGTCACTGTTCCAAATGAATAGCCGGTCGTTAAATAAAGCAGCTCAAGAGCATTGCAACCAACTCCATCAGTCTGCAGCCTGTATGGAGCAACTGTGCTCTTCTGGTGGCACTGGTGCCCTCATGTTTAATTTTTGAACCGATACACTGCTTTGGCTAAACTGGTTTATGGACCCGCTTTATTTGTCAAGCTGCTTAAGTGTAGGTGGTTTGCTTTTCTCATCACTGACCCTATTGCAAGCTGCAAATTCATAATCAGCCTGAATACATTCAAACCACTATAGTTTTCTGCTGCTAACTACATGAAGCAATTTGAATTTGAAATTTGAAGCAGGAGGAAAAAATATTGTTGCATGTTAGTTGCTAGTCCCTGATCTAGCTCAGGGGAGATGATTTTGCCACCAGGATAATATTTGGTTGATTAAATGGAAAAAAAAATCACACAAAAAAAAAGAAAAAAAAAAGAAAAAAGAAAGAAAAGTTGTGTATTTTTGTGCAGTTTTAAAAGTTTACTGCAGTGTGACCAAGAAACAATTACTGTGTGGAATTTCCAGGGAAAAAAACCCTTTTTAAAATAAACTTTAGGCAGTTTTTTTAGTTACCCTGCCCTTAAGAATTACCTAGGCTCTCCCAAAGGTTTGTGAACCTCTTACTACTCTACAGACATGTTATTTTGGCTCCTAACTTCAGCTGACAGTTGATTTTGCTTCTAATTTGGACGCTGCTTTCAGTGGCTTCTGCCGCTCTGCCGGCCCTGAGGTTTCCAGCAGCTGCTGTGGGGCAGTTGGTGAAGGCCAGAAAGAAGCTGTCATGTCCTCGTCCTTTCCAGAGGCCCCGTTCTGCACTGGCCTCGGTATTACCCATAGTGTGCGTTTAAAGGGTATTTCAATATCAGCATCTTAAGCACTGAAAATCCAAAAGGTGAAAAAAAAAATCATGCTACTTAGTTTTCCTGATATGGTGTAATGAAATAAGTCATTTCACATTGGGATAATTGATTATTAGATTTGTTAAACTCAAGTGAGCTAAATCTAGTCCAGTCTTGTGAGCATCTTTTTTTTTTCCTGGGGATTACTGCAGACCTGCCACGTTTCACTGTGCGGAGGTGGCACTAGACTCCTCGCGGGGACAAAATGGCAATTAAAAATAACAGTTAAAAAAAGACATATGGTCATGTCTGCATAAAAGACACTTTCGTAAATGAATGTTTGTTTTGCCAGATTGGTTGCCTGGTCACTAGACTCTTAATTGTCTACTTTATTTAATTTTGGAGCTATTTGTAAGGCATAATAACTAGGCACTTCAAAATTGAAGAGTTTGCCAGTGTTAACACTTCATTTAGGTAAAAGTGAAATAGTGATTCTCAATCTGCAATGATTTCCACTATATTACTTATACATAACCTTACAATATATAACTTTATATACTTTATCTTGCTAATATTAGGTAATATTTAATGAGTGGAAGTAAATGCCAGGAATAACAAAGCAGGCTATGCAGGCATAAGAGTAATTTCTCTTTTCTGGTTACTACAGAGATGGAGCGTAGGTGGTGGTGTCATTTAGATATGTTTTTTTTGTGTGTGTGACTAGCAGATTTCTATTATGATGGATATTTTCCCAAACCTTTCTCGGTTATTTAATCACTGACTCCTCCAAGTCACTTGTGTTGAGTTAAAAACTGAGGTACTACAATTTGCATTGCCATCAGTGATAGCAGAGCACATACAAATGTGTGAGGTCAGGATTAATTTTCTATAATGAAGTTTCAATACTAACTCATGGAAATAGACTGCTTGGGACTGAATATTCCTGGGGGTCGTTCGGAAAAGGCCTTCTCAGAGCTTTTCATGAAAATGGCAGTGACCCAACCCGATTCTCTCTCATGAATTAGGTGGCCCAGCAGAAGGGGACCCTGATAACATAGTCATGTGGAGAAGAGTCACTTTCTGACGTGTTAAAAACATCCTCCTTGCTCTGCAGACTGCACAACAGCTTCTGCCCCGTAGCAGAGCCGTGAATTAGCAAACGAGAGCGTTGGTGCGGGCGGTGCTGTGGGCTGGTCCGGCCAAGGCGGGAAGGCCTTTCCACCAAACCATCCCGGGACGTTATTGCTGCTGCCGGCAGAATCTTTTTAAGACTCTCGAACCTGGCAAATTATCTGAACACTGTGTTTTTAAATGCTTTTTGTTTCTGTAATACTCAAATGGTAAAAGAGGGAGCACACCTATTCCAGATCAGCTTTGTATTTTGTCTTATTAACTTATCTTGATAAGTAACAGGTTTCCTTCAGGATTATTTTCTTTGGTTCAACAGTTACACCAGCAAAGGAATTTTGGATGCTGTTTTTTTGGTTGAGTTTTTAATATTAAGAGGCCCTAAAAGTGACTTTCCTGATTACGGTTAGATGAAACTTAGAGCTCGCACTGTATGGACTAATACAGTTGCCATATTGAGCAATACTGGTGGTGTTCTTTACAAATAGCTTTGTTCTAATTTGAATATTTGAAAATTCCACAGTTCTATTGGATTATAAATATAATCAACGAAAGACTCTAATATATACATTTGTTCAGCTGTGTTATTTTGTAATACGCACTGAGATAAAAGCCCCACTTAAATAATCCAAAAATTGCTGAATAATGAGGATTGTCAGTATGATACTGAATTCTAACAGATAGCATAGTATTTTGCATGTAATTCAAATGTATATTGAATATACACTTGAAGGACGGTTATATAAATGTTACTGAACCAATAAAAAAGCAATACACTGAAGTGTAAGTTTCATACTGAATACCAACAATGCCATAGAAGACAGTTGACAGTATCAACTATTTTATGCTTATTGTTGACATGGGTTTCTGCTAAAGGAAAATGAAAAGGAAACAAAAAGACTTAAGTAGAGCAGAGTATGTTTAGACTAATGTTACTTTTCAGAAAATGAATGCAAATTCCCAAATAGATAAACTTTCTTTGGCATGTAACATCTTGTATGTAAGACTGAGATCTAGGCATTCATTTTCAATAATCTTATGTTAACTGTGATGATAATAGTAGTATTTGACATTTTAGTGGTATGACCCAGCCAGGGAGCTGGCTGCAGCTTTTACTGAATGCCTAGTAAATTTGTCTTCTTGTTTTCAGCACCCTCGTCCCATGTACATGCCTTACATCTGGAAATGCCTTTAACCAATAGTCTAAAGTTACCCAAAGGGAATAGTAAAAAAAAGCGGTCTTCCACATCAGTGAGCTCTGAAGGGACAGAGATACAGTACTCTGTGCCCATAAAGGAGAAATGTTTTGAGAGTCTGAAGGAGAAAATATTAAAGAACGTGATTGAGAAGGACAAGCATTCAGAAGTTGGTAAACTACAATGCTTTTTGTTTCCAGTGCTTTAGACAATAAAGATAACTGTAAAGTGATATTAAAAATCAATGTATTAGTTGTGTGTTTGTTAATATTTATATATATACCAATAGGGCTTTTTGTCTAATGGCATTTAAAAGAAAGCAGGTCATCAGCCAGACGTTGTGCTAATGTTCTTCTTCAATTTGCAGGTGCAGTTAGGATGGAAAGGAAAGGAAAACTGGAAGAGAAAAGCTCCTCAGCATATGGTATGTACAGAGCAAGAAGATTCTGAGAAAAAAGGCAGAGGTTTGGGAGAGTAGTATTATCAACAGCTCTAACTTTACTTCATGGCTCTGAACTGTTAATGTAGAAGTATACAGATATTTCCAGGGCCCAGATGGGACTCTTTGCTCTTACAGCCTGTGTATACAAAAAGCTTGTAGTGGAGGAATAAATAGTTTTACAAGAAAAATATCAAGAACTTCCAATAACAATATTGGAAGTATCCAAATAGTATCTGTGTCAGGACTGCAGTAGCCTGTCCCAGGTAAGAATCCCAAACAAAAGCTGATTTTAGTTGAATTAGTATTGCTGCATTTCTTTCTGTTTACTGACAGGTAAAATAAAATAGCCAAATGTGACTGATAAAACATTTGGCAATTCTTGAACACAAATGTAAATTAATAGGGGCTTGGTTTCCCATGTGCGAAAATTATGGCTATAGATAAACAAGAAATTGTATGTAAATTAGAATTGTTATTAGCCAGAAGGGTGAAGTATTGCTCCTATACTTATTCAGCAAATAATAAGATGCTATTTTTGTGCAGGAAATATTTCCCTGAAGATAGTATTTAAGGATTATTTTCCATAACAAGTGCGTTTTATATTTATGTGTCTCACAACTGGTGCTTAGAAAATGATTATGGAATTAACGTGTTGTGGGATACATTTAATCCAGAGAATGAGAAGAATAAACAGAATTCTTCCAAGCTAAAGTACCTATACTCATGAGAATTTCAACAGTGCTTACAAGTGAAAAGCAATGCAAGAAATGAAACATGAATTTTACTCAGTTTTACGTTATGATGTTGCTGTTCAGTAAGAACTGCTGACAATATTAGCAGTTTGGTGAGTCTGTTTCACCTATTTTCTGTAGGTGTAGTATATGTTTTCTAAGTCTACATAACCTTTCTTTTTTGGAATTAAGTCTTTTTTTTGCAGGCCCAAACACTTTTGTTTTATGTTCTTATAAACTATTTAAATCTGTCATTTTGTAAGCTTTATTTTTTTTTCTCCTATGATATCTCATTTGGCAATATACCACTTTACCATCAATTAAAAAGAGACTAAGATATTAAGCAAATTGAATCATGTTGATCTGATTAGGTCACCAAAATAGCTTGAATTTGCTGTTGCTGCTGTCTAAAAATATTTATTTCGTTATTTTAGGTAAAAAGAAGGAAAAGGAGAAAAAAGAGAAAAAGGAGAAAGATCATAAATCAAAACAGAAAAAGAAGAAGAAAAAAAAGAAGAAATCTAAGCAGCATGGTAAGTTTAATATGTGTGTTTTTTAGTGAGCAAAACTAGTGGATCTTATTTTTGGCATTCACAGATAAACATTTAAAATGGTTTCTAACAGTATGACCCTGGAATTTTAGAAACTGTAAATAATAAGTTTTTGGTCTTAATGGTGAAAGGGTACTGTGATCCCATTTCTGCAGTACAGCCTGTCTCTAAACAATAGATTGCTGAAGACTGAACATTTGAGCATTGTACCTGCTTACCCAAAGAAGTGTTTCAAGACTTGAAACAATACTTATTTTTATCTTACTGCTGTTGTTTTTAGAGAATGCATTTAAATATTCAAAAACATAGTCTGTTCTTAGGATACCTCTCAGATATATGTACTTTCTGCTTTCACATACCTTGAGAGTGTGCTTTAGTAGCTTTCAGTCATAGTACAACTGACTGAAATTTCTGAAAAGGTGGGAAGGTGGGTATTAAAAATGTATCAAACTAGGCTTTTTTTCCTCCTACAAAAATTTCCTTGTAAGCATGTGGAAAATCCTCTGCATGTGTGGACTTTTCACCAACTTTTAAAGATGCCTTCTCCAGAGTGATTAGGCATTTGTCTTGTCTAAAACTTGTACTATAACCTGAAAATGCTTCCAAATAATACAATTGAATGTGAACTGCAGTGAGTTAATTTCACATATTTCACTGTCTATATATTGTGGTACTGAATTTTAAACTGTAAACTTCAGTAGAGTCTATTATCTAGAAATTATTGACAGTTCTTTTGCTTATTTTTGGAAAATATTTGCAAGAAGATGCCATTAAAGGATCCAATAGCTATTTCATTGATTTTTAAGAAAGCAAATGAGCAAACAAGACACCCCTCAAAGTCACAACCACAAAACCTAAGTAGTTCTGGCTGTTTTATCTGTGGGTATTAAAACATCAGAGTTATTACTTTCTCCACAGAAGTAGTGGTATTTCCCTGCCATTTTAGAAAGCTCCTCAAGAGCAGTGTGTCATCACTGCGTGTACAGCAGCATCATCAGAGGCAGCACTGTCGATACAGTTTCATAAGTGTAAGAAAAATAAGTGTAAGCCTACAGCATTCCTGTATACTGTGAATATAATGACAAGCTGACTATTGGTGTAAAAGTTTGTGAAGAATACTTGCACAGAAATAAACAAAAGAATACTTGAAACGGTTTCCAACAGATCTTTGGAATGGAACTGTTTTAATAGGCACCAACTTAAGGTAGATTTCTGAAATGTGTACAAACACAGCAATATATTTTTGCTGTATCTGGAAAACTACTGCCTAGTGTTCTCGTGAACCTTGTTTCATGTATTTCCTAAGAAAGAGGTAAAGTGAGAAGTTCTTTTGCATTTTTGAAGATGCAGAGTATTCAGTGTTTGTTTGATATTGAAATTTAGCGGAATCAACAGGAAAGACTGACTTGGTGTACAATTTAAAGTACTGGAGAGAGGTTAGATGCAATGCTTGTAATTAGTAGGGGAAGATTGTATACCTCATAATTCCCCAATACATAGAGATCCTATACACATTTCTGCACCTGTATTCAAGGAAAAATATGTGAGCATTTCTCTTCTACCCAAATTAATCTCTTAGAAATAGACTTCTAGGAATCCAGAGACATTCAGTCCAAACTCATTAACCAAAGAAAAAGGAAAATGCTGTGGCAGATCCTTGCCCTGGTGTCTGACCTTGAAAAAACTCACTGAACTACGATCTGTCTTTTAAAAGAAAGAGTCTTCTCTCTCTCCAGGACTAGCTCCCTCTGCTTTCAGAGCGCTTCACAAATAAAAGTGTGAGGCCACTGCATCCCCTTTGAATCATAAATTTTGTGCAAGGCCTAAAAAACAAACCTAAACTCTTATTCCCTCAGTGATGTGAGTATGTGCATAGCTGACTGTTCATATCAAGCCCATATACAGTAGAAGGTAGGTAGCTTCTGTTATTAATACTGTTCTATTTCACTGAGGTTGATAGCAATACAAACCAAAGGAGTTTTCCTCAATATTTCAGTTTATCACCTCTGTTCCTGGCTACCAGCAAATTTACAAAGGAATCACATAATAGAACAATTCTGGTCTTGGCAGAAAAATAAATGTTGGCAGTGGCTTCAAGGAAAGTATTTAACAGACAAGCATGTTGTGGAGCCCGTCGCAAGAAGTGTAGAGGCATGTGGATAGCAGGAATACTGTCCCAGACTGAAAATTACAAACTTGATTACTCATTTATTTCCAAAGTAATAATTTATAAGAGGAGTGACTCTAATCACCACTGGGACTTTCTGGAACACTCTCCAGCCACCCTGATAAGGACAGACTTGCAATTGTGTTTCTTGGGACTTTTTCAAGTGGTGTAATGTACAGGTAGGTAGAATTCATAGCATTGTGCTACAAATAGATCTAAGGAAAAGAGTTTATCCAAGGATGATAAATGATGAAGGAAGAATTGCAGCAATAGGCAAGAAAAAGAAAAAAACTCCTAAAAAGATCTGCTTTCCTCATATAGTGACAAAATGTAAAATCAAGAATTATTCCTCTGTACATACAGAGACAAGGAGGAAGTAAAAAGGGCAATTTTAATGCTTGTCTTGTAATGTATTTTACTGGAAACATCTGGATAAAATAGATTCTGAAACACTTTAACCAGTTCATATCTGCAGTTCCATCATCTTAATACCTAAATGTTGATATTCCAGACTTTCGAGCATAGTGGTGTATTTGTCTTGTTAAATTTTTTCAGCATTTGTGACATTTTTTTCTGTAATGCTGTAGCATTAGTTAATCTTTTGATGTTGATTTTTCAGATTATTCGGATTACGAAGACAGTTCTGTGGAATTCATGGACAGGTGCTCCTCTCCCTTAACACGCTCCTCGGGGAGCTCTCTGACTTTGCGCAGCATGTTCTCGGAGAAGAATACGTCCTACCAGTACCCACGAGCTATCTTGTCTGTTGACCTCAGCGGAGAAAGTAGGTTGTCTGAACTGCAAAAAAAAAGTTTTGTGTTTGGGATTGTATCTATAATAACGGAGGATGATTCGTATTTGATCTATTTAAATAAAATACTTAAAATTTTCAAGCTGTACTGTGCTGTACTTGCTTGGTTGATTGTTATTACTGCTTTTGAGGTGATCACATTTCGTTAAAGACCTTTAGCAGAGTTCATCAAGAAACCTAACCCACCATTTGTGGGTAATTTGGTTATGTTCAGGTTAAAATCTTTCAAAAGTTCTTTTTTTTCTGTATTACATCTCTTTGCACACACAATTTCACATGGATTTCTTTCTACTAGACCTTTCAGATATGGAGTTCTTGGATGATTCTTCCACAGAGAGTTTGTTACTTAGTGGTGATGAATACAATCAGGATTTTGATTCAACTAACTTTGAAGAGTCTCAAGATGAAGATGATGCTCTCAATGAAATTGTAAGATGCATCTGTGAACTGGATGAAGAAAATGGCTTTATGATTCAGGTAAAGATGTTTTTTCTTTGTATTTTCTATGTGAATTTTGTGATTGTGAAGGGTGCCCTTCTGATAATTTTGGAGACAAGTTGTGTAGAGAGCTTTAAGTAGAAGGTGAACAGTAATAATAAAATATTCCTATATTCTGCAGTCAGTGTGAATCTACCTCAGACATGCAAAAATCTCTCTCTCAAATGGAGTTACATTTTCTCTAACAATTCATTACATGGAATGGGTTTATAAGGAAAGGTAACTTTTTTTCTATATAGCTAGTTGATAAAGTTAAGATAACTGCTTTTATGTGCACAAATTATCATTTATATCCACAGATGATCCTGAACATACCAACACTTCTGATACAATAGATTTGATCCTTGCATTTTGCACTAACAGTTTTAGAGACCCTTCTGCTCGTTGTAAATTTGCCTCGGCTGTATCCACAATAATTATCTGTAGCTTAATGAAGATTGGTGTAGGGGTCTGCCATACTGATACTAATATTGCCAGTATCTGATGTGTGTTTTTAGAGTGACAGTTCTCAAACTGGAAGTTATTGACTCATTTGAGAAACTGCCAAATATAGGAAGAAAAAAAAAAAAAGGGGGGATCGCTCAAAGATTATACAGTGTCTGCACAGTGTTGTCTTCTGTTGATACTACTACTGCTGCTTTTACTACAGTAAGGGAGGGAATTCTCAACTCATAATGGGAGTACAGATTCCTTGAGATGAGGAAATTGTAATATATCACTTAAATTGGATGCCGTCTACAGTGAGGAAGAACTGAGTTGTCAACTACAGTGAGGAAGAACTGAGTTGTCAATAATTTTAAAAAGATCAGGTATTCATGTGTTCTTCTGCACTCAACAGGTTTGTATATGTAGCTATTAACGTAGTGCGACTTCTGTTGAAAATATGAAGTCTTTTTAGATGAGAACTGAATGAGGCAAAAAAGGCTGTCATGGCATGTCAAAGCATTACTGGAATGCAGTGATGCATTAGGAGAATTAAGCAGCAGTGTCAGCAGTGGTAACGTGGAAAAATGGACTGATGTAAAAACCTTTGTTGAGAGGAGAGAAAATTGCAACCGTGGTGGTATGCCAAGAGGAAAGGTGGCCTCTGTGTTTTGGGTAGGTTGGTGCTGGAAATGCACGTCAGCAAAGAGAGACTTTCAGTAATAGAACAACAGAGATTTAAAATGGAGGTAAGCACTGAGATGAGAATGGAAAGGAAAAGCCTACTTGGTGGTGGTTTCCTGCCCATTTCTGAGGTCCAGTGCTGGCCTAATATTGATCGTTTATTTCCTCTTCCTTCCTTGTCTCATCAAGAGCAACCAGTTGCTATTTCAAGGCCCTCGTGCCTTGCCACTTCTATTTTGCTCTCCTATTCTCTTAGTTCTACTCTTTCATTTTCTCTTCGTTTTCTTTTTCTTTTTAGATTTTCCATTGGTGCGGTATTAAAAACACATCTTTCTAGCGCACTGGAGAGATGCTTTGTAAATATAAATAATTAAACTGAAGAGTTTTCTACTTTTCACTGTTATACTGTAATGTATTACATTATCTTTCTACTTTACTGTAATATTCTCCTGTCTTATGTTTCACTTCTGAATATTTAGGTGCTAAAATAGTGAATGTTATAATAAAATATTGTTAGATATTCTCAATGTTTATCTTCAATTTTTTTGTCTCCAGTCTGGAATTTGTGGTTGAGGTGATTTTCAGAACTAGAGTTGAGCTACTTTTTAGCTCTATGTCTTTGCCTACCCAAGCACAAATTGCCCTATAAAATGATTTTACTCTAACAGCTATTTAAGTTAAACTGTTGTTCTTTGCATTTTGATGATACAAGAATAGCTTCTTATTTGTAAATCCACTTATCTTAGTTCTAGTTTTTGCTTTTTTTTTGTTTTTATTTTTATTTTTGGTGTCAGTGTGAAGAGTGCTTGTGTTGGCAACACAGTGTATGCATGGGGTTGTTAGAGGACAGCATTCCAGAGCAGTACATCTGTTATATCTGCAGAGATCCACCAGGTATGAGTAAACCACCTTTATCTGCTGCTGTCTATGTATTTTTTTATAAGCAGAGATATTCTTTGTTGCTTTTACTTGTTATAACTCTGTCTGCTTTGCGTTATATGTTTTACTTAGGTAGGGAAAATATTTCTAAGTTTGGAGCTAAGACAGACTTTTCCTGTTGGTAACATCTTGTCCTAAATTATACTCCAAAATTTTAATTACCTTGGTTTTACTTGTTCAGACTTAATTCTCCTAAACCCATAGGACTATTTAATGCCAGTCTACTCTGAAAAGTAACTCTATACAAAATTAATTCCCTGTTCTGAATGTACTTGCAATTGCATCTATTCATTTAATTTTTAAAAAATGCATTAGTATAGTACACTTAATTCTGTGGATCTCACATCATAATAATTGGATCTTATATAATAAATCCATAGTTGCATATGCAAAACATATGCAACAGCACTTACAATGAAAAATAATATTACACAAGCAGCACATCTTGAACTTAAGATTGCCAGAACAAGTTTGAAATAGCAAGAGCTAGGAAGAGTCTGTTTAGTTATAAACTGAATGCATTTGATACGTAGTTGATTAAAAACAACAAGAAAATCTGTCCATGAAACCACTTTTCTTAACAGTTATTTGGAGGAAAATCATATGATCAAATCTGAAGAAAATATTTCATTTTCCTCTAACAGGATACAATTGCACATGTATAGTAGAAAAACATACATGTTTTTCTATTCTAGCAATCAGGCTTTTTCAAGAGGATAGTAGAACTATACATGAAAATTTAATTTTATTCAGAATTTAAGAAGACATATCGGAAGCCAGCTTGCAGAATTCTAGAATAGCACTGGTTTATATATACACACACACACACATACACATACACATATATATAGATAGATAGATAAATAGAATTTTTTTGAGGGGAAGATTTAGGAAAGCGCTCTACAGATATGATTTTTCCCTTTGTCCCATATCAGGCTTTATTTATGGTATAAAATCTTGTTTGATACATACATTATACTCCTTGAGCAGTCAAGCTTTCTCTTATTAAAAAACAACTATTTTGTTTTGTGATCTTTTCCTGCACTGTAGTAGGTACCTCATTATCCCCAGCTATTCAGAAACTGTGTCCATAATTTTTATCTTCTCTCCCTTCCTAACCATTCCTTCTTTTCTTTCTGTGTCAGGAGAAAAAGGTCATTCACAATGTCAGTATTTTAAAGTGTATTGGGATAATGGGCAGAAAGGAGATAGGGTTTCTCCTGAAAGGTATGAAGGGCTTCCATCAACCCGTTCTTTGTTCTCTATATGATGATAGTCTGATATAAAATCGAGTGTAAGATTTTGCAGTCTTAGGCGGTCGGTTTGTCTGGATTCCTCATTGTATACAATAATATTAGCATAATCAGATTTATAAGTTGTTGGTTTTATTTTTTCATAATGGTTAAATTACTGTAGCTGTATTAGCTAATACAATTCCTACTTGTTGGATAAGGTTGCCATAGCAATGTAGACCTAAGGGCTGCTTACTTAAATGTCCTTTCTCATGCCTGGTACCAGATACCTCCAAGGAGAGTGTAAGAACTCTGCTGAAGGATGATTCTGAGGTGTTAGCCCTTCATGGAGACCTTCTAGATAGATACTGACTTCACAATTACAGCCAAAAGAAACTAGATGTTTTTGATATAACCTTATAAAATCTAGCCTCTAACAGTAACTCGTGCTGTCTTAGTTGTTTCTTAAGTATGCTGCAATAATTAAAAAAAAATGCCAATTTGAATTTACTTTTGCAGTTACATCCACACCATCAAGCTTTCTCATAGCCGATGCTTTGCAGAGTTGATTAGATTGTTCATTTCAAAAACCATTTAGAAAGGGTCATTAATCTTGAGCTTTACCTTTATTTTCATAATAAGTGATAAGCGTTTCTTTAAATCTGTGAAACTTAAATGTTCATGTATTAATGAAATAGCAAAATCTTGAAATCTTCCTCGCATGGATGTTATGAGACATTTAGGAGAGTACAGCATATAATTCTAGCATGCTAGTTTTAAATAAAATTGCACGGTGGTGTTAGGTGGCCCTCAATCTGTTTATTGCTTACCCTCAGGTCAGAGATGGAGTGCCAAATATCTTTATGATAAAGACTGGCTAAATAATGGACACATGTGTGGATTATCATTTTTGAAAGAAAACTACTCTCATCTTAATGCCAAAAAGATTGTGTCAACACATCATCTACTGGCAGATGTATATGGTGTAACTGAAATATTGCATGGACTGCAGTTGAAGATTGGGATATTAAAGTAGGTATTACTCTGCTCTCCAGCTTTATACATATATATATATACATACATATATATATATATAGGTAGTGGAGTCTTAATAGCATTACTCTCCTTTTGCATTATTCTCCTATCCAAACATTCTTGCTTGTGTGATGTTCTAAACACCTTCAGAGCAAGATGTGAAGTAATTGCAGCTGAGCACCTAAGTAGATCTGATATTTTTAGTTTATTAATGATTTTTTGTTTTATGATGACCCTTGTATTAAAAGGTCATTCTGGATATATACTAAATTGAAAAGTGGCTTACGAAAGCTCACTCATATGCTTGATAATGGTGCTTATCAGTAGCAGAAATAGATGCTTAGTGGTTCAGTGCTTTCAGTGCTCTTAAGTGCTACTTCTCTGATAACTTGTTTCCTTCCCTGTTTCTGTTTTTGTTTTTGTTTTTTTTTTCCAGAAATAAGCATCACCCAGACCTTCATCTCTGGGCTTATTCAGGGACACGAATGGAACAAGAACAAATAACTCTTGGGGTAGAGAAAAAAACAGTGACTTTGCCAGACCCCGTTAATCCCCTTGAAAGGACGTGTCAAAATCATAGACAGCCACCTAGCTTACCCCTAAAGATGGAAGAAACATATATCACAAGTGAACACAGTTACCAAAAACCACAGAGTTTTGGGCAAGACTGCAAAGCAGTCAGTGACCCTATGAGCTCAGATGATGAAGATACAAGTAGTTTTGATGAAGATCAGGAATTTCATTCAGAGAATAAAAATTGTTTACAATATTCTTTTAAAGATGATGGGATGAATGATCAGGTAAGTATTATTCTTCATCTGTGCCTTTGCTTAATTAAAAAATGCATTCACTACGATAAACCCAAATGCATGAAAATACTTAGGTATGTTCTTTGTTAAAACTTGGTATTTTCTATTAAATATATTGGTAAGTATAACTAGGAATGAAGTGGCATCACAGTGAAATGGTTTCAGGTTTCAGCTGGTGAATGAAGTGAAAATACTGGTTAAAATTTTGCCTATGTGAAGACAATTGATGCTTCTTCCTTTCCAATTTTTTTGGGGGAAAAAAAGCAAAGCCCTATGCTTAAAGGGAGGGCTCTTGAAAGAATAGTTGTTTTTTTGGAAGGGAGAAAGTAGGGACAAGTTTATGTGTTCTTTGGATTTGGTTTCTTTTTTATAATGACTTGTCAGCTTAGATGGTTTCAATCACATGGAACTTTTAAGTAATTTATATTGCATATTTCTTTCAATTAAATGTGTTTCACAGATTCTTTGTCAGGATTTTTGTGTTAACTGTTTGAATCCATTAGCTTGTGGAAATGGGCTGAAACTTTTTAATCTGGTTTTAGTCATGAGTTCCTTTTAAACAGAAAGCAAAGTAAAGCAAACCTTTCTGTTTTTTGCAATACCAACTGTATGAAAATTGATCGCCCAACTCATCCCCCTTTCAAAATATGGTTTCTGGTGTGGAAAAAAATGAGTAAGATATGGTTTCTTGTTTGTTCATTTTTGTTTTTTTTTTTTTTTCCTTATAAATCTAGTTTTAAATGTGACACATAAGCTACGTAGCCTCAATGGAAAATTTTGTCTTCCGGTTAGAGATAACTGTATGCTGAACCTCATGATTATACTCAGATTTTATAGTAAGGAAACATGCAGCAATGTGAAATACATTTCCTTTTCAATAGTAGCGTAATTCACCAATGTAAATTATGTGTATTTTGAATTAAAAATAAGGATGGGAAACAGAATTAAGTATTTCCCTGAGAACCTAAACCATAAAACTAAAGAGGGACAGTTGGGACAGTATTGGAGTATTTTTTCCTTTGGGACCCTAGTGCATTCAGTTGTCACTACTCAGCCTAGTGCCTGAATAATCTCCCTCTTGACTTACTATGTACTGAAAAATGACCCTTGGTTTCTGTGTGAACCAGTCTGTACCTACCTTAAAATCATGCTGGAATCCCCATTGTATTGCCATTTGTGACACGACCTGGCTTTTCTACAAAAATTCTTCACCTCTTCTTGCCAAACTTGATATGGGCACTGCGTTTCCCTTTTAGATGCTGCAGTGCCTTGAATATTCTGCTTTCCGTAGTAGTTTGCTTTCTCCTGATTTACAGCTCTGCTGTGATCTTCTTATGTCTTATAAAGAGTGTTCAGATTCACTACTTTCAAGTTATTTGTTCAAGGAATGTAGACTAGCCATTTGGATAAACAAATACAGGAGTCATGAAAGCAAGAAAAAGCTATTAGATATTTAGAATGCCTGCCAGATAGAGGAGATTATAAGAATATAGAATCATCTCAGCTTTGAATATGAATTTTTCAGGACTGAAGACATGAATAGATTGTAACGGATTTGTCTCAGTTACTATGGTGTCCATCTGAAAGGCTCATGTAAGAGATGCTCTTGGTTTTAGGATTTTCCTTTTGAGTCCTCCTACAACAAGAGAAAAATGGTATTCTCTTAAGTGTATGTGAGATCCGAAAATTGTGAGAAATAAGGCATTAATTATGTTTACTTTGGAAACATCCTACCTAAACATCAGTCAAATAGTGAAATAATTTGAGTAGTGAAAAAGACAGAAGAGAGAAACTTGGTGTCTTGAGAGATAAAAGACTTTAGTAGTAGCCTTTAAGATTTTAGAGGCTTTTGTGTCTTTTAATTCCATGTCTTCAGTAATTAAGGCGTATACATCAGCTCTTTAGTCAATATTGTATTAACAATTTAATTTACATTCTCCAGGACTCACTTGTGCAACTGCCTGTGGGACCATCCAAGGTCTTTTTTAATTTTTTTTTCCTTACTTGTTTGAAAGACTTAACACCAAACAACGTTTTTTTGGATGGTGGTGGTAGTGGTAATAAGTAACTAAAACTCTTCCACACACAACTCTTCTGCCCATCTCTCTTTCCTCTCCTCTTCCTCACTGGGGGAAGAAATAATTTCAGAGGGTGCTAAGCTTAATTTAATGTGGCATGGAAAAAGATGAAGCGGAGCACGTTTTCAGAACGATGCACCAGTGTGGGGCAACGTGTGCCTTGCTCTGGCATCTACCATGAGCTGGCACAGTGTGAGCACAAGCACAGCAGCATTTTCTGTGAAACTGGTTCCTAAAATAGAATAACCAGTAGGGAAGGAGCTTCATCGGATGTGAAGTCAGAGGGCTACAGAATGGAGACTGCCAATCCTGCTAGTTAATGTAAATGTTGAATATTTTGACTGATTAAGATATACTTCCTTTGCCTGTGGCCTAAGTACGTAAAGATGAAGATAATATGGAGATAATAAATACAGCAAAGAAAGCAGCCTTTGTCTTGCATACTGTGTTTACTTCATGTGGGTATCATTTTGTGCATTACTGGCCATATAACAGTCTCTAAACATGTTTAACTCTGGCCCAGACTCGTGGCTGGAGTTTGTGTGGGATTGTTGCTGCAGAAGGAAGAAAAGTCTTTTGTTTTAATCAGCGTATAAATGGGCAGCTGGTTTGCACAAAATAAGTAGATTGTTCACATCTTCAGCATAACTGTGTTTTAGGCAATTTTCCTTCATTTCCTCACTAAAATTACAGGAAGCATAGGGATTCAATTGTTTTTGGTGGTGGTTTACTGATGCAATTCAGCACTTCATGGTTTGCATTATAATTTGTATGAACAGGGCACAGAAATGCAGTCTGTCCTGCATTATTGAGCTGGAAAGCTTGACCTCCCACCACTCTTACTCCCCCTCCTCAGTGCTCATGTGTGTGGGATTTGCATTTTGTTTGGTTTAGTCTATTGATGTGTCCGGTATCTGGTTCCTGAGCGTGCTTTTCGTGAAGTAGACAGAAGTACCATTGTGAAGTGGCTTCGTTTGTCATGTGAATCGAGTATTGAAATGAACAGCAGAAATAAGCACTCTTAAATGGCAACTTTTTTCTTTCTGTTGCACCTATGAAGAATTCTGCTGAAGGGAACACTGTGTTTGTTTGTAATGAAAAGAAGGGCTCAGAAGAAGAAGTGGACACGCATCTTCAATGGCAGCTAAATCTCCTCACCCACATAGAGAATGTACAGAATGAAGTCACCAGCAGAATGGATCTGATTGAAAAGGAAGTTGATGGTAACTGCATTGCCAGATATTACATACTTTTTTCACTCTTAATGTTAAGACACCTAAAGCAGCATCTTACATAGCCAGTGAAGGTGAAGATGATTAAGGGACTGGAGCACCTATCGTGTGAGGAAAGACTAAGCGAGCTGGGCCTATTTAGCCTGGAGGAGATTGAGAGGAACTCTGATCAATATATATAAATACCTGAGGGGAGAATGTAGGGAGGATGAGGCCAAATTTTTCTCAGCTCCGTGGTGGCCAGTGACAGGACAAGGGGTAATGGGTACAAGTTGAAACACAGGAAGTTTAATCTCCATGTGAGGAAGAACTGCTTTCCTGTGAGAGTGACAGAGCCCTGGAACAGGCTGCCCAGAGAGGTTGTGGAGTCTCCTTCTCTGGACATCTTCCAAACCTGCCTGGATGCCACCCTGTGCCATGTGCTATAAGTGTCCCTGTTTGAGCAGGGGGTTGGACTAGATGATCTCTAGAGGTCCCTTCCAACCTTAACCACTCTGTGATTCTGTGATACACTGAGGATGGATTTTCAAAAATCGTATTCAAATATGGTTACCCAAAATTATAACCAGAGCTTGTGCCACCATCACTTCTGTCCTGGCCCTGTGAAAGCACACACATGCTTTCCAAAACTGTTAAATGTATAGGAAAGTAGGTAAGTGCTCAGATCCCCTGAGAAGTTAGCCTGAATTGTGCAAGAAGAGGTAACTTCAAAAGTGTAGGTGATTTATCCAGCCTTTGCTCAGGTATGGATCATAAAGTACCAGATTTTTTGCAGCTCTTCTGGGGAAGATTTTCCAGCCTGATGTATCTAGTATTTGAGAATATTTACAGGGAAAGATATATTTGTTCTGCTTTCATCATTGGTTTGCTTTATATTAATAAAGAAAAAAAAGGTTTCAAGAGCAAAGATGAGACTTCTGATGAACATGAAATGTGAAAATTTACATGAGGTTCTACTGCAGTTGTAAATATTGCAGGAGACGTATTTATTCACTCACCATTTGTTAAAACTTTCTTAGAAAAGCTTGAGAGTAGTGTAGGCATTACTTATATTTTGACAACTAAATTCATCTTATTCCTAGTTAGAATTTTGCTTTCAATATTGCGACTTGCACTAGGTTAACAGTTGGGCTTTTTCCTTTACTGTCTTTACATACATCTAAATTCATTCAACAGAAAAATAAACCTTCAAGACTTGAAAACTTTTCAGTGATCTGGTTCTTACAGCTGTACTTGTACCTGTTGAGGAGACAGAAGTGAGGGTAGGACTTGACTGATCCTTGCTTTAGAAAGTTGCTTTTTCGGTTGCGCAACCATCATAGACCTTGACCCAAGGATTCTTCTGTGTTTGTAGTGAGTGAATTGTCGGCCAAGGCTATAATTTGCCCCCAGGTATCTTTTTATATTATCAGCCAGTCAGGCAGGATACCTGGATTGTGCAAGTGAAACACTAAATTAGTTGAAATTTCCCTAGTGAATGCTTTTTTTTTTTTTTTTTTAATGTTACATTAAGATCACACCCTCAGTATATTTCCCCTTCTTATTAAAGGCAGGATATTAAAGAAATAAGTTTAGTTGTGAAAATTATGTTGTTCCCAGGCATATTCTAACTGATTTCTTCTTCTCTCTAGTTCTAGAAAGCTGGCTTGATTTCACTGGAGAACTGGAGCCACCAGATCCTCTTGCAAGATTGCCTCAGCTGAAGCGACGTATCAAGCAGCTCTTAATTGACATGGGGAAAGTACAGCAAATAGCAACACTTTGCTCTGTATGACAAAAGGAAGAATAAAGAAATAAAAATAGGCTTTCTACAGTGAATTTTCTTACTAGCAGCAGGACTGACAGGACGACAGCAAAAAGCTGAGCATTTATCTGGTTCTGTGCTGATTACATTAATAGCCCGAAGCTTTAGAGAGAGGAGAAGAGATCTAGACAAAGGAATTTTTTATACTGAGTATCTGAATATCCACTGTCCAAACTTCGAAGTATAATATATTGCACACTGAGAAATGATGGTGTGATCTGAACATGTTAAACAAGGTATTTTCCTCATTTAAGAAAGCTGACCAAACAAAAATTCTGCAAAGAACAGCGCTACCATTTTGAAACCTTTGGCAGGAAGTTCCAAATTCACCGAAGTCGGATGACTAAAAACAGTGCTTGGGAAATGCATTTTTAATGAATTCCTTTTTTTTCTTGCTAGTGAAAGATAGACACGGAGAGCTCTGTATCCTCTCTACAAGAAAAGTTTGTAGATTGTTATTTTCTTCTCTCATGAATGTTTGGGAAAGTGAACATTTTAGCTTTGGCTTTGAAAGAAATGACTTGTCATGGTCTCATTTTTAAAGTATTTTTTTAAATAGAAATCCTTATTGGAGCACCCTTAAGCTCCTTTAAAACATAAGTGGCAAATAGTTGTCAGATGTGCCAAATAATGTTAAAACCACTGGGATGAGAGTTTGCATATGACTTACATGAAGGTTTTTTTTTTTTTTTTCCAAAGTCCTACTTGGTGCCAGCAATCCATCCAAAAGTGTATCTAGTTTATATTTTTTTATTTTCTATTGCAGTGTTCAGGATTCAAAGTACATTTTTTGTCCTGGGTAGCTCTGTTTTTGTGTTAGCCCTTCAAAACTTTTATCAACCTCAGCTGGGATGAGGAATGACAAGAGCAGCGCGAATGTCTGTGGCTGTGAATTACTAAACCACTAGAATAAATATCACAAATATACATTATGTTTTTATAAAAACTGTCTGCTTCAGTGAATGAAACATCATGAAACCAAAGGCAACCTAGTTGCTCTGTTAGATCTTGCTGGATTTTGAGCCCAGGACTTTCTTTGTGTTTATAAGTTGCCGCTGTACCCAGTGATACATACGTTTATGTGTATGTATATGTGTATAGATACACATGTACATATATGCATACCATATACATTTATATCTACACATGTCTAGTTTTATTACAGTAGACTATAAGAACTGGTGGTTAACATGAAATGTTACCTTTTAACACACAGTTTCTAAAATTGAAAATAATGTATGTACAGGTTTTGAAATTTGTAAAATATGACTGTTAAAAGGAGGCTATTTAACTGATGACATTAAGATACTTGAACATTTTATGCCTCACATCTGTTTATCAGTTCTAGTTATCTGTATAAATGCATTTTAGAACCGATAGACAGTAAACTTGAATTTACCTTTTGATAAAGAGTACAAGCCACTGTACATTCAAAAATTATTTAAATTTGCAAACACACTGTTCTATATGTAAGGTACTGTATGTAAAACTGTTTATTAAAACTATTCTGCATACTCTACATTTTCCACTTTCCTTCCTGATCTACATACCAATGAAGAATAAAAAAAAGAATGTACAGACCATCAGAAATCATAAATTCCTGAAATGCCTTTCGAGGATTTGTAAAATTGAAAAAAGTGCCAAAGATGGGTTATTTAGGAAAGATTTTGCAACCAATATGTTGAACTTTCATGATAAAAACCATTAATGAGAAAGAAAGTAGCATGGCTTGTTCATTGCTAAAATATGTCTTCTCTGATGTTTCCCATCTGCCTGTCATTTCTGAAGTAAGCGATTGTTCTTGGTGTCTGAAGCAAAATGTAAACCCCTGTTACAGAGCAATTAGTATCTAAAAGGTTTTCTACACCAGTCTTACAGGAGATATCACAAGTCTGTATGATAAGTATAACCTGGAAGCTCATTACGGAATCATGATTGGCAACTTCATAATACAAAAAGACTGCAACAGCTGAGGAATTGTTGGCATTTTAATAGTAACTGTTAAATAAAATACCCTGCTACGCTATATAGTTGGATGCTTAAATAACTGCTTAAAACAATACGAGTAGTTCTTGAGTATCTTTTTTGATATGCGAGACCTTTTTATATACAATTGCTACTTATCCTTGAATGTGGTGCTGTGTGTACTGTATAGGAGAAGCGTAAACACAGATGAATTACTTTGAAACAAAGTGGAGTGTATTTACATATTTTTTACAGCATACACTATAGCAATATGATGCAGGGTGTGTGCATGGTGTGATGTAATATAATTGTAAATGTGACTGAAGGTGCGATGGACCGGAGGGTTTCAGGTGGGGAGAAAGAGGTTCCATTCCTAGTGCAGAGATGCAAAAATAGTATCCTGAAAAGGAAACTGTTGTAAGGTCAAAGTTAAAGTTGCCTTTGCAGCTTTAGTTTGTCTTCTACTTGTATAAGTAACAATCTCTAGATTCACATGATTGTATGATTCTATCCCTGAGGATCCTGCCTTATTCAGGATGACCTGTGCTTGCAAAACAATCATATTTATTTTTGCCTTCTTTACTTATGTAGTCAAGTACTATAGAAATTCTTGCAGGCATTCATATCTGAGCTGAAATAAGTCTCCTTTTCCTTGTGGACAGTTCTACAGTACAGGGCGTACTGCCTTGAACGCTTCACCAACTTTTTGAGTTTGCTTTCTCAAATTGTCATGTTAGTCTGCAACATGTGAACACTAGTTATGGCCCCAGTTTCTCAAGTATTCACATGCTGGGGTGCTCTTAAAGCTTTTTGGTTGGTTCTTTTTTTAAGCACTTGCAAGTCAAGTGCCATAACAGTGCTAAGTGTTCTGCACAGTATGTAACTTAGTTGCTTGCTCTGCAGATGTGTTGGTTAAACCCCTTGTGGTCTGGTTCATACCAATATATCTTTTAGTTGGCCTTATCCAGGAATCTTTTCTCTGTAAGCGTTGTCCTCCTTATGTCCTCCAGCTTCCTTGGCAAATGAGTTTCAGAGCTGCACACAGTCTGCCGACATGGTCATTTGCCTGGTGATGAGTTGCTGTGCTACTCAATGCAAGAGGCAGGCTCTCTCCAAAAAGTATGCCATGATGTAGTGACTGGTTTTGGTACATGTGTATAAAAACATGATATGGAACCTCTAAATTCACAGCTTTCAGCTTAAAATTTAAGTTCTTAGCAATAATAAAAAGGGAAGTGCCATTGTGAACCCTGTGGTGTTTTCACAGGACTAGGTGACAAAACTATGGAGTCTTTAGAGGCCCAACTTTTTCTGAGATGATTCTGCACCCACCTCTTCACAGAGCTGTTTGGGAGTGATTCATATCAAACACTTCTCCATGTGACCATAATGTGGGCATCTACATCAGAAATTCTGCATTTTCAGGTGTAGTGATGGCAGTAGGACATAAGTAATGAATAATATCATCATAAATGAAACATACTTCTGGTCATCTGATCAGATATCACAGGATGGATGTTTCCCATGGTTTTTTTGGTTGTAAAATGGAAGTATTTCAAGTCATATGGATTGGAAGATGCTTCCTATAATTGATTCTTGGGGGTAGCTGTAGTTTGGATAAAGCCCATATTTTGGATCTTTTGGCCTTAGATGTATGGATCTTTATTCAAAGAGGAAGTAACTAGCAGCAGTAGAGAGCTGACATCATCTGTAAGATAATCTAAGCAGCATAAGTTGCAGTTTTCTGGTAGATATTTGCTAGGCAGGGAGGAATTTTAATCCTTTCTACAAGGATGCAACCCCCTCGTAGGACTGATGCTGTCACTCTTCCTCTCATCCCTACATTGCACTTCCTTGTCTGTCTTCCATCTTGCATCTGTCTCTCCTGTTTTTCAGCTTTTTTCCCTCTGACCTTTTCCATTCTGGTAGGAGGGTTTCACACCTTTCTTCTTGTGCCCCAGTTCTTTCTGGTCGTTGTGGGAAGGTCACCCTAGGAAAGAATCTGCTCGTCTGAAACCTCTGCTCTGTTTGTCCACAGCCTGAAGTCCATTCTGGTAGCTCTGTGTGGTTGGATTGGGTGTGCAGTGATCGCACTGCAGGTATTTTTGCTGCTTTCCTCTAGTAAACCTCTACTGATCATGTGCAAATGGTGAGGTCCCCTGCTCCCACGGGACTTCTCACTTAGCTAGACCTAACCAAACTGCTTTCTTTTTTTTCTTCTTTTTTTTTTTTGCAAAATCTTTAAAAATCAAAAACAGATTCTGAACCTAGACAACTTGAGCTAGAGGTTTTTTCTTATTTCTTTCTCTTTTTTTAATACTCTTCATAACAAAAAGTTCATCTTCAGATCCTTGCCCTGTTGCCCATCACACACAGATACTGGTGTGTAAAGGAGATGTATGCAACATGTATACTTTCACAGGCAGGAGGGACTGTTTTTGCCAGGGTGTTTTAAAAGATAAGAGCCTTACATTTTCTCTCTAATGCTTAAAAATCTTGCAGTCTGTGCTTCTTAATTTTAGACTGTGTTTATTAAGGTCAGAAGGCGTAACCACTTTGTAAATGATCATTGCTATCCTCATGTTTTATTAATTCCTTTTTTTGTTTTCCTTTGTACCATATCCATGCAACTTTTGGTCGTCATTTTACCGGGGGCATTTGAAATGCTTCAGTAATGTTTTTTAATATGCTGTATTATGTCCTGAGCACTGGATGTAGGGGGCCTGGCTTTAGCAATAAATGTTATACACTATGTGTATATATGTTTATATGTGGGAAAAAAAATACAGAGCAAGTCGTGATGGTGAAAATACACTGCAGTAAAAAGCAGCTTGTGCTTTTGGCAGCCATTCTGCACCAGCCTGAGCAACTGAAAAAAATCTGTAAAAAAGTGGAGAGCCTGTGGATAAAATGAACTGGCATTAAAATGAACAAAGAGACAAAACCACCTATTTGGGCTTGAATTTCAAAATCAGGCCCCCTGATCTATACACACCGGGTCTGTGTGTATGCAGGCAGTATGTGAGCCAGCACAGCCTCTATGGACTCAGTAGCTAATGCTAGTTCAGCTCCTGTTTGCTTTGAACAGCGACTTGGTTTTCTGTAAAACAGCAGCAGTTTGGCCGTGTGCGTCAGTGTATTGTCACTAAACGGTCTGAGAGAGGCAGTAGTGCACTATTATCGACTCTTCCATGAGAGAAGCAAAATACTTTCTTTTGTGGTGTGTTTTTTATAATAGCAATAATGTCGACTGCATTCTAATACTCCCAATAAAGGTCTGTTGAGATTGCTGCGTGCCTGGGCTCGCTTTCAGTGGACTTGGGTTTCACCAAGCCCGTGAGTGTTCTGCGGACATCCCAAAATGCTATGGAGCCTTCAGATCCCTAAGCAAATCTGTTAGTCAAATTATATACCGTCATGGATGGTAGGTTACTGTGTGACAAAATAATTAGAATATTTTCCTGTTCTGAGCAGCCTTTTTTTTAAAAAAAAAAAAAAAAAAAAGAGTTTTGAGTTTTGCAACACACTTAGTTATTTGGCAGACAAAGTCTTTCTGCAACTTGTTCACAATTATACTTTCTCTTTTGGTGGACAGACAGCTATCGCTTATGGTTTATTTTTTAGTTTTGCATCTTCATACAATGCCATTGCAAAACAACTTGCTTTTAGTAATTTCTTAGTTTATAGGCAATATTAAAATGCATTTTTCCAGACCCTATTGTAGTAGGAAATAAAAAAGCAGCTAATACTGAGAAAGTTTCTTTTAATTACTTTGTGGACGAGGACATAGATGAATAGCTGCAGTTGAATGAAATTATCAAGATCTAATTGAGTTGTTGGTACAGTGAAAATGTTAGATCTTCATTTAGGAGAACTAGATGCGATCTTAAAATAAATTTCTGTGTTTTTATGGGGAATCTTAGAGGTCATTATTGAAAACAAAATCAGGAAATAGTCTTTCAAATTTAAAAGAAACGGGGTCAAATTCAGATCTTGGAGTAATAGGGTTTTTTTGTCGTTTGTTTGTTTCTTATTAGCAAAAGAGTTTATGAAGAGGTGACTGAGTTAGTAGATCTAGTCAGCCAGTTATCTTTGATGGAAGTTGAGGATTGCACGGTTTTAAAACACCAAAGTAATTTTGTCCAACCAAAACTAGAAACTGAGAACTTTGTTGTGTGGCTGGAGATGTCTTTTCCCATATGGGTCACTTTGTACTTAGCAAATATTGAATCTAATTCCATGTGTGAATCTCTGCATCACTCCATTGCTGATGGCAGAACTTGGTGGTTCTTGGAGTTTCAATGCAGGCTACATCTTAGATGCCATAAGAAGAATATATCCTCTGCCTTTTTTTCTTGCCTAGCTACTAGGTTAGTGCACAACCTAGTTAGTCCCTACTGCTAGTGCAGTGTACGAGTTACTTCCTCACCATTCTTTCAACTCAAAAGCCATACCTGGAAAGAACTGTGCAAAGCGGAAAGCAGTTACCTAAATAAAAACATACACAAAGTCTTATGTAGGATTTTACATAATTTCCTTAAAAGAAGAGGAAGGATTATCCAATATTTGTGATGTAATTAACATGGAAAAGCAGTGTATTATTTAAATGCACAAAATATGGAAGTAATCTGCTAATGTTTTCAGTTCTTCAGAATTTCATACTTCCAAATTTCTGCTTTGTGCAGGAGGCTCCTTTTAAGTTAATTTCTTAAACTACAGCAGGTATTTCTGGCTTCAGTCTCATTTGGGTGAGAGAAGCTTTTCTGTAGGTATGTATGTTTATGTGTTCATGTTGCCCTTGGGCTTCTTGATGCGTAAACATTGCAATCCACAAACCATATTTTGTACTGAGAAAGTGGTTGCAAAACTGAAATGTCTTGAATTTTAAGGTGTCATTGGATAATCAGACTTCTTTTCCCTTAATATTTGTCGCTTCAGTAAAATGTTTCATCATGCTAATATTTTTCTTTCCCCATCCCAGGGTAGCTACCCAGCAGTTATAGTCCAGGTCACACATTGTTTTTCTTACTTTTCATAACAAATGGAACCTTTACTTCCAACTCTAGACCATGTTGGCAAGAAGGACCTTTTCCAGTGGCTCCGTTTTCATCACTGATGAGCTCTTGAAGAGGTTGTTCCATCTTCTCTGACATGCTAAAAATAGAGATCAATACTATTGTTCCTTCACTGACGTCAACATTATGCAGTGAGGAGTTTTGGTTTGAATTCTACCAGCCACATAGTTCACAAGTGCCTTTCCACCTCCGAAGCATGTGGATTTTGCATATTGCTCTTTAAACTATTTTTTTTAAATCCACGGGCTATTGCATCCCATTGAATTTGCGTGTGTTGAGATGCCCATCTTGATCTGACGCACACCTAGAAGTAGTTTAAGGGATGCCAATTGGCAGAACTCACTCATTTGTTTTAAAAAGACTTTTAAGTCTTGGCTGTTCTTTCCACCTACATGATTCAGCAATTGTTTTTTGAGGAAAATAAAAATAATTTGGGGTATCAACACTATGTAAGTATTGTAGATCTCTGCTATCTGTTGAAAGAACAATCCTTTGAGACCTCTGTTGTACTATGCTGTAGGTTCCATTATTGGCTACTAATGACCTGTGGTAATTACCACAGAAAGAAGTGAATGACTACCATAAAAAAGTCCATTTGCTATGCAAAGAGCCTGGATTTTAGAATTTAGTTTAAACTAAGTTTAGAAAATGCAATTAAATAAGTGCTTCTACTGTATATGGATTTCAGTTGCTTGCAAACACGCTGTTGTGCCTGTGTCTCAAATGGGTTTTTCTGGTGACCATTGACTCCTCCAGTCCTAAGAAGGCTGGTTGAAAGTCAAATCTAATTGTAGTTCAGGTCTCATTTTAAGAGGACTAGTCAGGCTGTACCAATTTCATACTGCTCTTTGAGATCCTGTTTACCATATATATAATGCTGTAATGCTACAGAGGTCTACAACCTAGGCTATTGATGATTGATGTAGTGTTAGCACATATAGTCTTTAAAAGGGTATCAGTATCATGGAATAGTTGCAACTGGAAAAGACCTCCAGAGATCAACCCACCTCACCCCAGCAGGGTCAGCTGAAGTAGATTACCCATGACCTTGTCCAGTTGGGTTTTGGATATTTCCAAGGATGAAGACTTCACAAACTTCAGTAGAGTTGTTTCTATAGAGATTCTATAGCACTCATGAATCACAAACAAGTGTGCTGCTGTCACTTTTTCCTAAAATCTAACCCTTAGAACAAGAGTTTGGTTCTTTCTATAAGTCCAGTGTCCAGTGTGCATTCTCATTATTACTAATTCTTCTGGGCCCTGGAGTCCCAACTAGCTTTGTGTAACTAAACATGAGATCTCACAGTTGGTGATGCAAAAATTTGAACAAGTAAGTGCCAACTATCACAATATGTATGCAGGGAAGATATGATACTCCAGAAGCATCAAAGTAATATTTCTAAAGTAGTTTTATTTTGGGGATCTTATATGTATAAGCACCAAAAGCTTGACCTTTTTTTGATCTCCTTAATAGCATTATCTGTGCTATGTCTAGGGAGGGAAACTGCACACATGAAGCTACCTCGAAGCTGTAGATGAGTATGTGGTACCAGTGGGAGTTGAAGCCAAGGTTTAAAAAGAACACAAGGTCTAAATAAGCAATGTAGCTTGTGGCTGCTTTCAACTTATGTATGTTTAAATATAAGCTTGAGTGCTGGCATTATTCTTGATGAATGTTCCCCAAGTCAAGAGCAAGTCAAGACCTTGCTCTAGGTATTTTAGGCCTCTAACTTGCCATTGATTGCAGTTGGGAGTCAGAGTCCTGTTCAAGAAATTTGAATTTGGTGCATGCAAGCTCTGTCTGGGGCAACGTTGTTATGATTAATCTGAATGTTGACGTTAAGTCCTCCTAGCTGCCCTTTGTGTATGCTGGTGCTCGTTCTTTTTTCAGATGACTGGGTTCAGTAGTGCTGCCTCGAGAGGGAATGAGAACTCCCTGATGAAAACCACCAGGGCAGTTCCAGGTGAATGGCCCTCTTGTAGTTTGCTTAGAAGCATCACATGCGTCACTCACCCAATTTAGTAGCCAGTCTACCAGCTCATAAGTGAACCTGTCCAAACAGCGTTTGCTATAAAGACAGGTGAAGGTTGTGTTGTGTGCCAGGCTGCCTTGATGACAGAAGGTGATGGAGCTCTTGCATCGCAAGATGGGCTCCATCACATTTTGCAGCCTTCTTTGCTTTATTGGTGTAGTGACAGCCAATATATTTGGTAAGTACACCTCCTCTTTCCTTTGCTTATGCCCAGTAATGATTCTGCTCCTGTGATCCTTGTACTGCTCCTTGTGTTATTCCTGCTAACTGAAAAATGAGACAAAGGTAGCTATGGTTTTACATGCTACGCAGTGGAATCATATATTGTTAGTCTACCTTGCTATTGTGGGATGTGCAGATTGAGTCTGGTTTTTAGGTTAAATCACAAATGGTGAGGATCTGAAAAAGGTTATTTGAGTTCAGGAAGCTTGTTTTGGGGATGAAAAAGAAATGGAAGAATGGAGTGGGCCAGAGTACAATCTTGGGTAAGAAAGGATGGTGCTACAGTGATGCAAAGGTATTAAGAGTTTGTTTGTAACATTTATCACCTAGCTCAGATGACTTAATAGTCTGTCTGTATAGAGGCAGACTATAGATATGTAGAAGGGATCTCCACGCATGCTGGAGCAACTGGCTCAGAGTCACCTTTGAGATCAAAATAGATTTGTCTAAATGTGGATGTGTCTACATGTGAGCTAACCTAAACTCCTTCTACAATTCTTTTGTAAAATTTTATGTGGGCTTATAGGGGCACAGTGAGAACTCACAGAGAAATGATTGAGAGTGCTTAGGTGCTCAGAAACCATCTTTTGTAAAAGAGGTCTTCAAGCCAAAAATTACTGGAGGCCACAAAGTAATCAAGATTCTCATGATGTATTTGTGCTATTAGACCTGCACTATTAGACCCTGACCAAAAACTGGATGAGATGAACCTTTAGTTAAATCACTGCATCTATGTTTTTATTTAGTTTGTTTTTAGAGTTGATGAAAAATTACTCAGAGCAAGTAAAAACATATTTAGAAGCAGTTGCTTATCTGTGGACATTGAATTACCTCATCTCCACTGACTGTAGTAGCTACAACCCTGAGGACCAGAGTGGAAACAGAAGCAACTAGCTCAAATATAGAATCCTGTGCCAGAACTCCTGGTCCTACCATTGCTCTAACTAGCACTTTCACTAGTGCACATATCTCTTTGGTTTCAGCAAAGTGACACTAATTCAACTGGTACCCAGTTCCACAGATTTCTTACTATTTTCACCTAACTTTGTCAAAGTTTTGACAGAAATTTGTCAGATCTAGAGGACAGGAGACTGTCAGGTCAACTAATCTCTTCTGTAAAGAAGGAATTATTGAATTTCATCATTCTTCCCAAACAGCATCCAAATTTGATTTTGGAAGGAATTAAAAACTGAAGAGATGACTGCTTGTTAGGTGGCTTCAGCAGTTAATCATTTGTACTGCTCCTAATGTGATTTGACTTTGACTACTTTGATTCTTTAAGGCTTTCATGAAGTACAGTAGAAATACCTTTTCCTTTTGGTAGAATAGCAACTTCAACAAAGAACTAGTACTCAGAAGTATTAGTAGTGATGTCCCTCCAAGAAATAGATGTTCCTATGGCAAAATAGTGTTTTGCGAAGGTAGCCAGGACTAACCTTGAATAAGAAAATCACCTCAAGTGCCAGAAGATGATAGCTGTGTTAGTACAGAACAGATTTGCAGCTAATTCAGCACAGGCCTGGGAGTGGTGCTGATTGACACCTTCATCATCAAATAGTTCTTCCTACCTTTCTGCTCTGCCCTGTGCAGCAATGTAAATGAGGAATCATGAGAAAATAACCAGGGAGGAATTGTGGACCTCTGCCAGTATTGCCACTAATGGAGTTTCAATAAGAATAGGTTCATAGTGTAACTGCTTCTATGTCTCTGCCTTCTTGCTGCTTTCAGAGTATCAGACAGAGTCCCAGCCTTTACGACCATGTGAACTTCAGAGGGAAAAGGCTTTTTCAGAAGGAGAAACTTATGTTCCTCAGTGTTCAGAAGATGGCCAGTTCAGGTAATTCATCCCGGCTGTTATTCTGCTGGTTTTGTTTGTAATTTTTCACTTGTAATTAAAGTTTTAACTTTGGTTAAAGAAACTCTGTATCTGCAGACTGGATGGGGAGGTATGATTGGAGGTATTTCGTTGAGTTATGTTACAGATCCAGATTCTCCTGAATGAAATCCGCCTTGCTGGAAATAATCTCTGTGTTAATAGGTTAATATAACATTAATAGGCTAGTCTTGGCAGCAGTATTTTTGTGTTAAACCCTTGGTGCAGATTATTACATTATGCAACTGCCTTCCCATGCAAACTTACAGGTCCAACACCCATGATGAATGTGCCAGCTGGCATAACTGCGCCAGGCTGACTGGGGGAAGCTATTCATGGTGCTCTAAGTGGTACTGCTTGGTTTCCTTCTAAGGGAAGCAAAAGAACCAGAAAGCTCACTGGGAGTCCATGGAACAGTGGGTTAGAAGACCGTGTGTGGCTTGAAGAGGCAAGAAGTTAACAAGTTAAAGTGGAGGTGGAGGGGGAGTGCACAACATAATGCTTTTTGGTGTTATTTTACTCTTGTTGCCTAGGGTGGGGAACTTAGAAAATATCCCAAAATGTTCAGTGAATCTCAAATTCTGAGAAGGAGGATTCAGTCCAATCTACATTCTTCCCAAGTAACTCCAACTCACTTTTATACAATTACTGAAATCTTCAGAGATTTACTGGAATTAAGAGCAGCTGTCATCAGCTAGACCCAGTATATTTAAAGCCACCAGAAATGCAGTCCTTCTAACTCTGTTATTTGTGATTTTATAGTACTTGTCCTGCATGTTTGTTGTGATTTATGTCTTGGTTTATGTCTTGTACTGACTGAGGACTCTGTAATTAACAGAATAAAATCTGTAATGTGTGTTCTGTCTCAGAACGGTTCAGTGCAGTAGGAATGGTCTTTCCTGTTGGTGTGTGGATGAGAATGGCATTGAGGTACCTGGCAGCAAACAGAATGGATATCCTGTATCTTGTAAGTCAGACATTTCAGTGTGCCGTGAATTTGAACTGTCGAAATCAAGAATGGGTTACATCTAGCTTGTAACAGGTCTTTCCTTGAAAGCTATGGATTTTCTCTAGAGGCGATGGTGAAAACCCGATATACCTGGATAGTCTCTGTTCCTTAAGGCTATCTGAATGTAAATCATGAAAGAAAGATGCAATTATTGTATTGGCATTAGACTCAGCCTATCTGATTTTCTGTGTACTGGTTTTCATGAGCTCAAGTGCATTAATGTCCTGATGCCACTTGGGTGGCAGATTCAGAACTTGTAACTATGAGAAAACTCAGATTGTCTTAAATGATTTAATGCCCAGCAAGTAACTTCTAACAATGACCTTCTCTGATATATTAGGCCTATCCTTTTGCCAGCTGCAAAAGCAGAAGATCTTGGTGAGTCGCTACATCAACAGCAGTAGCATCTCCTATGTCCCTCAGTGCTTGGATTCAGGAATGTTTGATGTGGTGCAGTGTGATGTGGAGCTGGGTCAGTGCTGGTGCGTAGACCCAGAAGGAATGGAGATTTATGGCACCAGGCAGAGAGGAAAGCCAACACAGTGTGAGTAGGAGTCAACAAAAAGGCGGGTTTTGTGGGGATGGAAGGTTTGGTTTGAATTAAAATTTGGCCCATTCGGAGCTTGGACACTGACATACATTCATTCTGTGTGTATGGTATAACTGTAGGTGCTTAACTGAATAAACCGAAGTGTCTATTTTCACTGCCTATAAAGGGAAGCCAAGGCACTTCACTTAGGCCTGTGTGTTCAGTGTAGTGGATTTGAGTCCATTCCAAATAACATGATGATTGTTTGACTGTTCATGCGAAGATAAATACCAATCAGCAATACTTTTATAAATATAAATAAATGCCAATAAACAATACCCTTTTCCAATCAGGTCCAGGAAACTGCGAGATCCGAGACCGGCGCATTCTTCATGGGGTTGGGGAGAAGAGCCCACCACAGTGTTCACCGGACGGAGAATTTAACCCTGTCCAGTGCAAGTTTGTCAATACTACAGACATGATGTTTTTTGATCTTGTTCATAATTATAACAGGTGAGAGCATAGGGTTCTGAAAAAAAAAGGAAGGCAATTCTGCATCTCTCTTCAAGTCAGTATCTTATTGCAGTTCTTCACTTGAAGTCCTTTTGTGATCCCATCCATCTTTGTTTCCTGATGATGGATGGACCAAGTAAATAACTTTTTTTTTCATTCTTTTGACTTATATTTGCTTATCTAGAAAACCCTAATATTACATTTCTGCAATCCCATCAATATCTTTGCACATCAGTAGATATCACATTGCAATAATGTGCAAGAGTAGTTGGGGTACCTTCTAGATTGACTCAGAACAAAAAATGAAAGAAGTGCAGAAAGGGGAGAGCAGTTTAGATGTATAAATGAGATAAAAAAGATTATTTCATATGGGGTATGAGATCATATAGACAGAGAGCCAAGCGGCAACACATGAAGAGCAAGCTCCACATGCCAGAATGGAAGATGCTAGTTTGTGTACATAATACTGGAGTTACTCAGAATCACAGAATGATTGAGGTTGGAAGGGACCTCTAGAGATCATCTAGTCCAACCCCCTGCTCCAGCAGGGACACCTAGAGCACGTGGCACAGGGTGGCATCCAGGTGGGTTTGGAAGATCTCCAGAGAAGGAGACTCCACAACATCTCTGGGCAGCCTGTTCCAGAGCTCTGTCACCCTCACAGGAAAGAAGTTCTTTCTCGTATGGAGGTGGAAATTATTGTGTTTCAGCTTGCACCCATGACCCCTTGTCCTGTCACTGGCCACCACGGAGCAGTGTTTGGCCTCATCCTCCCTACATTCTCCCCTCAGCTTACTTGTACATGTTGATCAGATTTCCTCTCAATCTTCTCCAGACTAAACAGGCCCTGCTCCCTTAGTCTCTCCTCATATGATAGATGTTCCAGGCCCTTAATCATCTTTGTTGCTCTTAGGCAAATAATAGGCAAAATATAGGCAAATGAGTAAGGGACAAAGAGGGGATGCTACAATACAGATTGGCCTCTAGTGGCTGGAACAGGCTGGGGAAGTTTTCAAAAAGTTGTATCAAATGATCATCCAGAGAAAACATGCAATGGGAACATGAAGCTGTTGTCCTGTGGAGGAACCAGAAAATAATGATCACATGGAAAAGGCCTGGGAAAGGAGAACCCCAGGGAAAGGATTTCCCTGTGGTAAAGATGTTGAGACAACCCAAAGAAATCCTTTAGTTTCCTAGAAAGTGGAGTTGTCTCAGTTGAAGCCTTTCTCCAGTGGAAGGCAGTGGGGTAAATACAATGTTTCATTCTAACTTGACTATACCAGCAAAGGCATTTTATTTCATCATTTTGCCATTTCGAGGGGGTGGTTATTTAAGGAAAATTGAAAGGCAGGCTCAAATGCACAGTGAAAATTTGTCAGAGTTTCAAGAGAGGTTATTTTGGCAAGAGCAGAATACTTTGGCTGTTTCACTTGTTGGCCTGTGATGTGCAGAAATTCTAAAAGAGCAATTACAGAGAAGAAAACAATGCTTTAATTTAACATTCTTTTGCTCTCTTTGGGAGGTTTGTCTGGAACAGCGCTGCCGAATTGGGCTTTTTTGTGTGTCTGCATCATGTAATTAATCAAAGCAGGACTGCTGCTTTTCCAGCTGTCTACCTTCCTAATTACAGCATTGTCTTGGCTCATTACCATCCTATCTGTTCCAAGCAATTAATATATTTTTACAATATTCCTACAAGATAAAGAAATGTCATTATCCATTTCTATAAACAGGAGGTGACAACACAGTGTTGAAGTTACATACTAAGTTCCACAACAAATGACTGTAGCAGAAGAGGTGTATTTTGAAAGTTTTGTGTTCACTGAATTTCGCTAAATTGGGTGTTGAGATGCTAAGGTGATGAGTTCCAAAGATATGAGCAGTGAGGAAGGCTGCTTGTAATAATAGTGGCATTGCTCTCACAAGAAGAGAACAGGTCATACTGTGATAATTCATGGAGCAGAGAGCTCTTGAACTTTCCCAGGTCATTTATGTCTATGTGTATGTAGAAGACCAGGGAAAGACACTGGCTGTTTATACCAGAAATTGTTTTCTGTTGATGCCAACAAAAGTACTTTTGTGTCCCAAAGTATGAAACTTTGGTTGCCTTTAGTGTGCCATGTCAGCAGTACAGCATTTCTCAGGTTTTTCTCAGCATTTCTCATTCATGTCAGCAGTACAGCATTTCTCAGGTGCATTGCAGATTGCAAAGAGCAGGTTGTGGTGGGACAATGCTGGAATTGAGGTAGTCCCAGTTAGTTAAAGGAAGTACTCTCAAGTACACAGGGTTGCTGTAAGCTATTTTGGCATGTTCATGCTCTTCCAGTTGTTCAGGACCATTACCCTTATTCTAATAAGTGTTCTTCCTGATTAAACCTCCCCCAACTCCCCAAAACAAAACAAAACTATTTATTTTTGTAAAAGACTTTCCATATATGCCACATGGACCTGGGATAACAGGCTCTTATTGTAAGAGTACATCTCTGCAATATAACCTGGTTGTTGTGGAGCACGATAAAATTGTCCCATTGGCTGCGTGACTTGAGTTTAGAAAAAGATATTTTCTGTTTTCTTAGAGAAACCCTAGAGTGTCTGTCAGTTAAGATCATATTTATTATGTTTTATTTTTTTTCCAATTCTGACTCTATTAAGTTTCCTTCTTAAATCATTCCTTTGCTGGAATCTGGCTGTTGTCACTACCAGCATATTATCCTGGAATCTGGCATCTCTTTGATCTCCAGAAGAGTCAGTCTTACTTGTAATCTGTTAAAAACCCTTTCTGTTTAATCTATTGAGCCATGTTCTCAGAATGAAGATTAGTGTTGCTTTTATCAGCTTTCTGTGCTTAATTCACTGCTGAAAGCCCCTATTGCATGTGGGGAGGAACAAACAGGAAGGAACCTGATTGTTTAGGCACTCTTCCATCTTGTGCAGATTTGTGGAAGCTGATGAATGGGTGTTGTAATGTCATTCAACCAACAGACCTCGCTTTGCACTCTTCGATAGGCTTCCAAAGACAAGAGCAGAATTGAAAATGAATGTTACATCCTGGGTACCTTCTTAAGAAGGAGCTGAAATCTCACTGAAGAGAGCTCTTGTTGTCTGTTATTTAAAAGTGTGCATGTTATCCAGGAGAATAAGGAACTTGTGATGGTCTTCTGTTGAGGAGAAAAATATATAAAGAAAAAGGTCTTGCTCTGTAAAGGATGACCCCAAGACCTGAATATGCGCTTGTAGTGCAGGAGATGCTCGGTGTACAGATTTGCACCTTGTTGAGGAAAGACTGTCATTTGGATGTTGTCACAGTCAGGTTGATCTAAGGAGGTCCAGGCAATTCCTGAACAGAAGTCTGTGCTGAATAAATCCTGAAAGGAAACAAAAACACTTCTTTGTTGTCATCAAAGGACCTCCACGAACTCTCTGTAAGAAGCTGCTTTTGCTTCCAGGATCCCAGAGGTGTTCCAGACATTCACTTCTTTCCGGAGAACATTCCCAGAGGTCTCTGGGTACTGCTACTGCGCAGACAGCTTGGGGAGAGAGTTAGCAGACACTGGTAAGTGCCTTCTAGGCTCTGAATAGGGCAAATAATAAGTATCAGTCTTTCGCTTCATTAAAACCTTCAGCTTTGTTTTTGCAAGAGGTAGGAATACAGAGCAATGAACGTGACCTGTTTAGTACCCAGGAGAAAGGATGGTCTTCCCTAGTGAAATTCTCTCCCTCGAAGTGAGTCGCTTGTGAGCTTGGAGTTGATGCATAGCAGTTAACCCTGTCCTTTCTGAGCTGGTCAAATAGAATGGCTCAGTTTGCTTTCATAGTCCTTCCTCTTCTCTTATAACCTCAAGAGAGCTTTCAGACATGTTAGTACTTGAGGGATGGGGAGTTTGGGACTCCAAGCTCTTTACATATTTTATTAAAAATATAATAATATAAAATAAAAAAGGTAGGTGAGAACTTAAGTATGAGAAATTGTTCAAAAGTTTGTGCACTCAGAAAAAAAAAACTGCACCTCTTTACATTTAGTTAACACACAACCAAAATAATTAGGATTTTTTTTTTTTTTGGAAACTGAGAGTGATACAATTGCACAGTATATCATTACTTTGTGCTACTACAAACTGAACATATCTCAAATACAGCATGATGTCAGCTTCTTATTGTTACTGGCTATTCCTTTTGTGCCCATTTTGTTAGATGTCAAGTCACAAAGCTAACGACAGTGCAGCGTATGGATTAGGGATATGCAGTATATAAATCCACATTTTGGCTGCTTGATGGATTTTCTATTTTTCCTGATAGGTTTTTCAGTTCTCCCACTCTGATATGAAGCAGATGATTTCTCTCTTAAAATCAGACTCCGCTAAAGGTGTCTTTCTTATCTAGGCTTGGAACTCCTGCTTGATGAAGTTTATGATACGATTTTCTCTGCACTGGAGCCTGCCCGTATATTCACCGAGACGAGCATATATCGGATCCTGCGGAGGCGGTTCTTGGGAATTCAGCTGGCTACCTCTGGCAAGTTCAGATGTAAGTAGCCCCGTGCGATGCTTTACAAATAAGGCAACAATTCTGGAGCTTGTGTGTGGCAGCTGCTAGCGTGGACAGTTGTTCTAGTAATCTCTCACACTGAAAGCATACAGTGTCACAGCTCCAGAGCAAGAATCAAGGTTCCTGAATTGCAGCTAACTTCTAATCTCTCTGCACCGTGTGTTCTTACCAGCAGATTGCACCTGTCTTCTGATCAAAGCTTTCCCCAGCACTTGAAGTTCACATTAGCTGAAAGCTCATGAATTCTCACCTTAGGCTGTAACAGACTGTTTCTTGGTTGAGATTCTGGATAATTTGTTAAGCTAAAAGCCCAAGAAATGCTCCCTTTTTACTGATTGTACAATAAGGAATAGAAAGGTCAGCCACAAAACACTTGATCCACAAGAGGCTGTGCAAGAGTTGGTAATGACTTACTCAGCGAGGCTGAACTTACAGGTCTGCTTTGGGGTTTGTTCACTCCCACCTTTGGGCCAAATGAGAGCTTTACTCCCTCCTGGCAATGAGCTTTGTGGGGCAGGAAATAAAGTAGTTCCTTTGCTGTTTTGTACCAGGGGCCAAACAAATTGCTCGAGGAGAGTTTGTGTCTCTTGTCTGGTAGTTTCTTCCCTCCAAATTCCCCTCACTCTGGTGCCTAACATTTGCTAAGTTTTGACACCCAAAGATATTTAGCAGATACCGATGAAGGTCTCCTAGCTGTCTCGATCCTACAATTTTTATATTTCTGAGAGGAACCAATCATTTTGGGGGGGTCTGGAAAAAATCTTCTCCTCCTACCGCACAGTGTTATGAAATAAACTCTGACAGTAGCTAGAAACAGTGGTTTTAAGAAAAGATTGAGCTTTAACAGCCACAAGGTGGAGATGTGACCATGTTCGTTAGTCACAGACAGCGGCTGCTTTGGTGATTTATCCTGATTTCATACTATCACCTGAAGGCATGCACGTTAGGTGCTGCCAGGAAACTTACTGCACTTTCTTGATGGACAGTAGATTCTGAGGTGGTGGTTCTTGCTGCTTCAGCCCAGCATCTGAAGGCAGTTGAAAAGAGCTTGAATGTAAGAAATGTTTAGGTCATTAGATCTTACGTTTATACAAATAACTAAGTTTCTGTTGGAATGCTTGAATCTATTTTGGGAGGAATCGTGACTTATCTCACAAAATTTGGCTCCTATGCCATTAAGAACAATTTGATAGGAACAGGGTCCTCCTTTTGCATGCAAAGTTGGTGGTCTCAGTCTCAAAGCTTCAAAGTTCCTTCCAGCTTTTTGCTGGAACAACACTGCAGAATGTTTATGTTTGTCCAGTCAATAAAAAAAATGTTCTCTTTCCCAAGGCCAAGCACAGGGGAAATGGAGGAGGTTTGTGCTGTCACTGGCTGAGCATTATCTGTTGTGCGTGTATCTTAGTCTCCCAAGTTTCACATCTGGCTCCATTGACCAGCTTTCTATCTGCATTACGTGCCAGAGGTCACCTAGCCTCCAGCACAGCTCCTTGAATGAGCGATGATGCTGTTCTCCCTACCCATGACTATGGTTGAAAAATATGTTGAAGTTTTAATCTCTGTTTTAGCTTTCAGAAACAAACACCTACAGTAGAAAGAAAAGGGACCAGCTCTCTGTGGAGAAATAGGCTGGAGAATTTCCATCTGGGGCTAGTGCTTGTGAGGTTTCGCTGAAAACACAAGATTTTTTTTTTTTCAAAAGCTTTTTGTTTTTCCCTAGGCTTGGCAAAAAATAGGCAAGAGATGGGAGCAAGCAGAGATGGACTTGGCTATTTGAATATTTCCCTCCTGAATGCATACTGTTTTTCTTCTAGGCCCCTCAAAATGTGAGGTTGAAAGGTATGCAGCTCTTCGTTACCAGCACGCCTACATGCCATCGTGTGATGCAGATGGAGGCTACACAGCAGTGCAGTGTCATCAGGGTGGACAGTGCTGGTGTGTCGACCCCAAAGGACAAGAGATCCAGGGCACAAAGAGACAGGGACAGCCGCCAGCCTGTGGTATGTATTTGATTGCTATAAGAAATATTGTGAGGACACCATATTATCTCATATTGGCTTGCTCCAGCCCATGTGTGCATTCTTTTATTTCTTGGAAAAATCAGAGTTGAGGGCAACAGTTAGACAGTAGTTGTCCAAGTGTGGTGCAAATACCAGATGTCATTCCTTGTGCTTTCTCCTAGCTGGTGTCTGTGAGGGGCCAATCTTGCAGTCCATGGAAGATGTCAGAAGAGAAAAGGAGATAGCAAACACCATGGTCATTCATACTAGATTTAATTCAAGTTGGACCTATGAGGGGCCTTCCATCTTCCCAAACTTTATCTGCAGTAGGAATTTTCAGAAAAAAAAAAAATACAAAGAACCAATTCTCAGTTTTCACAAATTCTAACGTTCAAAAATTGGTATCAAAAATCTCACCAGGATTCAAAATCACAGACTAAAATTAAATATCAGTCAGAATAAACTATTAAATATCATATTACTTTTTTTTTCTTTTTTTTTCCTTACCTTTCTTTAGCCTTTTATTTTTCCACACATGCAGACTTTTGTTGGCAGCCTCCAGCTTGTTTACACCTTGTTGACTGCAGCAGCTGGGAGTTAAGGCATGATGGTGTCTGTTGCAGTATAAAGAAACTGGTGACAGCATTTGTGACTATCCCCTTTCTTGGCGCATGCATCACGGTGCAATGCTACTGAACTTCTAGGTTCTCTCCTTTGGAGAAATTTGTTTCCTATCTCTCTGGCTATGTATTTGATCATGAAAATTGTCAAATCTAGTAAAAAACAATTTGGAAAAGGCATATGAGTTTGCACTTTGAGAGAATTTTCATTAAGAGTACACCATCAAATCATTCCCCCAAATGGAAAATGACAGCAGAAACGTCAAAGGGCTGAAGGGGAAGAGGGAGAATATTTAAGGAACCTTTGCTCTGAATAGGAATACGTAAGTATTCAGGATTGTGCTGGAGGGGTGAGGCACAAGGTCTTAACTCAGGCAGCCTTCAGGGAAGTTAATTGCTCTGTCTACTAGACATTGTCTTACCGTTCAGGTAAAGAAAGAAGGAATCAATTCTGAGTGTCATGATTCCCAGTCGCTCAAAGTGCTGTAGGCACAGACAGGCTTACTGTGAAATGAAAATGTTAGCATGCCCCTGGGGCTGATCACCAAGGATATTGCAAAGAAACCTCTGAGAGACTATGCCATATGTCGGGGCTAGTTGTCTTCTCTTTGAATATGCTTTGCTTGACCTCTCCTGATGACTTTTGAGGCATGGCTTGAAGCTGCTTGCAGCTTTTTTTGGCTGACTCAGGAAGTTTAAACAGGGAAAACTCTCATAGATGTTTTGCAGACTAACTCCTGAGAAGGTATTTCAAGGAGATATAGCTGAATTCTGTGCTCAGGCAGCTACATGCTGTGTGTATCCCTCCTGTTCTGCTGTTTTGTTTCTTTTTGAATATTTTCTGCTCCTTAACATCCAGCAACATGAGCTCTGCATGAGGCAGAGATGTAATTTCGGGAGGGAAGTCAGGTACTCACATGACCTGGAACGTCGGAGAGGCTTGAGAGAGTGATGCTCCTCTGCAGTCTCTGGTAAATTCACCCCAGCAGCGCACTTCTATTTATTCCTTCTCACTCTCTTCTGATTTTGTTCAAGCCTTTGTGGCTTATGCTTTCAGACTAGAAAGGGAAAATGAGATCCAAGAGGTCAGATGTGACAGCAATGGCCCATAAGAGCCCGGATAGGCTGTTTGCTTATGTTTATAAGGAATACAGATTATCTAACTATTGGATGGATGTAATTAGCATCTAAGTCTGCTTAACTTGGACTCTTCAGCCAAAGTTGGGTAGACGATAGTAGGCTTTGGCACAGGCTTTGAGAGAGTGAAATCATGCCTATGGGAGCTGATAACAGGCTTCCCTGACTGCTTTATTATGTTACCTTAGTGAAGAATAAGGTATAATAAGGTATAATGAATAAATGGTGACAAGAAGGAAACCCCTAGGAAGTCATGTTGGAACAGACCAAACCTGCTCATCTGGTAACAGGTCTCTGACAGGAATCACAGAATCACAGAATGGTTAAGGTTGGAAGAGACTTCTAGAGATCATCTAGTCCAACCCCCCTGCTCAAGCAAGGGCACCTAGAGCACCATGTGGCACAGTGGGAATGGCAGTGGTGTTTAGGGACAAAGTATGAGAAACAGGGCAAATGCAGAGTGACTCTTCTATATATCCTCCCTGTAGCCTGCAGGCTAGATAGTTCCCATACTAGGGGCTGAATCCAGACCATTGTGTTTATGGAGCCATATTCCAGGGATTTGTCTAGTCTCTCTCTAACCTTTTATCCTGCACAGCATCCTCTGCAAAGAATTTCACAATCATAGTCATATGCTCTGCTTTTTGGTTGTTTCATACTTTTTATCTAGGTCCTCATATTTTTTACTCTGTGACAAATACAGTACTGAATAATAAACATCCATTGCAAATGATGTGGAGAATCCAGATTTAACAAATCCCTTCCTTTTCTTTTCTTTTTTTTTCCAAACTAAAAGTTTTCTCCTGCAGAAGCTATTCTGTCCTGAAATTATTTTTGTCTCTCTTCTCTATGATTATGATTCTTTCTCGAGAAAAGGTAACCATGTGATGTACACTTTAAGCTGATGCATGCATTCCAGAGATTTAGACTGTGGCATAATGATACAGTCTGTTTTGGTCTCAATGTCTGACTTTGGTATCTACAAAGTACTTTTCTGTTCTCTGTTAGTCTTAACCTAGGCCATCTTTCTCAAGTAATGATTTGTATCCTATGTATGGCTGTGTGTGAATAGACATAAAAATATCCACGTATGTGTACAGATAAGGATTCTTTTCCCTTTGTGTTTAGTTATTTTCTCACATTGCATTTTCTCTGCTGTCGTAATACCTAACCACTTTCACTTTCCATTATTCTGTCTTTGCCCTCATCTGTAGTCTTGATTTTTTTAAGGTACTATTAGCAATTTTGTTCAGTTCATTCCTCATCAGTTACAAACACGAATCCCTTTACTGTACTTGATGGAAATGTGTAGGTATCTGCCTGTGTTTGAAAGTGGCATTTGTCTTTGTTTTGCTGTTTAACCTATAAACCCATCTTCTCCATCCGTCCCACTGAAGGACTTTGAGGAAAAGTCTTTGTTAATACCACTATCCTGGACTGATCAACCTTTATTCACCTACTCCTTCAAAGAACTGAGTTTGCGTCATACATAAGTTTGTGTGATACAGCATTCTTCTACAGAACCTTTATTGACACTTTTGCAGTACATTATACTTATACATTTCTGCTCTGTTCTCTTCCTTACTCTTTCTACATGTTTGTCTGGACAGAAATTAGACTTTTACTGGGTTCCCTGAACAGTGTTCTTGGGCAGAGAAGAGCTTCATGAACCTCATGAGATCCAACAAGGACAAGTCTAGGGTCCTGCACCTGGGGAGGAATAACCCCAGGCACCAGTACAGATTAGGGATTGACTTGCTGGAAAGCAGCTCCACGGATAGTGATTTGGGAGTCCTGGTTGACAACAGGTTACCCATGAGTCAGCAGTGTGCACTCGTGGCCAAGAAGGCCAATGGGATCCTGGCTGCAGCAGGAGGATGTTGCCAGCAGGTGGAGGGAGGGGATCCTGCCCCACTGCTCAGCTCTGGTGAGGCTGCACCTGGAGTATTGGGTGCAGGTCTGGGCTCCCCAGTACAAGAGGGACATGGAGCTTCTAGAGAGGGTCCAGCATGGAGCCACAAAGATGATTAACGGACTGGAGCATCTATCTTATGACGAAAGACGAGGTAAGCTGGCCTCTTTAGCCTGGAGAAGACTGAGAGGCGATCTGATCAACATGTCCAAATAACCTGAGAGGAGAATGTGAAGAAGATGAGGCCAGATTCTTCTCGGTGGTGGCCAGTGACAGGACAAGGGATAATGGGTGCAAGCTGAAACACAGGAAGTTTCATCTCCATATTAGGAAGAACTTCTTTCCTGTGAGGGTGACAGAGCCCTGGAACAGGCTGCCCAGAGAGGTTGTGGAGTCTCCTTCTCTGGAGATCTTCAAAACCCTCCTGGATGCCACCCTGTGCCATGTGCTCTAGGTGTCCCTGCTGGAGCAGGAAGGTTGGACTACATGATCTTTAGAGGCCCCTTCCAACCTCAACCTTTCTGTGATTCTGTTTGCTACTATCTGTTCTCTGAAGGTATTTAACAAACTTAGTAGTATGTTTCACTGCACATTTAATATGTCAGGGAGAAGTAAGGGCCAATTGCCCTTTCTCTGAGGTACCAGAGATGAGGGTGACCCCGTGCAGACCATGCCTCTGCAGACAGGGGACAGTCCTTCAGGGTCCGGATGTGGCAGGCAGAGATGGGTGGTGACAACACCTCAGACGCAATAAACGAATTGTCAGGTTCAGGATCCATCCAGGGAACCTAGTCAGGAGCAAAAGGAGACAAGGCCAGAAGCAGAACTGTAGACAAGACTATAATGTGGGTCTGAGGTCCATCCAGGAATCAGGGCCAGAGATAGGGCTTGGTGACTGGTACTCCTACAGCATATCTTGCCTGGGATTGAAAGGCCCAGAGTTGAGCTGAAATGAACCTCTTGGTTCTTGGCATTTTATTTCTGTTAACTTTATCAATTTATTTTCAAGCTTTTTCTAATTCTGATCTAGGTAGGAACTCACCATACATTTCTCAATAGTGAACAGTGGTAAAAATAACTATTCTTGTTTGTCTGAAACACACTTCTCCATCTTAGGTTCATATATTGCCCTGGAATTATCTATGGTTTCCATTAAAAGCAGGCATTCTACCAGAGAGTTGAAGTATTTTAGAAAAGGCTTTATGCTCACCTCCAGCAGTAGGAACATAAATGAGGATTTACAGTTGAAAACAGTAGAATCAGAGAAAGACCACAGAGCAGAGAACTCGATCGTGGTGAAGCAATGTTTGCTTTCAATTTATCTTGACTGGAGAAGTTTACTTCCAGGGCACACTTAGCAGCTCCTTCTTCACCAAACTTCTTCACCAATGTGCCTGATGTTTAACTGAGGATCTAGAGATGGGTTAAACTGCACTTTTATGTGGCTTCTGCTGAGGCTGCTGTGAAAGATATTCACAGAGTAGTAGGTTTTTGGGGATTAAAATTTTCGTTTTTTGTCCACTTTTTGTTTAGGTGAAAGTCAAGCATGCATCTCTGAAAGACGACAGGCCTTGTCCAGAATCTTCTATGGTCCTGCTGGATATTTTAGTCAACACAGTTTATTTTCCACACCAGATGTGCAGTCAGAGAAAGTAGGTGTCTTCTCAAGCTCCTGCCCTCCTTCCTTCAGGGAGCTGTTTCTGGACTCTGGGTTGTCATCCCCAATCTCACAAAGTCAGTATGCCAGCCAGATTCTCCAGCTGGAATCTACCCTCAGTGAAGCTGTCATGGGGATATTTCAGTCAAGGGAACAGGCTCAGATGGCACTGCAATTTGTTGTTAATCCAAAGCGTTTCCAAGAAAACCTGTTTGGAGGAAGGTTCTTGAAGAATTTGATCCAGTTTAACTTCACTGGGACACTTGGCCTTAGTGGGAAGTACAGCATTGGCCAATTTTTCCTACGGGAAGAGGGGGATAATGGACAGGGCCTTCTGGAATTACCTGAAGCATTTCCATTGGAAGTATCAAACAGCTCCATTTTGAGTCAACCTCTTATGAGCAGCTTTGGCCGTACGATAACATTACAGGACAATCAGAACAGGATGAAGTTCCTTGCCTCTGTCCTGGAACTACCAGAATTCTTTACCTTTCTTCAACAAGTAATTTCTGTCCCCAAAAGCATTGCTGAAGATTTAGGTGAAGTAGTGAAATTAGCATTGGGATCTAAGGACTGTGGTGAGGAGACAAGGGATTTGTTTGTTCCAACATGCACCAAGGAGGGGAGGTATGAAGAAATCCAGTGCTATGCAGGAGAGTGCTGGTGTTTGGATGCTCAAGGTAAGGAAACTCCAGGCTCAAGAGTTCAAGGAAAACGGCCAAGATGCCCCACTGATTGTGAAAAGCAAAGAAAAAAACTGAAAATCTTGAAACAAAGCCAGCCTGCAGGATCAGATCTGTTTATTCCCTCTTGTACCAAAGATGGAGACTTTTTACCACTCCAGTGTTATGGAACAAATTGCTTTTGTGTTGATTTGGAAGGCAAGACTATTCCAAGAATAAGAGGAGAAGCTGGAGAGCCAATGCAATGTAAGTCTTGAGGACTAGCACAAATGTGTAGTTTTGCATAATTTAATTTTGTTGGTTTTGCATAATTTATTTCTTCATAACTGATTATATTTGGAAATGCAGGTTAATGTTTATAAGCAGTATTGTCCCCTGCCAGCAAAGAATATCAACTGTGGTTTAGGGAACTCTATAGTTGCGGGGGAATAGTAGCAAAGGCAATATCACAGTCTAAATACACTGTCAGTCTTAGAGACAGTTCCCTTTTCTTTAGTATGTACGGAGGGCATGCTCAAAAGAGAGGAGACTGAACTCATCTTGCTAATGGACATTGAGTTCTGCCGCTGCTGAAGTGTGTGACTAATGTTTGTAACAGCTCCAATATCCACAAGACCTGGAGCATCTCTCTAACTGAATGTGCTCCTTAGAGCTTACCCTTACTACATGAAAAAGCTCTTTTGCCTCCAACATCAAATAACCTGGGCAGTTGAGGAGATTAGTACCTATGCTTTGCTATGCTTGTTCATCTGCTTGGTGGCAAAATGAGGTTTGGTTCTGGAACTGACAGTCAAGGCAAGGCTTCCAAAAAAAAAAAATCACTCATTCATTTGGAAGAACAGTATTTCTGTTGAAATTGAAGAACAATGTTTGAAAATGAACGGACAATGAGGACAACAGTAGTTGAAAATTCTTTCCAAGTCTAAATGAAAACAAAATCTGCATTATCCTTATTCAGGTAATTCTCATTTTGGCAGAAAGTTTTAATTGTGCAGTCTAGCAAGGATTGACTAAATAAGGATTAGCTGTCAGATTTTCAAGTGAATCTGAAAATATCTAGCTGGTACGAACAGATTCAGAAAGGTGTTTTTAAAAATTGTATCTGTATGCATCTTTCAGGCCTCAGATACCTTTTGAAATCTTATTCTGGTTCAATATAGCAGGTTTTAGTCCTCTTAATAAGGGGTCAAAAATATTCTTAGTATTAGGACAAATGATCAGTTATTGGTAACAGTGGAAAGTGGATTTTTCATGTAAGGGATATGCCCTTGGTGTATTCCTAAGATGTTCTGTGCATGTTTCTTCTCCCCAGGCCCAAGTGCTTGCCAAGTAACAGCTGGTCAGGAATTCCTAAAGACTGTGAAACTCCTGTTGTCGGACCCAAGTGCTCTGCCTCTGCTCTCCAGCGTTTACATCCCCCAGTGTGACGTTGATGGTGCCTGGAGGCAGGTACAGTGCAGTGGCCCTCCTGAGCAAACCTTTGAGTGGTACCAAAGGTGGATTGATGAGACTAATGGAGGTGAAACTCAGCCAGTTGCTAGCGTATTAAACGTAATAACTGGATATAAGGAGGCCTCTTCCAAAGGATTTTCAGCTTTTATTAAAGCTTTATATGATGCTAAGCACCAGAATATCTTCCCAGTATTCACCAAGTATTCATCCTTTGCTGATCTGCCACCTGAAGTGCTGGAGGGCAATCTGACAGATGCGTCTGAGAACATCTTACTGGACCCATATATATTCTGGCAACTTCTGAATGGACAGTTGACCTATTACCCGGGAGCTTACACTGATTTCAGTGCTCCGTTAAGTCACTTTGAACTTCGGGATTGTTGGTGTGTTGATAGCAAAGGAGAAGAGCTGCAAGGAACTAAAGCAAAAGTGAACCAGGTGCCAGCATGTAAGTAAGAATATCTCCCTGCAGCAAGTGCTTCTTATCTTTGGTTTTATAGCCCTCTGTAGGCTACTCATAGTTTAAACAGTTTTCGAGAGTGCCTTAAAATTAGACAAGAGGAATTTTCTTTACTGTTTCTTATTATTTGGTCAAAAGAGAAATTTATATGTGCTAGAAATCAGTTGAAGAGTAAGACCAGTACTTAAGTTTTACAAGCTGCTTGTCTAGAGCGTTTTCAGCCGAGCTATTGGATCCTCTTTGGGGTTTACTTCAACAAATAAATTACATCATTATAAATTTAGTCAGTAAAATGTTTCTTATCGCACAGTAATTTTCCAGCCATGAGGAGGAGACAGGACAATGAATGCAAAACCTTTAAAAGGCGAAAGAAAACAGGAGGTCAGATCAGTTCTGTAGGCAAGTGGGGAATAAAGGACACAAAAAAAGAGATTAACACAGAGCTGTTTTAGTAGAGAAGTTTTCACTGAGCTGTTTTGGATTTGCCATATTTGAATGGAATAGAAGTATGAAAAGGACAGGGAAATTGCTGTCTGCCGCTCTGGACCCAATGATTATGTTTTCTTTCCTTTCTCACAGTCTTCTGTGTATCCACTTTTCAGGGCAAAGACTGAGAGACAGATTTATACAGATACATTAACTCTGTGTGTAACCTATAAGAAAATGGTATTTTAATGCCACTGTGGCTTTAGCAGTTACATTTGGGGATTTGGAGAGCTGAGGAGTATTTGGTGGCGCCTGGTGCTTTTTGATATTTGCTGTCATATAGTTAAGCAATGATGAGTCTGGTTGATTGCAGGATGACTATCATGAGTGCAGGAAGAAACTTGCTAGAGCTTGCTAACTGAAAAGATGACTATCATGAGTGCAGGAAGAAACAGAGCTTGCTAACTGAAAGACCATCTAGTTTTCATGCACAATTTTTTTATTGAATTCAGATGACAGGAACTAAAATACTCTTTGCCTTCCACAGGCCCTGGTGTATGTGAAAGTGTTAAGCAGGAAGCCATGAAATTTGTGGAGGAGGCAGAGCAACTCATCCTGGCATCCAATAGTTCCCACTTCCCTTTTGGGGAGAGCTTTTTAATGGCAAAGGGAATACAACTCTCAAACAGTGACCTCTTACGTCCTGCTCAGCCCTACGAGTCAGAGATCCGGCTCTCTGAAATGCTGCGGTCGGGCAGTGATTATGCTTTGCAACTGGCTGCTCAGTCGGGTAGGTGAAAGGGAAACGAGAACTTTTAATTAAGTTATAGCCCATGATACCTAACAAAGCACTCCACATTCAGCTTTACTGAAAACAAGTGAAACTCAGCACTTGTAATGAATTGGTGCAGTTAACCTGCCTACTCATAAGCTGATTTCAGTCAAATCATATGTATGATACTACACATATATTTGTCACCCATTTTGTATGTGCATTGATTGTATTTTTCCCTCTAAAGTGCAGGAAACAATCAGATATATGCCAATGTGCTTTTAAAAAATGTCTCCTCCTATGAATGAACATTAATATCTTTCTCTTACTTATCTTTTATAGTCTTGCATTTTTATTGGCTGAATCACTTTACTTTAAAAAATTCTGCTGGGGAAGCAACCCAGCGGGGATTTCATCCTTACACCCCACAGTGTGATGGCCTGGGAAACTGGGAACCAACTCAGTGCTACGAGAGCACAGGTGAGCATTAATTAGCAAAATTCTCTGAGTGGTCTGAGGACCACTAGTAGAATTCTAGCTAGTAGAATTCTAACAAAAATAAATAAATAAATAAATAAATAGAGTAAAATCTGTATTCTTGTAGCCAAACCAAAGAAAGATGAATTGGATGAGTAGACTACAAGATGGGTAGGACTACAAAATTGATGGAGGGAGAAGCTCAAAGGGCGCGTTATAGAGACACAAATATTGGTGATTCAATATTTGCTCTCAGCTAGTAGTGTTCTTCAGGGGTAAATTCAGGGGCTCGTCAAAGTCTCCATTAATGACCTGTGGTGCACTCTCATCAAGTGTGTGGATGATAGCAAATTGATGGGAGCAGATGATGAGCTAGAGGATGATATGGTTGCAATGTAAAGCTTCTACATTCTCATTTCAATCACTGCTCTCACGTGAAGTTCAGTTATCTCTATTAGTTAATTATGACTTACATTTATTGCTGCTTTCTGTAGCACTGCTAAACATGAAAATCATCCCAGAATCCAACAAAATTAGCATGTGATACTACAATAGAACATCTTAAAATAAGGGTGCTTTTCTTCCCTGGCCAGGTCATTGCTGGTGTGTGGATGAAAGAGGACGCTATGTCACAGATTCCTTGGTCTCACGCTCAGCAGAACTCCCCAAATGTAAGTTTCTTTATTCCTTAAAGTCTGTCCTTTTCTGTTCTTATATATTTTAATCTTTACTGAAAATTCTTTTATCATATGGTATGATGCAAGGCTTGGTTTTAACTTTGTAAGAAAAGAGAAAGTTTTATTTTTCTGCTTGTTTGGCCTCAGATTTACTGCTATTATCAAACACCACTCAAGTGTTCCCTGCCTGACACTGTAGCACATCCTAATGGAGACATGTGAAAGAAAGAGGGGTGCACACCTTATCTCTACGTTAGGTTTGAGGACTTGGTTATGTTGTACCACACCTGTGTGTTTTTCCTCTTACAGGCCAGACGTCATGTCAGCGATCTCAAGCCAATGCCTTAATTTCCAGTTGGAGACGGAGTGGTTCAAAGCAAAACTCTACTGCAGCAGATCTGTTTGTCCCCTACTGCCTTGAGGTGACTGAACATTATTGTGGGAAGAAGAAACAGAGCTTCCTTCATTTCACTTATGCCATGCCAAAGGCCTATTCAGTTCCAGTCTCTGCTCCTTTAGTATAACTTATGCATTCACATTAATGTGCAACAAAAGGGTCCGATCAAACAAAAAGCAGGTGTTGCCCTCTGGAAAGCAGAATTTAGGTACCTCTTAGGCAAAGACCAGGACCAGAAGCTAAGTCTTTGCACACACTTCCCTCATAAAGGCTGGCTCTGCTTATTTGTTATACAGGGCTATGATTAAAGGCACAACTTAACTCACAACCTTTTAAGGGGAAACCTTTTTTTCCTGTGCCGTCAGAAATAATTCAGATTGGAGGGACTCAGATGCAGACTTCCCAAAATAGGGTCTATTACGCTTCCAACAGATATGGCAGTGAGGGGGATGGAGCTTTGAGACTGGTGGGCAACAGAATACCATTTCAAATGTGGTTATATGAGAGCTTCATCTCAATGTACAGTTTCCTTCTGCATATTAAATTGAGTGGGCTATATTTGATTTTTTTATTGTTTTGTTTATCCAGTCAACATTGTTGTGTTAGTCCACAAATGCTAATGTGATCCAAAGTACATATTTTTACCATGTTTGGGGAATTCTGATGCTAATATAAAAGATATTGCTCTACAGGACATGTAATTGATTCATTTTAGACAGGAGAATATGCCGTGCTTCAGAGATCCTATGCAGATGTATGGTGTGTAGATCCTGTGTCAGGAGAAGTATTTCAGCGTGGCACCAAGGATTCAGACGGCAGCCCTGAGTGTAAGTAGTGCTCTACCCACAGCCTGTGTCACCCGTGGTAAGGCCTCATGCCTTGCATCATATTTATTTTTCTCTTCAGAATGCTGCCCATGAAAATGTTCGAAGTTTACAGTTTAATTTCTTAGTGATATCACATATATAAGGATGTTACCTTTGAAATGATAGTTAGAAACAGTTACCTCTTGCTTTCTTCACTCAAGAAATATACTGATCTGGGCAAATTGATGAGCAGGCTTCTATGTATATCTTTACCTTCTGTTTCTTACCACCACAGAAAATTCTTTGGCTCATGGGTGAGTTTTCTAGGTAGTGAATTCCTGAATAATGGAAACTGGGCCATGTGCACTCACTGAGTCTATTTTATACAGTCCACACCTGCTCCATGGAATGAAATTAATTCTATATTACTTTTATAGTGTCTGCAGAGACACATGGTGCACGAAGCGCTATTTCTAAATGGAAAAAATATGTTATTAACAGCTAATGGCCTTCTCAAAAAGTCTTACTAAAAAGATAGATTTGATCTAAGTTACACACAGTCAAATTTATGGCAGGAAAGGATTCAATTAATGCAAAACGAATATCAGTGTCATATTTTGTATCTCTCTCCTATTAACTTTATGTAAATTCATATAACCTGCACTTTAATCTATGAGAAGAACATATATATATATATTTTTTTTCTGGTGGAAGTGAAATTCTATGCATTCTAGAGTGATTCAAACTTCAAATTACGTGTTCCGTGACTATTAACTTTCTTACTTACACAGAAGAAGCCTGAAATTATTAAGTGTTTTAGAGAATTGTGCACATTGCTGTAGTTCATTTTTTTGCAAGTGATCAATTTGTTGTCTTCAGTTCTGAATCTTGCGATCCATTGCTCTCTTTAAGGTCCTAGTTTCTGTACCATGCTGAAATCCAAAACTAGTTTACGAGAAACTGGCAAGGGCTACATCCCACAGTGTGAAGAAGACACTGGGATCTTCTTGCCCACACAGTGCAGCCAAGATGAAGAAAGCTGCTGGTGTGTCTTTGGTAATGGAGAAGAGGTGCCAGGGACACGAGTTAGTGGAGGACGACCTGAATGCGCAAGTAAGTTGATGTTTGAGGAAAATTGCTTTCAATCAAGTTCAGCTCAATCCCAGATCACAACTTTATTTAGTAGTGGGTTGTATTAGGACAAACATTTCTTTTTCAGACAGTTATAGAGATTTTTTGCTCGAGTTCAGTGATTATCTTTGTGTTACAACAATATTTCTGAGATTTCAAACTCGCCTGGGAATGATCTCCAGTTTTCTTCAGGGTTCAAGTGCTGTGTTAGGGGGAGAGGGGAAGGGGAAGGGATCTTTGATTTGGTAACCAATTTTAAAAGTAAGGAAAAGTTGAAAAAGTTGAGCTATTAAACTTAGCTAAAAAGTCTATGTGAACACTTTGCCATAGACTTGAACATGGTCCAGTGTGAGCTGGCTGTGGGATTAAAAGCTGTTCAAGTGACTAAAATAAAATTTAAAATATGTATGTTTCTGCCATTTCTATTCTTGGCTTGTATCCATAATTATGAAAGGGCTGTGCCAAAACGCTACATATCCAGAGAGTATTTTCTGCATGACCAGAGCTGTGAAGAGTAGGAATTCAGTCATAGTTTCCAGCATGACATCCAAATGGGAGAAATCTGGATAAATTTATTTTCTGATGTCCTTTATGGATTTTCCTCTGCTCTCTTTCCTCCAATCACTGAAGCAGAACAAATTAAACTTTCTTCAAGGCTATGCTCCAAAGTGCAATGATTAATAGAAGCTGTAGGTATGATAAAACCTTCAGCACAACAGTTAGTGCACCATCACTGTTTCCATAATTTTCATGTCTTTTTCCATGTTTTTTAAACTGTGATGATCAGTAGATTTGAGGAGACTAGACCACATAAGAAGAAGATGCTGGAGCTTTCCTTTGCACTTCTGGCGCTTAGGGCAACACCTGACTGTTTTAGCCCAATGGCTGTAATGTGTTTTAATCATATAGGTGTGGAGGCTTGTTCAAAGACAATAGTACCTTGTTAGCAGATAGTTAACCACAAGGGTGTCAGTCTTTGCAGCAGATGGGGGACAGAGCCGAGAAAGACGAGGACTGAGGAACACCTCCCCCTGCCTCGTGTGCGACGTGTCTTGCCAGAAGAAAAGAAACAAAGCCAGACAACCGCGCAGGTGGCCAGATGCTGATTGGTTGTGCGCTTTGCAACACTTGTGTTAAGAAAGTATAAAAAGAAGTCGGTTTGGAAATAAAGTTGTCTCACTCTGCACCCCAGACTGAGTCCGTTTCTTCACAAGGTGCAACATATAGGTAACTAACTCCTCAATCTTCATGGAAACCAACTTGCAATGATGTTTTCCTAGCATCTTCTTGTAGTCATAGAGAATTATACAGACAGGATTTTGTGGGAAGCCTCAAGGAGGTCACATGGACATATCTGCACATTGCAGTGACATGCAGTATGGAGACAGCACGTCCAAGCAGTATGGATATCTCAGATATCCAAGCGAGTGCTGAACAAATTAGCTCCAGAGCTAGCCAGTTGAGTGGGGCTATCTAGCTCTGCAGAGAAGCAGAGCTCACTAGTCTAATACGTATTGTGGCCTTCCTGCTTTCAGGTTATGCTCTAGTATCTCTGTGGGATGCTGGACTCTGTATCTATATTACTATTTTGTTTGTACTAGTTGGAAAATCACCACATGACTTTCTGATAGGCTTTCTGAAGGTGAATAAAAGAAAATGGAAGATCCTCTGGTACACTAGGGATAAGTCAGAACTCATCATAAATGCTAAATCCTTGTTTCATCCTTATTTCCATGAAAGCTTATTTTCTGGATCTCACCCTAAATTTCAAGCAATTTTTATGGAGTATGATCTAAGAGAGGATCTAAGTGTGACCTGGGATAAACCCTAGATAATTGACATTTTCTTGCATGTGTGATATTTCTGGTAATCCTGTAATGTTGCGCTTTTCCAAGTGGCAATAGTGACTGAGTGATCTTTTAAGTCTGAGCTGAGGGAGATGTCAATTGATTCAAAAATAGAATAGACGTAGAGTTTTATTGACAGATATGTGCTATTTTCTGCATAGTGAGACTTAGCTTCTTTATCCGCATAGAAAGATAAAGAGGCAAAAGTTATTTTTTTCTCTCAAAGTATCTAGTTTATATCTCTAGCCCTGGACACTACTAATACGTGTTCTGGAATAAAAAGGAAGGGGAGAAACTATTTCACCAATCTAGTTTATATCTCTAGCCCTGGACAAAAGGAAGGGGAGAAACTATTTCACCGTCTAGGGTGTGTTGTCTATCAGAGAAAGAAACCATTGTGATGGGAAAATGCTATAAATTTCTTCTCCGATTTCAGGACAGCTGTAAACAGTAAGTAATAACTTCAGGGTGCCCAGTGCATGCAATACGGTTTTCATTAGATTAGTCATTTCCACTGGGGATAAGATCCAATTTTTTCTCCTTGACATGTACCAGATAGCTGATGCCAAGTGTCCTAGCAGTGCCCACAGACACTTCCTTGTGCCCAATTTCTGCTGCCCTGAGATAGGGCAAGGAAGGCCCCAAGGGCAGCGACTTCTGAATCGAAAGCCTTAGAAAAGCCTTGTGGAAAGTAGTGTCAGCATTTGGAATGATTCTGGTTCAGTCCAACAGGATCAAGAAAATGGGGGAAGAAATCTAACTATAACAAAATGGTGCATTTTGATAACAGTGGTAATGAAGATGGAGTCTGTAGAGGACTTAAATGCGCAAATTATTGGCTGATTTGTCTGATGAGGGACTTGAATTGAAATCTGTGAACCATGCCAGGAAACCATCCATCACTTTTATGTTATTTTGGAAGATTATTGCTCTAGTTTATGCCACTAACTCTCTTTGGAACAGACAGTACCAGACTGTAGCAGCAAATGGCTCAGAGTAGGTTTAACCTTCTGGACATGGGCACTGGAACAATAAAGAGATTGTAGACTGAATTTTATATACTTTTTATAAAATATTAATAAGAATTGAAGTTGGTGTGTCTCACATTGGCGAGAATAATTATTACTGTCTGTTTTATAGTGATATCTTTTGATCCAAATTCTCAGGAGGTGTATTCTAAGTTTGTAAAGCAAAGATGCCATGTTTCCATCTTAAATAAAGAGACTGCATCCAGAATCACAGAGTGAGCAGAGGAGGAATGCAATGCTCCATTTACAGAGTAATTACAGAACACATTTTATAAAGGACACTTGTAAAGTAGCATATGTTTGGTAAATCAGAGAGATTAATTTAAAAGTCTTTTAATTAGACATTGTAATGTCCAGGATGGGCAAAAAAAAAAAAAAAGGTGCTTTAACATAATGGATCCCGATTTTACTCTGACATATTTTAAGCTTTAACTGATGTGGCAGTTAAGTATTTAATATCCACAAGCTCCAGTAGAAGCGAAGAGAGAGATTGATCAGATCTGAACCTCTTTCTTTGATCAGATCTGAACCTCTTTCTCAGTGACTCAAGAGGTTGGGGCTGATCTTGGCATTGGTGTTTGGAAAATGATCCATATGTACCAAGCAAACAAGTTTCAGGATATGAAAACTTCTATACCTATATAAATATATATTTTGGGGCATTTTTCTTCTTCATGCTTTGTAGCTCAAGAGCTCAGAAGTGTTTATCTACTACAAGATTTATTCACTAATGAGGATAGCAGTTAACTAATGTTGAGTAAAGCAGGGCTTTTGTACTGATCAGTAGAAATTAAAAGTTGCGGATAGCCTGCTAACTGTCTTCCCCGAGCACACTAATGGGGTGAAATGACTGTATTGATGCAGAGTGAGTCGGGATGCGGACTTCACGTGCCAAAGTTCGATGTAACATGTAGGGACCTGCTGAGTTACCAGAAATACACTGATGTTCCTGGAGACACCACAGACATGAGGCTTGATCTTAAGCTTTTCAAGTTCTGTTCAAAAAACAATTGACTTTTTGGCCCTGACTATTGCCAGTGGATGTCTTTTGTAAAGGTTCACTCTGCTGATGGTTAGAAACCTTCTTCTTATTTCCTGCTTACATTTATTCCTGACCGCTCTATGCTTACCTGTTCTTACAAACGATGCACGTAGCATTCTGGACCCAATGCATTACCCATCAAAGCCTTTTGATGAGCCTTTTCATCAGCTTTACTAAATGGAATCATACTGACTTCAAGTAGGATCAAAGTTGGTGTCAGAGGTTTTCACTGTTGCTGTAGAGATTATTAGGACATTTTACTGTGAATGCTTCATTACTAACATATCTTCTTTTTCATATTCCTGTAGGTCCTCGATGTGCTTTGCCATTTGGTGTCTCCTCTGTTCTCAATGGAGCTGTGTTTTGTGAGGATGTTTCTGGGGAAACTTCTAGCATTCAGCAGTGTCAGCTGGTGTGTCGCCAGGGCTTCCACAGTGCCCATTTGAGGACGTCGTTTCAATGTGACATGCAGCAGCGGCAGTGGGTCTCCACCGCCCCGCTCCCACAGGCCTGCCAGAGTACGTGGAAACCACCATGAGTTGGGAAGGGCACAGATACATACCCTAAAAACTACTTGCGTCATGAAGCTGCCTTGTGAATTACAACAAGACACAGCAATTATATCAGAGTTCTAAATTAAGCCCCATTTTCTGCCATCAGCATCAACAGCATCTGTCTTTTGCCTTATGCTAGAAGCAGTCCCCCTTTTCTGTAATAATATAGTTATAAATAGACATTCAATCTACATGCAGATTTTCTTTGCAAGTTAAAAGATGCTGGCACCGTGAAATGGTTCTGATGGAACCACTTAGCTGTGGAAGAACAGATGAGCACCAGATGTTTGAATCTGGCAGAACTTGCCTGTTTATTTGCATAATCAAGTCACTGTTACTTCTGCATCTTTTTGTAGCAATCTGTTCTTTAGGATTACTGCAGTCTTCATCAACTGTTTTGTGGTACTTTTCAGACCATTTTTCGTTTAAGCACTTCAAATGCTGGAAGAATTAACTGTCTACCCGATCATGAGATCGGGTGTCAGCGTTAGCCTTTTCAATTCTTTTCAATAGTTATGATCAAAACAGCAGTTCTTAGAACCATTGAACTCTGAAACATAGAGGTCTCGATACCAAATTTGCAGCTACTCTTCATCTCCCATTCTGGAATCTCTTATATTTAGGCATTTCTAATTCCCAGTCTTGTATTACAAATGCACACAATTTTCAACTCAGATTTCAATCTGAGACTTTTGTCTGTCCTTTAATCATATGCTGCCTTTCTGTACCTTGTTCTGAAGTAACTTTAGTGATTGTCTAATGGCAGTTGAATAACTATAAAGCTAAAGAGGAGCACATAGCAATCCAGTAGAAGCTTCTGCTTAATGCAAGCTGAGGGACTTCCCTCAGTAATTTGTGTCTACAGTAGAGCAGGACTTTAAGGACAGAGGCAATTTAAAAAAATAATCATAACCAAAAAAAAAAAAAAAAAAGCAATTGATGCTGGTTGAATAACCTTCACGGTAATGGAGAAATCACCACAACGCATAGCGGATAATTATCCATAGTCTTAAAAATCTTATTTCCTGTTCCTTATGTGTGCACTTACCAACTGTTGTCAAGTCTGATAAACTAAATAGATAGATGTCTGGGTGCCTTTTGGGAAGAAAGAGGTTGTCCAGTCCTTTGGTCCTTCCCACCACCCTTCTTGGAATGCCCTTGGTTTTCCCTCAGGTGTTTGGGCCTGGATGTTGTATCGCAGCCATGGCAATTACATGCAGGGTCCACAGGAGAGGTGGTGAGAACGAGCTCTGCCAGTTCCCCAGGCTCGTGGTGAAGGCAGCTGGAGCCCTTTGGGGGCTGCGTGACAGCTTTAGCGCAGTGCTGAATCTGAGATAACAAACCCTCCATGAAGCCTGGGAGCAGCATAATTCCTGTGGAGTCTGGAGATTTGTGCTTTTCCTCTAGCTAAGTAATTCTCTGTTTCTGGGTTGTCCACAGAAATGTTTTTGACATCTTGTGTTCATTTGTTTGTCTACTAGAACAGAAAATCTTTATTCCCCATGAGTTTCTTTCCAAGTTAACTGTTTTCAGAGCAGCATTCATCTTTTAACAAGGAATTAGCTTTTTCTGTCTTTTTTTTTTCTTTTTTCTTTTTCCTCCTGAATGCATGGACATGTGTTTTTTGCTTCTGGTATGCTAAGCAATTCATACTGCTTAGTATCACTGATAACAGTCTTGTCATTAGTTACAGCATCCACAAGCTGGTTGTACTTCCTTCTGTCAAATCACTGGCAGAAGAGTTAGCAATTATGGTACTCAGAAGTGACTCTTTCTGACTTCAGTTACGATCCTGCTCAGATTTTCATTTTGAGTCTTGTTAGCTTACAGGTTTCTCATTTACCTGTGTGCCATGCTGATTGCTTTGTTCTGGCTGTCCATCCAAAATCCCATTACGTCAATGTCCATGCCAACACAGTGTTATTCTATCAAAATTATCTCCTAAAACTAGATCCTAAATACATCTGACAAGCTATGTTTTTGAAAGTCTATAGAGAATTGGTATTAATTACTCCAGCCACATTTAATCTCTTTACCACCAAAGTCCTTCATTATTTTGTCTGAGAGAAGTAAAGGTTGAGAGGTCAAGAAATCCTGTCTTCTTTTTTCTTTTTTAAGTATGGACATAACCTCAACTTTTACCTAGTTCTCTGAAAATTCCTGTCTGCTGAGACCTATTAAAAATAATCATTAATGATCCAGACTGTTCCTTATCCTTCAGTGAGTTAGATTCCTCTTAATCATTATTTAACTGCATCATCTGGCTTTTTTCCTAATGCAAAACATAAGTATTTATCCAGCATTTCTGTTGCTGCTTATTATTTATTACTGACAACTCTACTGCTCACATATAGTAACAGGCAATACTGCTGGCTCAAGATCAAAATTCAGATCAATGTTGTCTTTTCCCCAAAGCAACTTTGAAAGTTGGTTTCTATATTAAATAGGCTATTAATTGTCTTTTCTACTTGTGTTTTAGAGCTCCAGTTATTTCAGACAGTCCAAGCTCAAACACACTTTCAACTCCTACTACCTCCTCAGAAGATTTGTAGTTCTGACTACTCGGGATTACTCCAGGCCTTCCAGATTTTTATTTTAGATGAGATGAAGGCTCGTGGTTTCTGTCATCTCCAGGTAATTTTGCTCCCCTGTTCTCTGGTAGTTAAGGAGAGAATAAAAAAGGAGAAGGGCTTTTTAGCTTTGCATCTACAAAAGAATGGGAAGACAAGAAGATGCTGTGAAATCTGTCAGAACAGTTGGTTCAGGATGCTGGGCCTCACTGTCCTAACATCATCAGATAATCTGGATTGTAGCCATAGAAGCTATACCATATCAGTCCAATATTTATGAAAAATATATTTTGATGGAAATGAATGGCTGAATTTGACTCAAAATGATGAATGTTTTCACTATTCTTGCAGTGATTAAATGACCTACTAAAAATACATTTCCCTACTTCTGTATTTTGGATTTTTCTGAAAATACTGCTTCTTACTAAGGGTATACCTTGTGTGGAACAGTGCAAATAAATAGGGAAAGACAGGGAGCAAGAAGGATCTAGGTTCACTAACCTTGCTTCCGCTTAACTTTGAATTCAAGGTAAATGCATTTGGAAACACCGGGTCAGTTTCTGTCTGTGATGACTCCACGGTGTCCGTGGAATGCCTGAGCACGGACCGCCTGGGAGTGAATGTCACCTGGAGGACTCAGCTGGGAGACATCCCTGCTGCTTCACTCCCTGACTTGCATGATATTGGTAGGTTTTTCCTCTGATACTTCTGTGAGTGAAGTACCCATTGGGTATTACTCATTAAGAATAAATGATTACATTGCTTATTGGGTTGAACTTGGGAAAACCACAATTTCCCCAAAACAAATTCAGTAATTGTCAAAAAATACAAGTGATTTTTTCTAAGTGATTGTATGTTTTCTTGTTCTATTTATTATGCTACTTTCATCGCTAATGTGACCCTTTATCTCAGAAGTCCTAGAGCAAATATGCTGAATTCATTGATTGTTGGTAGACCTTCACCATGATTTCCAAGCAAGTTAGGGAGCATGTTATGATCTTCTTCCCAAGCAGTCAATTTTTCTTGTTAAAAATCAAGAACTACAAGATATGTCCCACCTGCTAGATATATTGCAAGTTCAAATGCCCTCTGTGTCAGCATTACACTAGTTCAATGCTTTGTAATGATGTTCAGGGCACTAACTATAAATATATACCACTATAAATAACTCTGCCTGCACATGTTCCTCCCTTTAATTTTGTGCACCCTAGAGCAGTTTTTGCCCAATTGGAACATAGTTCAAAAGTCTTCAGAACCTGGACACTGGGTGTAGTGGTTGTGTGGTTACTGGCTCTACAATCTGTTTGTGTTTACATCCATTCCATTGCAGCAATTATAAGGGAAACATGAATATAAAGCGGTTTGTAGAAGGTGGGTCAAAGTAGGAGTATGTTTGGTTTTATGCTAAAGTTTACTTTAGAAAATGTTCTGTATCAAGGGCATTACATTTTTGACCTTCTCTTCACTATAGTTTTCCTTTAGTATTAAAATTGCTTTTCGGGAATTACTGTATGCTATAAGAAGAGGCAGTATGAGTCTAGTCTAGGGGACATCAGACAACTGGTTTGCTGCTCCCAGTGGGCTGTGAGCCTGCTGTGTGTATAGCCTGGGCACCAACAAGCTCCATTACCCTCTGAAGCAGCTTTGAATCTTTCTATCTGAGATATTTTCTGTGTCATCACTGGTTGCTTACACACTGTTTATGCCAAATGGCTCCCTAGTTTGAAAATCAGCATTATGAAAATAGCTTCGCTCTTTTTCTAGGGTCTTTATAGGTAAGTAAGAAGTCTTGCTTTTGTCCTGTGAAGTAGCTGAGAAATAAGATAATAATAAAAAAAGCTAAACAGAAGCACAGCATGCATATGTTCCCAATGAATAAGTAGTCTTCGATCCAAATCACTCATGAATGCTTTATTACTTTTTTTTCTTACAGCTGTTTCCGTGTATTAAATTTTGAGGCTTTGCAAATCCCTTCTTGAAGGAGTTTATACCAATTGGCTTTGCAGCTTAAATCCTAGGCCTAAAATCTTGAGAAACACTTGCATCAGTTTCTCCCTTTCCTGCTCAACAGACATAAATGCTGACTATTAAAATCAGCTTTCACTGGCTGAACATTTAGTAAACAGTTCCCATCAGTGGAATTGGAGGAGATCCCTGTTCTATACCCTAGATATTTTAAGCCTTTGCTCTCAATTTTCCTTAAAGGAAAAAAAAAATCAAGTTTACTTTTTTTTTTCTTGTGCTTTTTGATTTTGCCAATAAAGCTCTAGAAAATGGTCTGATCCTTTTCCTGTAGAAATCAACATTTCGTTCAACAGTAGCAAACCTTACATCAGGCTTCCTCCCACTGCAGAACACGAGGTGCAACTATTTGCAGGATATTTCTGTATGTGAAAAGATATGTTGTCACTCCAGACATCCAAGTCCCTAAAGATATACCAGACTCTGGATGAATGCCCAGTAAGAAATTCTCTCAGCTTGAGAGGAATTTCAGTAAATTTAACAAAGTGTGAGGTACGTGGTAGCTTCAGTTGCCAAAATTATGCAGCAAAACAGGAACAAACCCAGGAAAGTCCTGTTATATCTGCAGAGCTGATATATGCTGAGCATGTGGAGGGTCCTGAGAAGCTCTCCTTGGACCAGAAGCCAGATACCAAGTCAGCAGGGAACCATGACCCCAGGCTGTGTTGAAAAGTGCTTAAATGAGGCAGTAGTGCTTCTCGTGGGGCCATACATTGTCCTTTTTGACACTGATTCTGGGCAAGATGTACCCAACAGTTTGCAGTTGCAAAGGCCAGCACAAAGCTAAATAGTTCTGTGTTGACACCTTCCTAGTTTCCTAAGACTTCTAGGCTATTTGATGAGCCAAGCTAATTTGTTTTATTTGCAGTATATGAACGTGTATTTATGTAAGAATATGTTAGAATTACACACCTGTTTATATACTCTGTGTATAAAAGATAGTATACATATATGGATACATTGTGTGGTTATATAACAATCAAATATATGTGACACTGTTGTAAGCTTTTTCAGTATAGGAAAAAAAAGAAAACTAAAGGAAATTCAACAGACCGAAGCAAATTCTTACTGATTTGATTATCTACTTCTTTTCTACATGTGAATTCCTTTAGCTGTCATTTCAAGGTTATTTTCATTTCTGCTACAGCTATTTACTAGACAATTCAGAAGGTTATTTGCTTGTATAAAAGGCTAATCAGCTTATTTCTGTTTTCAATTATGAGATGATTTTTGGCAAAAACATTTGCAAAGTGTTATTGGTTATGTGGCAATCTCCAATTACTTTCTTGCGAGCTAAGTATTATTTTGGCCTAGTGCTGAACAAAGCTAAAGATTAAACTAAAGATTATTTTGTTGATCGCAGTGTGTTTCAGCGTAGCAGGATAGGTTCATGAAAGCTAAAGGAGACAGAATATTGAAAGTAGAAGGACAAACTGTCAATTTTAACACAAGGTCTATTCACTTCTTTAGCCCATAAATGTTGACAACTTGCGTCCCTCTTTTGCAAAGGGAGGAATAACATCTACATGGCAACTATGGTCCATCCACTGTGGACCAGCACTTAGACAGAGAGGGCACTGTGCTTTGGATGGTGGAGGTCCAGAATGATCTTTCAGAAGCAGCCCCATGTCGCTGCTGTCTGTTGAGCGCAGCCAGCTGGGCTGCATTGCGTCACTAGCAGCTTGTACCTACTTGTGAAAATCTCTCCTCACTCAACTGAAAAGAGATGTGTGGGCTAGACAGCAAAGTCGGGATAGCCACATGAGAGGACGGCGGCACGCTGAGCTGTTTGCCTTGGACACATCAGTCATGCTGTGGGAAATGATCCCTGTGCAGCACGTAGGCGTTGACATTCCAGGCACTCGTTCTACATATGTGACATGCTCTCCTGGAAAACTCAAAATGAATTTTGAGTTATGAAACTCAAAACACAGCATACACACCTGCAGCACCTCCTGTTTGCTGGGTTATTGGGATATCCATCAACTTTGGCTCCTGGAAGGCCTTGTCTTGTAAATTTTTAGCAGTAAAACATGCTGGGATTTCCATCAAATCTGTAGACTCTGTAATGCATTAGTGAGTGAGCAAAGTCTTCATAGCACACTGTTTCTTGGTAATACTTCTGCTCTGGCCAAACCAGGGAATTTGCAATTGCTCTAGCACTGAAAAATGCCCTAATACTTGTCATAGGAAAAGGGTGCTCTTCTGGACAACTAGCATTAGAGAACATTGGGAAAGGTTGTCACTGTTTTCCAGCTTTGCATGCCAACTTAAGTTATTGCCATAGGGATATCTGTTGGATAGGTGGCTATGTTCAATATCAGCATTGTGGCAGATGCCAAATACTGTAATGCTACAAATAGTGGCCTTGATCAAAAATGATCAAAAAGCTAAAAATGTAGCAATCATTTGAAGCAACAGGGAGAAATAGAATCTGAATGTTAAATAATCATGTTTTTCATCTACTGAATTTTGTGACTCAGAAGTTGAATTTTGTTCTCAGATGCTTTAGTTTTTGAATATATACTCTTTTATTGTTCGGGGTTTTTTTAGCACCCTCTGTGATACAAAGATTGGAACTTTAGTCTGATAGGCATTGTACAGATGTGTACACCTTTGATCTTGCTAATGTGCTTATATATAATCTGTGCTTAATATATAATCTTTCTTCTATATCTTTAACTTAAAGTTCATCTGTCTCTGTGTTATTATTCATTTCCCCACTGAGAATCACTATCATAGTATTTTCTTGTTTTTCTTCCCCCCACCTTAGAGAATGCATTTGTTGGAGAAAATCTCATTGGAGCATTCAAAAAACAGATTGAGGACGGTGGTTTTCTGCTACATTTGGACTCCAAGCAATTCATAGCTGATTCTTTCATTGATTTTCCCCGGGATGAAGAGTTTGATCTGTCTCCAAGAGTTCAGCTAGGATGCAGAAGTGGATTTCGAAGAACTTCATCTCCTGGAAGAACGGTTCCAAATGCACAAGGGTGTGGTATGTCTCTGTTTAGCTTTATCTTCTTTGATGTTGCTGGGAAACACTGTAAAGGTAAAGTTAGAAAATTGTCAAGGAACTTGTGTGACGGGCTAATATGTGAAAGACGTAAAACATCAATGTGAATGACAAAACTTAGGATGGATGGAAATTACCTCTATTCTTACCCTTCTGTTCCTGCATTGCAGACGAATTTGAACCAGCAGCTTGGAAATAGCCATTATTGGTATTGACATTGTGTAGAACTTTTTACAAACATTTCTTGGGATTCTTTGGGATCTGATTTAGAAGGTCTTTCTGTATTGCATGTGATTCTTTTTGAAAAGATTCTTCAAGCATAAATACCAATGCTTGAGATGATATATTACCCAGAATAGAAATCTAGCTGCAGATATGGCAAAAGTCCTGAGATTGTGAATTCCTGGGCTACATCCCAGACAGCTGGAATGAGATGATTCAGATGGAAGCTTTCTCAGTGTTGGCCAACACCCAGACCTGATTGCAACTCTGCCCTCTTTTCATCTTCTTTCCCTGTGTTTAGTCTGCTTCGCTGTGATGGGCTGCCTTTCTATCAACATCCTGCTCAGAGCTGCCAAACCTGCAGGATCCCCGTGGCTGTTCCTAGTAGTCCAGTATACCAGGTCACTCTGCCAAAGGTCCTTTGCCTTAACAGCCCTTCTGTGGTTTTTATCACCATCAAGCCTCCTTCAGTCCATCACCAACTGTTCCCATTGGCCCAGTTATGTCAGTGACCTGTGTCTTCATAAGTCCCAAACTCACAGAAGCGACAATGAGTAGCTCTTTGAGGAGTGGAGGTGGGATGTACCAGTTGTGGGTATAAAAGAAACAGCAGCAGATTTCTGGTCAGTTTTCCAGAAAGAGGAATCTTTTCAGCAGGGGAAGTTTTCCAATTGTCCAACTAAATTTTGAGAACCATTTTAGAGTTTTTAGACACACAAGAAAAACAGGAATTTTTAGAAATGAGAAGAACTTAGTGCTGGGCTTGCTATGGTAGTTGCCTCTAGGCTAGGAGAGCTTTCTAATGCTTGGATGGAAAGCGCATGAGCCTTGACTGCTCCTTGCTTCCACCATAAACTTATGGTGAATGAAAGAGATTATCCCTGTCTCCCATTGTCCATTCCCTTAATGCCTCATTAGAGTGACCTCAGAGGTCAGAATTAATTTTGGCAGGTTCTTCCCACACAAGGTACTACCAACAGCATCTTTTATTAGTTTTCCTATCAAGTTGTCCTTTTGAATGTTCTTTTATTAAAAATATAGTGAGGTCCTCATGATACTAGCTTGGTAGCTGGAATGAAAAATTAGATTTTTTATTGCTTTTTTTTAAGTTCTCAAACCATCACCCTTTGATTCTTTTTATATGTTAAAAAGGGAGAGGAAAACAGACAATGCAGTAAGTTACAGCACGATGCCAGATGTTGCAGATTTGAGGTCTCACCTTGCTGTCACTTGGAGTCCTGGCAGACTTTATGCTTCTTTGTTGTTTTAAATGTTACGTGAATTGAATCCTGATGAAGGACACTGAAATAAAAGCCCAGAAGTCCAAGAACTTCTCTGTGCCTTTCCTCTCCCTCCTGGGAGAATTGGTGTGATGTCTCTGTGGGTTCAGCTGTGCAGTTTTACAGGTGCCATCTAGGTCCCTTGGTAGTCCCTATGTAATGGGCATGGCTAGGGGAGTGGTAGTCCCTAGGGGAAGGGCTAAACCATCTTCCTATAGAGCTGGGCATCCAAGTGCCAAGGTTGGATGGATTCTGCATCTCCATGCAAATGGAATGAGTTGTATTAGTGTATATTTTTTGCACTACTGGTTATTCCTTTTATAGTTTATCCTCTTAAGGGTTTACTTGTAAAATGAACTTATGAAAGAGGAAAAGCAATACAGATACCAAGAATGGTAGGGGCTGTATTCTGAGGAGTTCAAATTATGAACTGTGTCTTCTTGTATCAAGTATTCATCTTCTGACGGTCTTAAATTTGCTCAGGGGATCCTCTAGCTGTATCTAGCAGTTCCCTCTCCTCCAGTTGTGGATGAACGCTGCTATTTTTAAGGAAGGACTTATAAGTAATTGGGTCATGGATCAGTTCTGAATTGCTGTAGTTTTCAACCTGGAGCATTAAAGGCAAATTGACTGCACTTTCAGTTCCTTTTCATCAGTTGAGACACTTCAGATTTCCGTTACATAAACATACTAGGAAAAAAAAGGTTTGTTCCTGCCAAGAAACCAGAGAATGTAACAACTTGCAGTTACTTAGCAAGATATAGTGTTGTACTGATTAAAAGTATCATTATTATTAAGTAAAACTTATTAGAGCAAAACAGTTTATGAAGATTGGATCGTGCCAGATATTTCATGCAGAATACAAGGTTCTAGAAACACAATCAATTCATTTGGTTTGTATGTTAGTTCACATACTTGTACCATCAAACTGGAGGAAAAAGGCTCTTGGTAAAATAGTCTTATCAGAGAAATGCAGAAGGGGGACAGTGGTCCAGCCTTTGGCTGAGATTTCGTGCTTACTGTAAGCATGTTGCTGGATCTGTTATATATAGTAGGAATGAAGTCTGTTTCTCCACCACTAATAGTGATTGGTAATAATAACCTATCAGCTTTGTTTACAGAAACAGAGTTCTATGATGATAAAAATTTTTCTTTTATTCTCTTCTCTTTCTTATCCAATTTGTTGTTGAGAGTAAAGTGGAATTTCAGATCTTGGTCTTGCTGATTTGTAGGTTTTATTTCCCTGTAAATGACATGTTCCCTTGCTTCATGGCAGGCACCATCAGCTCTTGGTTGTGGTGGCTTTCCTGTGATCTCATTAAAATATTTGCTCTTAGACACATGAAGCCTACATGTAAATGCCTTTTCACCTCTCACATAATTTTTCATCTGCTGCTTTGTATCTGTTGTTACCTAATTCTTTCATGTTTTCCTGTCTGTATAAAATTTAACTTCTATAGTGTGTTAGTTTTTAGAAAGACAAAGGCCCTTCTTTAAGCTAAGGTGTTATAGGAAAAAAAGGATATTGTAATCTGTCCAGGAAACAGCTTTATGAACTCTCCCCCATTCCCACCACTTATTTCAGGAAGAAAGACTGAAGTCCATTTGTTATTACATCTATTTTATTATATTGTTTTTTGATATTTTCTTTTATTGTTTACAATGCTTGGTAAGCTGTATCAGAACTGCTTTGAACAGAGCATAACCCAAATCAAAAATAGTGCTAGATTTATAGCTGAGCTGGCAACTTTACAGCTCCCTTGTAATAATCTGGATCAAGACTCAGATATCTCAGAGTTTCCTAGGGTCCTAGAGGGAAGAAAGAGCAATGTAAGTGTTGGATGGTCATCAGCTGAGATACTTCTTGCTGCGTGCAGCTGTGTATGGTGCAAGCTTGCTGCAGTGAGAGCTGATCCTAAAGTGAATTGAAACTCCTGTGTCCCTTACAGATCTCATGTGCAGGACTGAGGTTTTGTTTTGTTTTGTTTTCCCTTTTCCTAATCTAGGGATATAAAGGTTGGTCCCAATGCTTTGGCTTAGTCCTGAAGTTTTACCTTTAGGTTGTCATCTAGTTTCTTGTTTTATAAAACTGCATCGATATTAAAATTTTAAAGAGCACAATTTACTTATTATTTTTTTTCTGAATTCCAGAAACGAACTTAGCCTTCACATACTTATTTTGTGTCTGTCTTTTAGTGGGTGAGGTATATGTCTTCTAAAGCTGTGGATTCTTGGAAACTTGGAGATCTGCACAATTTTTTTTTCTGTTTTTTTTTTTTTTTGTGCTGTTTTTTGTTATGTGTGAAGAAGAAAAGTCAGCTTTGCTTGCCTACAGCATAAGACACAGGCATTACTTTTACATCATGGCTATAACTGTAAAATAAGGGTGTTTTGTAAAACTTGACTTGTTCTTTTTTAAATAAAACTCCAGTTGCTTTAGTTAATGTCTTCTTCATCGTTTGCATTCTGCCTTCTGATTAGACATGCATTACTCATTTCATTTTAGTTTCTTCTACTGTTGTTCGTGTGGGATGACTGATCCTTTTCACATCGATTGGAAAATGTATGTTTAAATGTTTAAAATGTATCAGGCACTCTCATTTATTAAATAATACACATGAGAAAGGCCATGTCTGTCTCATCCAGGACTTTTTGTTCCATAATTGATTTTCGATATGTGTTAGGCTTGGAACAATTGTCGTGATACCTACTTGGGAGGAAATTTTCAGTCCCACAGTCTCTAATCCAAGGTTCTCCCAGTGGACCATTTAGAGCTGCTGAAAGAAGAGGTGGTTGTCTTTTAAATCTATTACCATTCAGGTCTTCCAGTAAATTAAATTAATCTACATTCCAGTGTGTTGGCCGGAACAGTAATCCATCATATGAGTTGTAGTAGAGATGGCCAATTCTACATTAGTGTTGTTTTATGCTCTCTGATATGTGCTTAAACTGCTGTCAAGATGTAAGGCAAGAGCAGAAATAAAGTTTTTCACCTTGTCCAAGTCCCAAAATATGCGTTTGATAGTGTCTTGAAGGAAATCTACATCTGGAAAGCAGCTATGAAATAACATATTGTCATGCAATGTGTGTGCTACTTTTCTGCTTTAATAGTTCCTCTCAGTGAGTTGGAGGGAAAGATGCCGTTGCATGACCTCCCAAAAGACCAAGAGTTTTCTCTGTAGCATGCAACTGGTCAGCTGGAAATATTGCTCTTGAATTGTTCTGAAAATGATATTTATGCAGCCTAAGAATATATTTTCATTTTGTTTTAGGGTTGCCATGTGCAACATTAGTTGATGTTAATCCAGCCATTACTCTGTAGCTTGGAATTACTTGCCAACAGCTTCATTATCGGAAACTCAGAGTGAAAGCATGAGCATGTGGTAGTTTCCTATGTGATGTTTTTGGAATTTCTGCTCATAGGAGTCTTCCTGTAGCGTTTGTAGTAGTTGTATCGTTTGTACCTAGAGTGCCTTCCTTATATTTCACAGTCTATCCACAAAGTGCATTATGCAATTACAAATGGATTTAACTCTGCTCAGTCTAGATGTGAAGCTAGGACTTAGCATTAACTAGCTTAAAAACTTCTAATTTAAGAAAACATTTTGAGGCTAATCTGAAAACGAAGGTCTTAGTCTATATTCCAGTCATTGGTGGGTTTTGATGAACAGTTAGGGATATTATCCCACTTAGAAATATATATATTAAAAGGTTTGAAGTCTGTGGCAAGAACATCTGAACTGGTTGGCTTCACTAAGAGTAATAAGGTTGTTTTTTTGTAGTTGTTTGTCCTCCAGGCAGTCACTTCAAGAATGAGGAATGTGTTCCCTGTCCTCTTGGCTACTACCAGTACCAGGCAGGAAGTTCCTCTTGCATGAGGTGTCCTGTGGGCAAAACTACCAGCTCCTATGGGGCTTTCAGCGATGATCACTGTAAGTTGAACCTGTTTTCCCCTGTCCTCTGTGCTCTACCGTCAAATAACTAATAGATTTTTTTTTCATATGTAAGTTTTTTTGCTTTTCTTTTTTAAAATGGGAAAACGTGTGTGGGAAGCTGATTCTCCTACTGTTTCTTTTTTGTTTCTTTTGGACTGGATATGATTTCTTTTGCATACATTCAGACATTTTCAAGGACAGAACAAACTGTCTGGTGTTTTGACCAAAAATGCATGAGAAATGAGTGGTCAGTCTCATCCAGGACATTGTGGTTCCTTCAGACATGTTCATTGTCCTGAGGAATGATAGTTGATTATTCACCGGTGTCAGCTAGAAACATCTTATGTAGCTTTATTGGCATTTTCGTGATCCCTAGTGAAATATGGTCTTGCCTAGCGACTTTCCCTGCTTCAGTACAAATACTTCTCACAAAGCATTGATTGATCTTTTAACTAAAGGTGGTGTTTATATGAGCCCAGTTCTACAAAGAAAGTCCAATTCCAGTTCAATCTTCAGCATTAGCCCTTGGGTAAAAATAAAAGTAGTGAGACTGAGTTTATTGATAGTATCAGCAAGTAAATGACCCGTTCTGCTCTTTTTAGTTAATGTTAGGTGAGATGAAAAGCAGTTGTGTGGTAATCCACCCTATACCCAAGCATCAGGTAGCTTTCAGCTGCAGAAGACTAGGCTGAGATTTTTGTATTAGCTGTTTCTAGTGCACACACTGGACTCTTATACTTGCAGTGCACGTACTCCTTCGGTCAAGCCTGAAGACTTGAGTCATGTTAAAAAGAAAATGGTGACAGCAAGATCAAACTGTCTTTCGTTTGCATGTTTGTTTTGTTTACTTGTAACAGGTGTCACTGACTGTCAGAACAATGAGCAGGGTTTGCAGTGTGATCAAGATGGACAGTATAGACCTTCCCAGCAAGACCCTGACACTAAGAAGTGGTTCTGCATTGACAGCTTTGGGATAGCCCTGAGCTGGACTGAATCAGATGATGTGCTTACAGATCAACAGTGCCTAGGTAGGTGTTGGAAGAAATTTTGGGTGCCTTTTGATCCCACATAAGCAAACCCTCCTTTTGAAAAGACTCTGCTGACAAAGCTGCCTTGACAAGCTATGGGAATTCACTTTCTTAGAGTAACAGCCTTTTCCTTAAGCTGCATTTCTCCCCAGATTTGTGCTGCTTGATGGCATTGGGGAAGTTATTTTCTGTCAGGGAAGTGAAAGAAGCAGTTTTCTTGCACTCTGAGATAGGTGACAGCTTTTGATGTATGATGATTCCCTCCCTTGCTTGCAATTGTGAGATTCACACGAGGGCTAATGGGAGAGCAGCAGAATGATGGATTTCCTTGTAAAATTATCACTCATCCATGAGCTCATATGAAATAGTCTGAGTTTGAGACGTGGCCCACAGACGTGGCATAGTGTCACTGTCAGGGATGCTGCTACGTGTGTCTCACTGGATGAGCACCTCCTTGAAAGCTGGGAAGTTGCTTCTGCTTGAATGCTTTATGAAATGCCAATTTCCAAGGAAGAATAATTGGAAAGAAGTTAAGCATTATATTTCTAAAACTTGTTTAGAAGCATTTACAGATTTGGTACTTGAGTACTGATCTGCTGTGGAACTGGGTTTCAGACAAAAAGAAATAAAGCAGATGACTCAAAGCTAGGATAGAAGGTTATGCATTAGGAATCCAAAAAAACAGAGTGGAACAAACTAAGAGTTCGAGGAAGCTAAGTGTAGTTCATGTAAGTATAAGTTAGTAACCACAGAAGTCACCCAAACAAATTCCCTGCAGTAAGTTCTAACTTCTCAGCCCCAAAGCTTTTACCTTGCTTGCAAAATAGTTTTTAAGAAGATTTTGCAACTCATCAGATGATTAGTGTTGAATTTAATGGAGTATTCAGCTTAGAAAGTGGTGTCATGGTGGGCTCTGGAATAGGCAGTGCCTTATCACAAGTGCACTCAGTGGAAGGGGCATGAAATGAAAGTCCTCAGCTGTGAAGAGCTTGCAAAACTGTCTTATGGATACATTTGTGGATGGCTGCCTAAGCTTATTTTGTGGCTTGTGCTGGAAGAGTTGGCTGCAAATAAATAGTTAAAAGTGTTGACAATCTAGGGGTTAAAAAAAAAACAAGAAAAACAAGAGGACAGACTAGTGATTGTTTGTTTTGTTTTGTTTTAGTTTAGTTTTATTTCTTTTTTCCAAGAGCATTCTAGGCTTCCAGAAAGCATTATATAAAGTGAAACTGAATATTTCTCTTTCTACTTTCCTCCTGCCCTTTATGGTTCCGTTAATGCATGCAGCAAGACAGCAGAATCTGAAGACTGATCTTGCTTCAAAATGAGATTGGCTGTCAGACAGGGTCAATAAATAACCCAACTGCCCTGTGCTTCTTGAGAATACAGTGCCTTTTAGAAATGCACAATGCCTAGCTGGAACAACCTGGACTTGCACTTACTTTTCTCTTTCCTGCTATATTTTATGCCAGACTTGATATTTGTCCCAATAACGGGGGTGGCACCTAGAGCTTTCCACCTGTTGTGGGATGAAGGAGGATTTCTGCTGCACACTGAGCTGTTAAACAGCAGAGTAGACATATTACTCATGAGAACAGGGCAGTGGTGAAGTAATAAGCTCATGAAAATAGGAGGTGATAGAATATTTTTCATTTTAGCATTTGCTTTTTTTTTATGTTTGTTTAGATTAGTAGCTTTATGAACACATTTTTCACTTTTAAAAAGGAAATTCAGGAATAATTAAAATCGGTAGGTTTTCTGGTAGTTTTACTGTTTTGTTCAATGTTTAGTTACACTTTCTGTCCTCTCTTTACTTTTCTCCCACACTATTATAGGAGAGAAAATGGAGTCATGGGTTGAAAGCAGGGCTCAAAAAAGGGGCCTGTTTTAAAAACAACATTTTAAAGGCAAAATTTAAAATAAAGACGAGAGCCATAAAAAAAAAACCTGCACACAACATAGAAACACTTCTTTCCAGTTTTATGAAGACCAGTGGATTTTGTTTTTAACCAGGCATCACTGCAAGCTGTAGATGTAGGAGGAATTTGGTTTAGTATAGAATTAGGCTGATGCTTATATTTTAGCCTTCTATATTTTTAGAAAAGAAAAAGCTTCCTGTTATGTATACATAATTATTCAGTTCTTTTCCTAGATGAGCTGGAGTGTAAGGATTTATGTGTATGTGTGCTTGTGAATATTTGGCTAGTCCTTATGTTCCTTCCAAGCAGAAATGACAGTTTTATCAAAAGCACCTGCTGACTCAGCCCCTGACAACAGTGGACATTTGCTTCATATTATTTCTGACTGTTTTGCTGTGAGAGTACAAATGGTTGTTTAAAAATTTTATCCTTGACTTTTGTTTTGTGGTTTGTTCAGACATTTAAGGGAGAGAACCAGGCATGGAATCCTCCTGCTGGATTGGCGTCCATGTGCATAAGGGAAAGAAGGAATGAGCCTCCAGCTCTTCCACATGCAGATATCTCCCACAGGCTGATATCCAACCAGGACTCTTGCTGCTTAGGTCTTTGAGGTCTAGCCAGGCTTTGGAGGCAATGAGTTAGAAGCCCGTGCTCATCTGGAGTGCTTAAAGGAGAACTTCGGTTGCCACAAGAGTGGTGGAAAGTCAACACATTCTTCCTTTCTCCTTAATATACCATGTTCATGAACAGGCCTTAGTGCATCCACTGGCACGTTGTACGAGAAAACCCTTGTAATACAGGTAGTAGCAATCAGGGCAGGTGGTGGTGATGCCACTTTTTGTCCCTTCACCTGGGGTTAAACCACCTCAGGGCACAGACTGGGCTTCTGGAGCTAAAATTGGATACCTCACCCCATCTAGTGACCTGTAGGGTGTGTATCTCTATGTGAGCTTTTCCCAATTCATAAACAACACTGCTTGTAGGTCACTTGTTCAACAACTTGATTTTCAGGTGCAGTGGGTCCAACCCAGAGAGAGCAGATGACAGGGTACATAAAGTGTGAGCCTGAAGTTAAAGGCTGAAGGAGTCTAAAAGGAGCAGGAAGGCTGTACTACATGAACATGAAGCTGGTGGGGATTACAGGACTCATTGCTCTCTTAGATTTTGGTTCTAGTCAAGTTCTGTTGGAGGTGGCTCTTATTTCAGGGTCTGTTTTGCAGAACTTAGGTATCTCTGTTCACTCAATGGTTGGTTGTGTGCCATGAACAAGTAATGGGAGATGTCTGTTCTGCTATTGTAAGCAAAGTCTCACTTGGAATATAACCCCCAGCCCACCCCTGACTATTGTTTTTTAAAGATCTTGTGACATTTTTTGGCAAAGTAGAAATTATGTCCTCAGTCCAGCTGCTTTCTGCATTGTAAGTGAATTTAGATGACTTCATTTAATGAGCAAGCCTACAAAAATTTTTTTTTTCTTTCTAGCTAAGGTCTCTTGTCTCTTTGAATTCTGGATCTGATTATATTATCTATTTTTCAGTACTCAGAAAATTTGACAGGGTCCCTGCCTCCAAAGTGATTTATGGATCAGAAGATGCTGAAATTCTTCAGTCTCAGTCATTTAGAGGAGACCTGCAAAGTCCAGCTTTGCAGTGCATTTCAGGTGAGGAAAACTCTCAGCAAATATGAGAATAGAACACTAACCAGCACTGAGAATAATATTTTTATATGGTGAACTTACATCTATATTCCTAGACAAACGGTGTTTCTAGTAGGTCAGCACCAACTCACTGCAAGCTGTTTACAACTTTTGGTGTCCTTGGCTCAGCAAAGAGATTGCTCTTTCTTTCCAGAAGAATTCCTCTCACTTTTTGTACTGCTTTAGGCAAATGATCTGACCAAAACCAGTTTGCAATATGCATGAGGGCTCGGATTCAAACCAGGAAATATTCATATAACTTGTCTGATATGCAGGCAAAGGAAGGATTAGGTGTGCAGCACATGTGAAAACCAAAGTCTTTACTACTTCCCAAAGTTGTGATATATAAAAGAAAAATCTCCTTTGCAGAGCTTTACATCATAAATATTATACCAAATTTGGACACTTCATGTTTTCTGGTTTGCATCTAAAGCAAAAGGAATTGCAACACAGCTTTCAGGATGCTCTGGATCAATTCCTGCCTTATGCCTGCTTGACTCCCAATGCTCAGATTTCTGAATAGAGGCAAAGAGTTACAGTTACTTTCAAAATAAAAAAAACACCCTAATGGTAATAGCACAGTTGGTTTTTTCAGGGCAGAAGTCATGGAATTTTGACAACTTCAGTGTCTTTGTATCCCCTACCCTAGTCTATTTAGCTATCTCTCAAGCTGAGAGATGAGTTTAAGAAGCCTTACATGTCAGTGGAATGATTTTCTTGCACCAGTTCAGCCCCTAGTTGCCTACTGCAAGATTTCTTGCACCTTCCTCTGGAGTAACCTGAGCTGGAGATCCTCAAAAGCAAGACACTGAGATGAGTGGACTGTGAGCATAAATTGAGAGAGGCAAAGATGCCCTTTTGGCAAGTGATATGATTCAGTGTGAAAGGCCTGTGTTTTTATTAGAAGCTACATTGAACTAAGTTAAGAATGTGGTTTTTTATTGCAGTAGAAAAGTCTCAGTGGGGAATTAAGAAATTAACTTATATTCACCTCGTAGTTCTACTTTTAAATTGTTACTGAATGGTAAGGTAGCAGCCCCTCCATCTCTGTTAGACAGTTAGCTAGACAGCTTTGCTCAGATTTGCTTAGATATTTTGGTCTAATCCGGCTGACTTTTGTACTGAAGAGATTTGGAATGAGTCTCACATCCTGTTGTAAGAGTGGAGCTGTGGGAGCAAGTAGTGGTGTCACCATCTGTCTGCCATGCAGTTACTTCCTTGCATACACATGGTGGCAAAGTGTATGCAAGAAAGTGTGTGCAAAGTGGACATATGGGCAAAGGGGTTCGTGAGGCTGCTCTCTGACTGCCTCGGGCCAAATCATCAGCAGACATTAAACACTTGAGGGGGTGGTTAAACCTAACTCAGCTGTTTGTGCCATCAGAAGAATGTCCAAACAAATTTTTGTATTGATTAAAGTTGACATAAAAAAGTGATGCTGGTGCTAAAATAGTTGAAAGCTAGAATTCATTTGCCCAGGGAAACACACGTACTTTCAGTCTGAAATTCTGTATGTGAAATGTTAAAAAAATCAAGATTTCTTGTCTGTTTTTCAGATTGTGAGAAGGAAGAAGCATGTGGCTTTGCAACTGTAACTTCTGCTGGTACTCAAATTTTGTGTGAATTATACAGTGCTGCTGAAGTCAACTTCAACTGTACTGCATCTGAATTGGTAAATATAATATTTAAAAGTACATGCTCAATATAGTGCTATAGGTTCAGCAATAAGTAGATAGGACAACAAAAATAGCAAGCTGTCACTTGGCTGACTTGGATGCTACTTTTCATTATGGCAATAACAAATTGCTGTTGATAGAGAACTACATCTCGAATTTCTCAAGAGGAATGTTTGAATTGGTCGGTGTTTAACTGAAGCACAACACAGCACTCTTATTTTTTAAAACATGCTGACCTGCCACAGTTCAGAGATTAGGCTAATTTAGAAGTAGGAGATTCACTTGAATAGTCAAAAACAGAAGTATCCACACCACTAATCAGGTTACCTGAAGCTATCATTTCTCAATCCCTTCTTGCAGGCAAGGATTTGAATCATGTACTTTTTAGCATGTCTCTTTAGCACCTTTCTATTCACTACTTTTTATATGCAGCAAAGTAGCACTGAAGAGTTGAGGTCTGTCTGAGAGAATAAAAACCATCAGCTCTGGTCATGAAAGAATTTCAGTGGCTCTAAAATATGTGCCCTAATTCCTCCTTCTCTCAGTTTCTAACTAAGAAAGGAAAATCCTTTTTAGGAGATGAAATCTATTAGTCTGCATTTATTGTGAATGTCTATTTTCTGTCCCAGGTACAAGGTGCCTTGGGGAACTCTGCTGCCACTAGTGTTGGCCGTCTCAGCTGTCTGCTTAACATCCAAAACCAAGAGGTGGATGCAGTGACGATCTATTTGAAGAAAGGTACCAGCTGCCAATCAGTGGTATCATGCTAGTCTAGTGTGCTTGAACTTGAATTTATTTCTATGTAAGATGATGATTAAAAGTGAGGGCATCATCTTTGTTCCTGAGGACGTAGGTATTTTCAAAGCGGAACACTGAATGGTAGCCCAGCAACCTCAAGAAATCTTCCCTTCAGGCTTCTTCCTTAGAAATAAAGAATGCTGCCTTTGTAAGACCTTCTGTACAGCTATTATTTTTTTGGCAGATAGAATTTGAGGTTTTGTGAGACTATCCTGTGCATGTTTATTTTCTATAGTGTTTTGTTGTACCATGTTTTTTTCTTTATTGAACAGTTTGCTATTTAACTATATAGGACATTTAAGCCCTATATAAACTGGAAGAAATGAGACTGAAAACCAATTTCTGCGGTATTTAATAGTTTAGGTTCATTTAAACTGTAAATTGTCCTAATATTCCAGTTGAGAAATATCCTGCTGTCCAGTGAGTAATTCAGAGTAATTCAACTGAACTCATAGATGTTGCAAGATGTTGGGTTTTTGTTGTTGTTGTTTGTGTGCTTGTTTATTAACTTTATGTGATTGCTCCCTTTGCATGTTCCATTTATTGTGTGCCCAACTTTGGGCTATATGCCAAAGTTCAAAGGTGAAATAGTCAAAACCAGAATTTGAGTCAAAATCTTCCTTTTATTTTTATCCACACCTGAGTTCATGTTTATTAAAAATAATAATAGAAAGTTGAATCTCACTTGAAATGAGACAAGTTCCCTGAGCTCATTATGATCCACACTGATGCCTAGTCCAGATTTCTGTTGACGCTGATCTTGCATTTGAAATTGAGAATACAGAATTTTTGAGATTGAGCTGTTATCATAAAACTTCCAACCAGCCTCAGTTTTCAGGCAGTCTGACAGCATCATGTCTCCTCCTGAGCTCTTTTGAACATTTCTTTCCTGTTCTGTCTGCTCAGGACAAGAATTTAACTCATCTGGGCTCAAGACGTTTGAAAGGACTAATTTTCAGAACGTGCTTTCTGGCGTGTATCGCTCCCTGGTTCTGTCCACAGCGGGCACGTCGCTGACTGACGCACAGCTCTTCTGTCGGCAGACGTGCGGCAGGGACTCTTGCTGTGATGGCTTCATCTTGAGTCAGATTGAGCTTGATGGAGGTTTGTATAAGCAATGCAAAATTTTAAAAAAAGTGCAGGAAACTAAAGCTGATGAGTAAGGAGAAAAAACCTTTGTCCTGAAAAAGTCAGTAGTCTGCCTCTGCACTTACAAAATTATATCAACCTCTACATTGTAATGGAGTACTAATAGTTTGCATCATTTTTTCAGTGTAGGTAAAATGTGAGCAATGGCTGAGGCTTGTTTGTAACAGATCTATGTTCCCCAGGATGGGGTTTTCCGCTTGTAAGGGAGAATAGTTGTCTCACCAGAATTCAGTTATTTGCAGTGTGGAAACCTGCAAGACTGAGCGAGCTGCTCATCCTACTTATTGAAAGCATTTTGAAAGCATGTTTCTTTTGACCTGTTGTATACATCTGCAATGGGGTCAGATGATTCATTCTCAAATTGCTTCTTCCTTTATTTAACTCGGCCTGGTTGCCAGAAGTTGGTGCCTTTCAACTGACTGGGGATTTAGCAGTACCTCCAGACTTCTTGTAGTGCAAATGTAAACCAACTTTCCTTATGGAGCAGGAAAAGAGGATATTAAAGAGGGCATTATGTCAGGGTATTGCATGCGGAAGAGCTATAACCTCCTAAGTCTGGATATTTAGCTAGGACATAGAGCCAGATGATTGGGATTGACAAGAGCGCTTGAAGCATTCTGTGAACAAAGGTCCCTTAAATGATTATGCTATTTCCCATTTCACATTTCACTTTTCCAACAATAAAACAATATCTCTTAAGAATTTACTGTGTTTTCCTAGTTCTTCCATATGCTCTTCTGAATGTGTGCACAGTTGTTGACTCAGATTGCACGAGGGGAGTTCAGGTTAGATGTTAGGAAAAATTTCTCTATGGAAACAGCGGTGAAGCATTGGAACAGGCTGCCCAGGGAAGCGATGGAGTTGCCATCCCTGGCAGTGTTCAAGAAACGTGTAGATGAGGCACGTAGGGACATAGTTTAACATGAATGGTGGTGACGGGTTTATGGTTGAGTTGAGGATCTTGAAGGTCTTTTCCTACAATAATGATTCTATGAAAAAATATGAGAAGGGCAGTGTAAAACTGTGGAAATGCCTGAACTGCAGCAGCCAGGTATAGAGCGAGGATTGACTATCTAGACGTTAAAGGACCAGAGCGAGTGCCAGAACACCTGGTTTCTAACGGTGCTTGTTCCCCAGCCTTGTGCTACAGCAGTGGCTGAAATTCTGCACCAATCCAGGAAGCCTCTCGGTTAAAATATATATGCTGGGTTGGCTCAGAGTCCAAGATTGTAAGACGACTGAAATATTGAATGTGTCTCTCTGGTGCTGTCAAGTATGTGGAACAGTGTTGGGTATTATCAGATAATAGTATATGAAGTGGTAATAGTGTGTATTTGAATTCTCCAAGAACCAAATCATAAATGTATAAGCATTAAGCATAAGTATCTAATACTAGTACTTCAATTTGAAAGGAGGATGCTGATTTTGAGTAGCAAAACTCACAATACTGAAAAAAGTAGCTATCTTACTGGAGCAGATTCAATTAACGTTTTTAGAAAGTATTGGGATGCTTGAATAAAAGCACTACATTAAAAAAAATCAAAAAATAAAAGCATTATTGCAGAGACATAACTCTCTTTTTGTCTGACCCTAGGTACCATTTTGTGCAGTCTGATGAGCTACCCTGATGTACTGCTCTGCAATGCAGATGACTGGAGTCCAGCAGCAAAGTCTGTCAGAGATGGGATATGTAAAGGCGTGAGCTATGACGAAAAAGAGAGGGTGTTTTCCTTCACCCTGGGAGGACAAATATTCAGTGGAAGTATGTCAATGAGTTATCTCAATTAACATTGCTTTTGTTTGATTTTTTTTTTCTATAGACTCTGCTTTTTTCATCAGTCCACTCTTGTACTTCAGTGTCTTTTTCTCAAATAAATTAATATCTGTAAATTCATAAGAGAATAAGAACACCCTAATTAGATGTGTTGTTAGATGGACCCCTTCATTCTTTACTGTAGGAAGAGTAATGAAAATTAAGAATCTCTTGCTCTAAGTACATTATCTTTCAGCAGTTCCAATATTTAATTCATGCAGATTCAAGCTAATAATCTGAAATAAAGATGAACTTTGGAGCAAAGATTTGATCAGTGTTACACTAAAAAAAAAAAGAATGTTGGAAAATAGTTTTAAGCCTTCGGATCCTGGGACCCAGAATAGCAAGAGAATGCATGAGTATTTCTTCCTGTAGGATCTTTGCATAATAAATAGTATGATACAAAGTATAGTGAGGTACTTGTAATTTATAAAATGCTTGTTTATAGTGAGCATTTTAATTCTATCCATTTGTTTAATGTTAATGGCTGCTATAACAAAACTTTTTTTTTCTTTGTTAGCCTTTAATTTGGCAGAAGAGAGAGAAAGAAATTTGACCACTTTTCAATATGTTTATCTGTGGAAAGGTGAGTTATCTCAGAGGACTGACCATAAAAGCTTATGATGAAGCGGAACAGGCGGCTAAGTAATCTATAAATACCAGTTTTTAAACTGGAACTATCTTTCTGACTTTTGCACCATCCAAAATGAAATGCTGGTCTGGAGTCTTTTCTACCACAGAGGAGTGTTACCTGGAGTAATTCTACTTTTGGCAGCTTCATGACACAGGGGTAATTCCCTGTATTGAAGAAAGAATATAGAGTTATGCTTTTTAATATCTGTGAAAGATGGTATCATGGAGACACTTGCCTTTGTATCAGTCTCTAGGTACTATAACGGTTTGGCATTATGTAAATAACTAGATGTGTTACCTTGCTTTTAGCAAGGTTACAGTTTGAATGTCACAATTCATTTAGCAGAATGAGTAGTGCTACTGCTCTAGAAATATACACACAGCTTCTAGAGCCCTGGTGCTGAATGCACGCTAATTATAGATATGACATTTGCTTTAATCATCCAGAGTGCTTTGGGTTTGCCTAGAGTCGCATGTAGGTGTTGTTACTCATGTTTGATTCATCAATTGGTGGAACTTATTCCTAAGGAGTTTTCATGATTGATGCACTTCTACTCTGAAGTGTTTGCTAACAATAAAGAATGAAAATGAGATTATCTCGTGGAAGAAAGGCAAACAGAGTAAATGTTAACTTCAGTTCCTATTGCATTCTAGGCTCGGATATGCTCACCAGGATTAAAACTTCTGCATGTGATGCTGCTGCTTTTGAGATGGAGAATGACCTAATATTACCAGGTATTATAGTGAGGACAGAGAAAGCAGCAAAAGATGGCATAGTGATGTGCAGAATTTAACTAGAGGATCTCATTTATTGTCATATATGTATCATACTAATTCAGCTATGGTCATGCTCAAATGTTTTCTTTTATGTGGGAAATAGTATACAAGTTATGAGAAATTTTCAAATAAACCCAGAGGTCAAATTTTTAGCTGGGGTACACGGGCATATTGACAGCTATGGACAACATGACTGTACATACAATGCTTAAAACAAACTATGGACAAATAGTTATCATAGGCTTTTTTTTTTCTTTTTTTCCTTTTTTTTTCATTAATATTGCCTGTGAGAGGTCTATAGATTCTGTAGCTCCTTGGTTATTCCAGTGTCTGCTCTTGGTTACACTAATGTGTATCTCAAGCCATTTGTATTAAATTAGTAGAGCTGCTTTGGATCTTCAGCATCATAATCACAAGAGAAAGTGCAGTGGAGCTTAATGAGAGTGTTTGGTTGATCTCTAGTGAATTGCAATCTTTGCTGAGAAGCCTGTATGGATACCTGAGCATATGACTTATATACATATAAAATGCCAAGACAAAGCAAATTGCTGATTTTGCTTATGCAGTTTGAATAGAAGGTAAAATTCCTATTTACCTAGTGGTGCTCCCATGCAATTAGTGGCATTTTAAAGTCTAGACTTAAAAATTAGAAATAACTGCACTTAACATACTGAGTGAAATTATCTTGCTGAGACATGAGTGCAGGCCCCGAGGGTTCTCCACTTGCCTTGCTGCAGCCATCATATCATTAAAGCCTGGTTATGTAAGGAATGCGGCTTCTTCCTCTGTGCTTGAGGTGTTGGACACGACAAACGTTTTAAAAAGAAACTGAAGGCTTGAATTTAAGTCTTGAGAGATAATGACACTTGTAAGTCACCTATTTAAAAAGGAGATAAAATATCTACAGAACTTTTATTATTTAATGATCATGTTTAGAGCACACGGCAATATGTTTTGATTATTTTATGACATAAAATGCAAAGCCACTGTGCATTTCCAGCATGTCAGCAGATGCTTCAGCATTTCACCTGCAGCTGTGTTCGCCTTGCTTCTCCATTTATTCATTTTTGTTTTGCTACTACAGTACATGTAGTGTTAAATAACAGGAAATCACCCCTTTGGTGATGAGAAGTGCTGATGGCATGTGGTGAATAAGAGGGTGTTTTTGAAGAAACTGGCAAAATACCAGTGAAGTGCATCCATTTCTCTGAATATTTTGGGTGAGCCCTTATTTGAGAGGTTGATATAAAAAGAGCCTGAAGTAGTTAATATCAGTTCAGGTCAGATATAACTGTATACACATCTAAAAATCAGAGGTGGGAGAGGGAAAGGAATTATTTAATATGATCTGTGGGAACATAGATAGGAGAAAGGAGGTTAAGTGACTGTGGGAAATATTAAACCTGTTAAGGAAATGTTAAGCACTGTGAGATGGAAAAACTTCCCAAGAGAACAAAAGGAAATTCCTGTATTTAGGATTAATAAAACTAGGCTGGTTCAACCTAACTGTTGTACACTAACCTTACAAAATGATTGCAGCTGTTAGTGTGAAATGAAGAGTCTTATATGAATAACTTTAATTCCAGCTTTTAATTTAAGTTTTCGCGGATCTGAGGGTTTTTGTTTGTTTGTTTGTTTTTGTTGAATCTTTAGATTCCACAAAAGATCTTTTCTACCTAATGGACAACACCCAGATTCGAAGTGACCAAAACTCTTCTCTCCCTTACCAGCAGTATTGGGTCTTCAGGCAGAAATATTCAGTGGAGAAGGCTATGCTTTGGTGTCTCACACGTAAGGAAACCTGGAAACAGTTAATCTGCAGGATAGCAAGGAAAGACTAATTAACTCATTCAGAGAAACTTTGGACTAAACAATTTTTTCATGGGCGAAACACAAAATTTTCATTGAAGCTGGATGTTATAATCTCTAGCTATAGTGCAGTTGCCCATGTGGCCTCCACCTCTTCTTCACACTCTTTTTCTAGTATGGCACAAAATATACCCATCATCTTCGCTAGCATAACCCTGTCATTGGTATGAGTAGTAGGAGATACAGCTTAGACAATAAGAGGCTGTTCTTGCAATGCAGCCACCTCCCTTCTCCCTCTGTCCCAGGCAGAACCGAAGATACTACTCAGGGTATGTACATCACTGTAAGAAATCAGTAGATCTATGCTTCTTTAAAATGAATCATTGACATATGTGTTTACAGAATGAGGTCCTAAAGTCATTGCTATAGTAATTAAGAAGCAAGGGTGGTTGGTTTGTTTCTTTTCTTAAAAACATGTGACCAGAATGGCTTGAAATGAAAGTTGCTCTTTGACAATTCTCAATGCAAATTGCTATAAACAAAAGGCTTTTACAGTTGATTCTGGAAATGTTATATGAATATATTAGTATGAAATATGAACATGAACATTGCAAAAGTAAGTTTTGCAAAAACTTTGTTAGACATTATGGAAAATCTTTATTGTCTTTTTTATTCTTTTATTCATCACCACAAATGACACAGTTCTTTTATGATTATAGAGTTTGTATTTTAAATTTACAAAAAGATAAGCATGATGCAAGTTTGTGTAATTGTGATTATACAAAAGGTGATGTAAGTTTGCTCAGTGGCCATGTCTGTTCATAAAGTTTCCACCCCATTCCTGAAATATATTCTTCCCCGTTGTGCTAGTATACAAGACCTTCTTATGAACTGGAGTAGTGAACTGACATTGACATGGAGGCAGTTGTTTTTTCTATGGATGCTATTATTTAATCATTGATTTTAGTAGTGATCAGTCCATTTTAAAGCATTATCAGCTGTACTAGTAAAAGGCACCCTACATTCTAGTATGAAGAGTAGCCAGAGGCAGATGGGAGAGTAATAAACTAATGCTGTCACCAAAACATCTCTTATGGACCACAGAGTGACACCAATACCCAGGCCTTAAACTTGTCACAGCTGGAGAAAATACCCTTCCTAATAGCTGTGTTGCTGTTCCTATTCTCAAGTAAATCTTTTTTCTTAGTATAACTAGAAGCAGTATTCATCCTCATTTCTCTTTCTTTGCAATAGAAATATACTAATGAATTTTGTCACTTACAGTACTGGCTGATAGCATCACTGTAGTAAAGACATGCAGAGGGATAGAGAGGGAAGAAGCATAGCTGTGTTTCTATTTCACTGTGCCTTTTCCTTCTAGGTTGTGTGCAAGAAGAGTTTTGTCAAATAGCAGATCTTCAAAATGCCACAGACACATACTTTGTGTGTACCCTCTACCCAGAGGCTCAGATTTGTGATGGTAACATTGATCAAATACCTAAAAACTGTCTCACCATACTACCCTGGCAACCACAAATGGCGTATCGTAAAATAGGCAAGTTCTGGGATTTTGATGTATCATACATGCTCTATCCTTGGCAATGGCAGATAATGTTCTGGCTTTTGAGAGAGAAAATCTGAATATAAGGATGAGTTGCAGGAAGTGATGGTTTAAGGGAGGACCAGGTTTTTCTATATAAGTGTTTTTTTTTTTTTCATTTTTGCTGTAGGTTAATGCTAGTGCCAGAAAGCATTTAGCATTTTTTCAGGTGTCCAAAGTGCTAGTGATCTAACTTCAGCTCAGAATGGATGGATATTAACCACAAACTCTTCTGCTCATCATTATTCTCAATTTAGGGAGGCCAAGGGTAGATTAACACTGGAACAGGCTGCCCTGAAGGGTTGTGGAGTCTCCTTCTCTGGAGATCTTCAAAAGCCTCCTGGACCCTTTGCCACGTGCTCTGCATGTCCCTGCTGGAGCAGGGGTTGGACTAGATGATCTCTAGAGGTCCAACCTCAACCATTCTGTGATTCTGTGATTAAATAATCTGTGTACTAGAAGATCTCAAGTGTGGGTTTTTTGTTTTGTTTTTGTGGTTTTTTTTTTTACATAATTTGGTTAATACGTAAATTTCCAATGTCCAGGAATTTGTCATCTTCAGGCTTACCCATTAAATGTTTACTCTGACAATGTAATACCTGGTAATATATTGAGACCATTACAACATAGAAACATAACTTTTCCCCTACAATGTGATTACTTGACCACTATATGAAAATTAGAAGGAAAAGTTTTTTTTTTTTTTAATTCTTTCTTTTTCCTCCCAGTCACTCTAAAAAGTTCTGTGAAGAGTTTCTACACACGCGTACCATTCCAGAAAGTAACAGGGATCTCAGTGAGGAATGAGACTGACATGAGCGGCAAAGCTGTTTCTGATGGGTAGGACATGATTACTCCTTTGTCTTTCGTGGAGTTTTTGCAATGCTTGCAGTGCCAAGGCTGTGATATTCATATTAAGAGAATCTGACATATTGATCCAAGAACAGCATTATGTTAGAATATTTGACATAGATAAAATACCATATTATTTTAAGGAAATTTATAATTCGAATGTATATGTCATCTCATATCATATCATCTCATGTCATATTTGCATGAATTACCTGATACTTTTGCTACAAAATTGCTTACTGGCCAATTAGGTCTCAGCAATAACATACTAACTTATGCTGATATTTTAGTGGCAGGTATCAAAATACTTTTCTAAATTATTTGATGTAGTCTTGCAAATATATATGGTTTGAATGGAAACTCATCTACAAATGCGAAAGGTTTTGAACTCCTGTCTGTACAATAAAAAGAACCATAATGGTCTCTTAAATCTAAAAGACGTCTCTACATGTTCTCATTTGCTCTCCCCCTTGCACAACATCCCTTCTTCTCTTTTCTAGATTAGTGATAGCCTTTAGTGATACTAAAACTAATGATTATTTTTTTCCTTCCACAGCTTTTTTGAGTGTGAGCGTTGGTGTGATGCTGACCCTTGTTGCACAGGGTTTGGGTTTTTTAATGACACCCAGCTGTCAGGTATTTTTTACTGTTATTTTATTTCCATTTGAAAACATTTTGGTACTCCTTCCAAGTTTTCCTTCTCCAAATTTTACCATACTTTTTCTGTGAAGAGAGGATTAAAAAACACTTTAGAGACACTCTCTAGAGGCTCTAAAAAAAGAACTCTCGAAAGCAGTTGCTTCTCATTTATCACCCCATTTTCTAAAATGTTGGCTGACTATTTTTTTTTTAGGCCCAATAGAATTGAAACACAAATATTCAAATACTGCTGAAATTAAATGAAGGGCAAGCACTTAATATCCTTGATTGCCTTGGGGATAGCTCAAGTTTTTAGCTCTCTCATATATCTGAACTTCATTGCTCACAGATTTTAATTTTTCCACTTGGAAGATATTGGAAGCATTGCAGAGGGATGGAGGTTGTCTATCTCTTCTCCTTCTATTAAGACACAAATTAAAAGACACCCTGTAGTATTTCTGCTCTTCCCCCCCGCCACCCCTCGGCTCACAGTAAAAAAGATTTCTAAAAGAAGCCATTAGAAAACCAAATAAAACCACATTTTACTTTCTGGAGAAGGCATCACATCACATTACCTGAATCGAACAGAAGTAAATGAAAGGTTTTGAATTCAATTTCATATTTAGGCCTCGGAAAGGATTACAGTGGCTTTCAAAAGTGTCAAGTGCTCATATATTTTTCCTGATGTCCTTTGGGAGAGGTGACTTTTATGATAGAGTTAAGTCAAATTTCTTGTATTTAGTTAAGCCTTTCCCTTTTTATTAAGCAGTCAAAATTTGCACTGGTATCAATGAAAATTGCTCAGTATCATGTAAAATTTGTCCAATATGTTTCTGATTGGAATTATTTTTGGAAAAATACCCCTATATAATGTGAATTTGAAGTCTTAACTGAATATACTTTATTTCTGTATGTATTTAAAGATTTTTAAATTATATCAAGGATTTAAAATGATCTATTCTGATAAATAACACTTTGATGTTATCTGATTAAATATTTATTTTTAACATTTTGAAACATCTAATCATGGCACTGATATAGTCAAGAGGACTTTCATTAGTGATTTTAATATGAGCTAAAATAAATATTTAATAAAGATACTGCATTTAAAACATTAATTTTTAAGGTATAGAGAATTATATACCATACTACCTCTTTAAAAGGCAGAATTTTTTTCTTGATCTAATCTGAGGCTGTGCTTCGATATACTTGCATTTATCAAAAAAGGATGGTTTGTGTAAAAAACGGTCCTGATGTGGGACCAGGAGGTTGCAAATTTTTGCTCAGTGGAAATACTTCCAGTGACCTTAAAGGGTTGTAATGTCAAATTCTGCACCATTCCCACTTAAACTCATGTGATCTTCAACTCTATTTTCAAGAACAGTAAAAATGTGCCCTGAAAAATAAAAGATCTTTTCTAGTTATTATTCTGAATAAAAAGAATATAGCATGGTATGATTGAATATTCAAAGAAAATTCCGCTGACTTAGAAATCAGAGGGGGAAAAATACATAAAAGTTATCTGTCTATATCTCCATCCTTTCTATAACCATGTTTTGCCCTGGCAGGGGGCAGGGTTGTGTGTGTGACCCTGAACAGCCTAGGAATCCAGACGTGCGCCGAGGCCACAAGAAGCGCTTGGCAAGTCTCGGACTGTGCTGGGCCAGATGCAGCAGTGCGAATCCATCCATTTGGCTGGTACCAAAAACCTGGTAAGTAATACAGGAGACATGGCATTTTTGACTGGCTTCCACACATAGTTATGCAGTTTCAGTGTATTAAAAACTTCAGCTTTCAGATGGTGGAGCTGTTTTGTAAGGATTTTCAATCAGCACAGGAAGAAAAAAAGCCTTACATCAGATATTTCAAATGAAATAGAAAAGGCAAATGACTATGAGAAGATGCATTTCAGAGCAGATGTTCATCTATTTGCTAAGGCAACTGATATTCTGAGGGGGGCTGCAGACATTAAGTACAATTCTGGATCATTGCCCTTTTCTGTGATTCTTTGGCTCCAGATTTCCTATTTGACCCGCTTTCTCTACAAGAGAATAGTTTATTTAGGTTCTTTGGGACCTGCTTGTTGGCAGGGGGAGCTGAAAGGTAGCAAATGTGTAAGAGGGAAGAGTGTCAGAAAGGGATTTCCTTCCATTCCTTGGAATCATTTTTCCTCTCTTTGGCAAAGAAACAGCTAAAAATAAAGGACATTGCTGACCTCATGGACCGAGAGATGACAAAGCTGAGCCTGCAGTGCATGCAAAAGAGGGAGTCTGAGGAGAGACTTGGTGATGTTTCCTTGTCTAGTAAGAAAGCTTCAGATGTGTTTCCATCATAGCATGCAGCAAGCACAGATGTTTATGCAAATAAAGATATTTGTAGACAAAAAATTTGTATTAGTTGTGCTGGTCTGTAATGGTTCTGGGAACGAGGAAGAGGAACAATGAAAGTTCTGAGCCTGAAAGGAAAAATGAGTGAAATCTGAAGAAGGAATTTACTATAGCGGGTGGGAGGTTTGCATGAAGCAGGGCCTTTGGTTTTAGTCGACAGGCATTTGTTGTAGAAGGGGACTTGTGTAGTTAGACAGCTCACAAGACAACTTAATGTACTGCAAAATGCAGAGAGACAGCTTTGCTCGCTAACAATTTGACTCGGTATTGAAGGGCTGCAATTCAGCCAGTGAAGATCGTATAATAATATTTTTAAAAGAGTTTTGAATTGCCCTAATGTTTCACTGTTAATGTAAACAGTTAATGTCTCTAAATACTTTCATGTGTGAAAATACGGATATCCTTTTTTTCTTTTTAATTTACTTTGAGAAGTTCCCACTGGAAACTATCTTGTTTTTAATTCTCCAATTGAGAAATTCCAGCTTCCTTATTAGGAAGCAGAGTTAGTCTTATGTCTGATGTCATGATGTAGGAAACCAAATTTAGGCTTGGGCATGGTGGTGGAGAACCCCAAAAAAAAAAAAAAAAAAAAAACCTTACTGAAATGAGCTGTTCATAATAAAAGAAACAAACAGAAAACTTACATGTTGAAAGGTTCTTGCTCGTAAGGATGTTATAAATGCATAACTGCAGAGATGCATAGATTGGAGTGCTAGTGAACCAGTGAAAAAGAGCTAGATATTACAGCAACCTCAGATTTTTATTCATTCACTTTTTTTGGAAGAATTGCAACTTTCGGATTTCAGAAGTGATGTGGTAGTGCTGAAATGTAGATTAGATTTTAAACCTACAAGCATAACTGTTTTCAAATGTTTTATGTTCTTTTCTACTTTTAGCTGACTTGAAGAATACTGTGATTGATCTCTGTCCACCTGTTACTTTGCCTTTCAGGCTGGAAAGTGGTAAGTAAGTGTATTTGTGTATTAGGTTGAAGAAAGGGAGATAACCTCTGTTTTGTGTATTGCTAACAGATCTCTCTATAAAGAAATGGTTATGTCATCCCACATTTATTCATTCAGTCTTAACGTGTTCTTTTCACTAGTTGTATATCATTTAATCTAATCAATTTGCCATAACACCAGCCTAATCTCTCAAACTCACTGCACAAGAGATTACCAAGGTTGCATATTTTGTTATACTGATGGAGAAATTTATCGTTTTTAACTGTAGATGTCACACGTTATGACTTAAAATAGATATAGCTCTTTAGATCTAAATGCAATGGCCAGTGATGGAAAGATCAGTCAACGGGAACGTGCCCAATAACAAGTTTTCACATTATTGTCCACGGTGAGGTATCTAACACCTTCCCTTTAGCATCTGGTGCTCATCGGGGCAGGATGTTGGACTAGGCAATTCATCAGCAACGTCTGTCGGTATATGCTGCAGATTTTCTGTTGAATGCAAACAATTGCAATAGAAACGCAAAGTCAAATTTAGTAAATCTATTCTCCACATTAAAAAGTTCGTTTAAAAAAGGCAGATGATAGAAAACAAAGTTTCTTTAGAAATTAACGAAGCTTTATACTATAACTAGTATAAACAGTGTAGAAAAAATATGAATATTATCACTTTTACTGCTTGTTAGTGGTTTCCAGTTTGTTCAGAGCTGAGTCACAAGAAGCATCGTATTTGAAATGTGTTGAGTGGCACTTTTGAAGAGCTATTGTTGCTTACTATCACATTATATATTTTTATTGGGAAGAAAATTTATTTCAGTATTGCAGTAAATGACAGTAAATTACAAAACTCGTATGCGTTATTTTAAAAGTGAGTGGATCCTCTTAACACATGAAACTTAACTGCTGTTTTTCAGGGCTTTGTGTTTATTGCCCCCTAAAAATATATGCAAATTCTCTACAGCTACAAGCCTCCATTATGTGTCTTTTTCATAAGTACGTAGCATGTCTGGTAAACGCTGCGTGGGGTCACCTTTAAGCAGGTCGACTAGTCATTATAAAACTGGATCTGTGAAAGCAGCACTGATAATGGGGTCACCTTCGGGTTGGAATTCTAAAATTGAACATTCTCATCCATCTCTCTATTATCTGATATATCAAGAGCTATTCTTTTAACACACTTCTATCTTCTTCCATAAAAGAGAAGAGCCTTAGCTTACAGAAAGTAGTTAATATTTGTAAAGCATTTTCAGCGTTGAGTCTAAGATTTGCTGTTAACTAGATTATCTTCTTATCTACGGTCACCAGGAAAGATTTGTAGACAAACAGAGAATTTGTATTTATTAAACCAAACCATTTGTATTTATTAGTAGAATTTGTCATTTATAATAATCACCTTAATATAATAGAAGGAAACTCCCTATCCTTATAAAGTGAGCAGGATGTGTGTGTTTTGCTGGCCTTTTTTTTGATCTGTTTTTTTATTTGCATTTTTGAAATGCCTAAGAGAGCTCATGGACTGGCATGCAGTCAGTTGTGTTTAGGCAATTCTATTCTATTGCAAATTATTTTTCCCATGGAACATAGAAAACTGCTTTATTTTAAGCTTTCTTCCTTCCTATGTGAAGGTTAGTACTAATTTTGTCAACTTCCGCTTGTTTGTCTCCTTTCTTAAATGTAGAAAAACAGTGATCTAAGTGACACAGATTTTTATATGTCATATGCCTTTTACTCTGAAGTCTGTCCAGAAGCCAAAATGAGTGAGGTACCTATCTTAGCCTTAGTAACAGTATTTCATCAGTCGCATCCACTTCCAGGTCATCTTTCCAAATGCAGAGCAGCCTTGCAAGGAACTGGTTAACCCTTCAGGGACAAGGAGGCAGAATTCTGGGTTAGAGCAGTTCTGAGAAAGATAGACTGGAGAAGTCATTGAATTATGAAAGTTTTTGAAAAACATTGCTTCCAAACTCTTTATGATCGCATATATCATATATGCTATAGAATATTTTTTTTGCACTGAGCCTCATCAGAGAAAAGTTAGCAGCAATTGAAGCTGCTGCATATTGTTTGTGCAAAGGAAAAAACATGTAACTCCTGTGGCAACCAGGTGGTGAACATAGAAAATGTCACTATTTAAAAGGCACATGTGTGTGTAAATAATATATATATATATATGCGTGTGTGCATGCACCTTTGTGTATGCATAGATAGAACTTTCCATCAGAAGATGAAAGAAACTTAAATTTGAATATTTTACCAGAAAGCCTGGTGAAATACTGAATTTGATGTTTTATCCACTCTAGAGTCTAGGTTTACTGCAACACAATTAAGGCCTTATTTTAATAAACAGCTACATTTGACAGCTTCATTTTCCAGTTATCCACTCAAAATGCTCAGGGCAGAGTGCTCAGCTCTGTGCTTCATCCTTTCAGAGCTGGGGTACAGAGCATTGCTTCAGTTCAGGTCTGTGGCATTTCCAACCCCCTGACAAATTGTGAAGAAAACCTAATCAGGATACTCTTCTAAAAGCATAGATCTTCTTCGCTGGTCCAAGTTTGTAGAACAAATCAGTGACTGAGAAGGAAAGTAACCGTTCTTACTTACTTACATACATTCTTCCTGTGAAGTAAATGCTTCTCTTGTTTTACACGGTATCTTCTTGAGAAGGAGAGAGTAAAAGCATGTAGGACATGTAGGACTAGAGAACCTCCACAAGAAGGATTTCTGATGGTCTTTCAGCAACAAAAGGAAGACTAGGAAAGATGCGGGGCCTTCTGTGATGCCAGAAGACATGCAGAAGGCTTCATTCTTTACTGGCAAGACCAACACTCAAGAATCTCAGCTCTCTAAGACCAGAGGAAAAGTCCAGAGCAAGGAAGACTATCCTTGGAGGAGGAAGATCAGGTTGGAGAACATTTAAAGAAACTGGACATACAAGTCCGTAGTCCCTGCCTGGTAGGATCCACCACCACTGGCGAGTTATTGAAAAGTTATGGTGATTGGGTGAGGTCTCTGAGGAGTGGAAAAAGGCTTATGTAGCTCATACTTTCAAGAAGGAGGATCCAGGGAACTTATAGTCTGTCATCCTCACCTCATTCCCAGGGAAGGCGATGGAGCAATTCCTTTCCTTAACTGTCCAAAGTCAGAAAGAGACTGGTAGAATTATCTAATTTATTCTAGTATGTGGCTGAAAACAGAAGTCCTCAGAGCTGAGGGCTTGCAAGGTGCCTTCCACCCCGCTTCATCCCATTGTGTGCAAGGGGAAATCCATCGCTGTTGCTATACTTTCAAAAGGTGAGAGTCGAGACCAAGTTTTTCAGTTCTGAGCACTCGAATTATTTCTTCCTGAAGCTCCTCCTACATAAGCTAAGCAAAAAATGTATTTGGTTTCCTTCAGTTGCCTGCTCTGAAGGCAACTGCCCTAGTTGCCTGGGGTCCCCAGTTGCTGGCATGACAAGCAGCCCTGTGCAATGATTTAATCGCTCATTAGCTGCTCTGTTAGCCTGCAAAAGCGGAATTAGGTGCTCTGTAATGGCAGCAGGTCACGAGGGCGAAGAGTTTTTTATGCCTTTTGGCCAAATTCTTTTTGTTTTGTTATTGCTTAATCTTGCTAGTGCATTTAATTAAATATGATTTTCAGGCTTTTTTTTCCCCATATTTCTATCATAAGGAGCAGTGCATGCTCCTATTTTTTTCTGTGATGACTTCCCCATAGATTCTGTTAGCTGGAAAAACAAGCATGAAAAATAGATACATCAAACATATTGGGAAAGTCCTACTTGTAACATCTGGAGAATTTTTTCCCCTGAAGGAGTTACCATGCTGTGGTAGTGATGAGTGTGGAACCATCTGTTGCAAGTTTCAGGTACGCCTCATGATGCTTAAAGATGGGAGCACAGCTGTTATTTAAAGACTTCCCATGTTAAGAATGCTAAACATAGCCGTGCTGTAGTTTGATTTATTTAGGCTGATGTGTAAATGATGAATCCACTAGGTTCCAAGAATAAAGTTGAACGTTAATGCAAAAAGGGATTGATTGTGGTACTGATCTGGAGTCTGAAATACAGTGTGTAGGACTTCTGCTATGGAACCTCTTCTTGGTCTTAATTCTACTTTTTATCCTATGTGTCAAGAGGAGGATTTTACCTTATTAAAAACAACAACAAAAATCTGCTTATTTTAAACCTGGATAAACATCTGGTCCATTTGTATTATTATTCTATACGATTTACTATAATTAGCGGGACTAAAGGAGACAGGAAGTTTGCATTTCACATCAGCACAGTAAGGTTACTTGGTGCTAAAGGCCATAAATGACATGTTTGATACTTTGAAGCATGTTTGTCCCGGAGGTGTGATTACAGTTATTATGTGGTAGGCTTAAGAAAATGTCTCATTTTGGATTATTCAAATCTCAGTGGACTGACAAAAATGGAAAGAAACTATAATTCAGAAAGGATATATTTTCTGCAGATCTAGTCTGAATTGATGGTATTTTTTTTTGTTCTGTTTCTTATTTTTTGAGATTTTTTTTGAACTCTGAGAATATAAAACATGGTGTATAAGTTCAGCTCAGGAGCATGTTTTTTGCTTGGCTTAGGAATAGTAAATATAGCTCTCAAACTTTAGGAGTAAAATAAAAATTTGTCTGTCAAACACAAATTAGGCATGCTCAATCCAGGGATGTGATTCATATACCTATGAAACCACTTCATGAATTTTCTTCTAAACTGAACTCAAGCGCTGACTTTATTGCACTACTGTATCTCTATCTCCTTATACCAATGGCATATATTCCAGTCAGCTGACCTCTATCTGCTTCTGCTAAAATCAACAATGAAACTTTTGCTGACCTTATGAAAGGGATTTTATTACATAACTGCCTGTAATATTGGGAGGCTGGACTCTGCGACCCCAGGAAATCTCTTCTAGTCTTGTGATCCTGTGACCTGAGTGAGAGCAGCGAGAGGCCAGTGGGAGCCCTTTTACAAATCCAGTCCCAAACCTTGCCTACCCAAACAAGAACATCTGGAAGAGAGAAACTCTCTGTATGGGACATCTATAATTTTGCAATAAAAGTTGCAGGGCTGGTTGGATTCAGAGTACTATAATTATCCAATAAAAGCAGTTGCCAGAATATGGTTTGGAAGGGCAGAGTCTAACCTATATATAAACCAGAAGTGTCTTCCAGCCCATCAGGTGCACAGTCTATTTCAGAAAGGCAGCACCAGTCTAAAACCATGTGTCCTGTAAGAGCAGTTTCTAGAAGAGGCAAATTTAGATCAGACATGGAAAAATTCCATTTTGTCCCTATGATGAAGTGGATGTGTATGACCTGTGGACTGCATCTACTGCTGAGTGGGAGAAGAGGAGGGAGGAAACAATTGAGTGGGAAAAATCTCTTCTTTCATCTAGCTGCTAGCTGGCATTGCCCAAGGTGGTGATGGCTCTGATGAAAGGGACCAGGTCTGTCATCAAAATGACCTTCAGTGTTTCTGCGTTTACCTTATCTAGGACCACTTGGTCAGAAGATGGGAAAGGGATAACACTGCAAGTCATCAGAACAAAATTAATATCTTTTAACATAGAAGTTGTAAACAAGTAGCTTGTGTACAAACATAGAACAAGCTGCCTGTGCCTAATAACGAAAGTGTGTCTGAGCATCTTCAAAGCGTTTTAATAATGGTTAACCTCAGGGAAATAGAGGAGAGCAAATTCTTCTAAGGAACTTGTTTTGCTTTTGTGGAATTATTTTGAATTCTTTTCCTGACAAAGTAGAATTTAGCTTAGCAAGAATGCTTATGAATGTGTGACACATGGTGGAACTGAGAGATATGAAAATTATATGATTTACCCAAGGTCATTTGGTGAGTCAGGGGAGCTATGGGAATAGACTCAGTCCAGGAAAAATATCTTCCCAAACCACGGATGCACCCGGGTTTGTTGACTTGCAATGAAATCCAGACAAAGCTCTTTTTAAAAAAATATAACTAGTAATTTGAAACTTTGTGTCTGAACCCAGACAGATTACTTATTCCAGTAGTAGAGCACCTCAGTTATGCTGGACACAGTGCAAGATGTCAATATTGTTCTTATGTAAATACATAGACTAAAGCATGTTGTTAAAATTCTTTTCTTGCTCATATATTTTGCCAAAATAGAATATTTAAGTAGGAATTGAAAATCTAAACTACAAGATATAATCTGCAAGAGTAAAATATGGGGATCTGATAGAGCAGATAATTTCTGAGGAAAACACAATGGTTAATTCTCCATTAATTAGGGACTTGCTTTCATGTTGAAGCATATTTCTAAATAAATGTCGTAAGTTGTCAGGTTAGATGTAGAAATTATGTAGCAAAGGTCATGCAACAAATCAGATTAGATAGATTTTAAAATAGTGAAATCATTGGCATCATGGAACATAGGAATTTTCGCATGACTTGGAACACAGTGTTCCTCCAAAATAAATGAATATTCAGTGTCAAAGGGGTAGACAAAAATAAATTACAGTAGATCTGCTGCATAAATAAAACACTCAGTGCAGGATCTCTGCAGCTTTACTAGTTCAGAGTCCCTGCATGTAGTGGTGATGATGACTTTGATACTTCATGATGTAAGCTCTTAATATCTTAACATGTAAAAGTACAGTACATGTTTAACATTTGTTTCTGTACAGCTGGAGACTTTCAAACTCTATCTTTGGAAAAAAAAAAAAACACTGTTTACAACAGGAGTAATATGATTGCAAAGTGTATTGAAAAGAACCAGTGAAATCCAGTGCTGCTTTTCATCTGTGTCAGGACTGGGCTGCTTAGGTAGGTGTATGGCCTACAGCAGATCAGTTCCTCACTCCATGGGTGTTATCTTCTGCATTGCTCAGAGAGTTATCTTCTGCAAGGGTGAGAGCAAAGAAGCTGCCCAAGTTTCGGACTTGGGCTGAAGTAACCACCATGCACTGGTGGCAGCTCTTCGGTTCTTTGTGGCTTGCTCTGTGGATTATCACCTAGAGGTGCTTGGTCTTTGCCATTCCCTTCCTAGCTGCCCAAGGAATAGTATAGCCACACTTAGCCTGCGTTCTGCTTTGTGTCTTGGGTCTCATCAACTGGAAAAGTGTGTCAGCAGCAGGATGTCCAGATCACTGGGAGGACATGCCACAATCCTGACTCCAAACCCCAGAGCTCAGCTTAAGACTTAGCATTATGGTTTGGTCACAGCCTTCTTCCCGTGAGGAGGGAGAGGAGGGAATCTTTGGCTGTCAGCACATCATCTGGTTCTCACAAGACTAAAACAAATCCTTAATGAAATGGACAGTCATAACTTCTACATCTGCTTGGCAAATGAACTGAAATAACAGGCAAGATCTGTTCACCAGGAACAGTAAGCCAATGGGTGACACAGCTCTGTCCTCACTCGACAATTACACAGCAAGGGCAATACCAGCCTTCTATGTAGGATTCGGCAGGCTGCATCAGGGCCCTTTTAAAAGAGAGAAATTTAAATAATTGAAGTTCTCTAGCAATTTTGTTTTCTTTTTTTTTTTTTTAACTTTTCTAACTTGAGAGACCTCAGATCTTTTTATCAGTTGGTGTGTGAGAAAGGAGAAAAGAATGTGGCATTTATTTACATGCACTGTAGGACAGAAGAATAAATTTTGTTGAATACTAGAGTCAATACACTTGATATATATATATATATATGCATGTGTATGTACACATGTATATGTTTATATGTATGCATGCACACGTCTATGTACATTTATGCATTTGTATAAATCTGGAAGATAAACTCTTAACTATGTAGCTTCTTCTTGACCTTATTGTGATTCATTGAATCAGAGGCCTTTGAATATTAAATTTCATTTATCCTTAGTTGACACAAAGGAAGGTCAAAGTCTCTTACTGAGGAACTCGCCAATGCTTTTCCTTCTGCATTCATTTTTTTTTCTAAAGTTTTTAATGATTTAGTTTATCTCTGTATGCTTCTTTTACAGAGTATTTGGATATATGGCAACCCTTAGATGTGTCCTCTGTACTCCTGGATTCATCCATCTCAAACTTTGAAGCTGTGCAAGTTAGTAGGGATTTATCCAATGGCTTTTCCACTGCTAGAGACTTCTGTCTATCTGGTAAGAGAAGTTTTCCTACAACTTTGTAGAACTTATTGACACATGAGAATGAAGTACCAAGAGCAGATCCTTCCTGCTCTCAACTCACCCTCTAACTTACATATACTTATTTTTAAAAATAACTTCATCACAGTATTTCAGAATTTGAGAGAAAGTATCTGAATTCCTTTATCTTATGAAGGATCCAAGAAAAACATGAGGTTCTGTTCAAAGGTTGGGTAATTTTAACAGCCCTTGGACTCAGAACTTCTTGATTCTCCAGGCATCGGGCAAATTGGCAAATACCGTAACAAATATTTAAAGGGCTGATTGGATTATTAGTCTGACTAGACTACAAAATGTTTCTTCATTAACTTCATATAAACATCAAGTCCTCAAATTCCTAGAAGGGCAGTAATAGGCAAAAGTCATGTCATTGTTGCCATCTTCTTCAGAAGATGGTCCCCGGAAAAGTCCTGCTTTTTGCAGAAGATTGACACACATGCACACACCTTTTCCTAGGACTGTTTGAGGGACATTTTTAAAAGCAGAAATGTTTAATGTCAGTCTCCCAGTGCAAAGTGGAATGAGATGTTCCCTTTTTTTCTGGTGGCTCTTTGAATTCAGTTGAGGTCTACAGTACTTCATCAAAATACATTTTTCTTCTGAAAGCTATGATAACAGTTCTATATCTATCTCTCTCAATTCCAAAGGCAATATGCCCTTTTGTCCTTTGGTTCTTTCAAAGAAACCTCTGGAAGTTTGAGGACATTTATGTATAAATTTCTTAATGTTTTGCCTCACAGCTTGTTCAAAGAACCAGTCATGTGAAGTGGTTACCTTGGAAATTCAGCCATCAGCAATAAGATGCCTTTTTTACCCTGATACACAGATATGCACACATAGCCTGCAAGGCCACAGCTGTCGGATTTTACTCAAAGAACCAGCTACATATGTATACAGGAAACAAGGTAAGAGCAGGTTAAGGGGATTGTGGAAGAAGAAACTCAAATGTCAAATGCCTGTGCATCATTCTCATGAATGGGATCCAGCAGACATAAACCAATGCAGATGCCATCTCAGTGGAGATATACTTTTTATCAAAAGGCACTAAATCATTATATTATCATCTTGCATTGAAGCAGGATCATGCAGGAAGTTTGGTCTGCAAAAGGCAGCTCCTTTCTGTCCATCTCCAGTAGTTCTGTTTCTGTATGTCCTTCCCTTTCAAGTCCGTGACTAACACAGTGAATTGACAGTGAAAACCCACTGTCAATTTTGTCTCAAGGGTATGTCTCAAGGACGATATGTAAAGCCTCTGAAATCAAAAAATATATATATATTTAAAGTTCAAGAGGATTTAAGGCAGAAATAGGAGTTTCGTAGATAGTTTTTTAGATTTGTTTATCTATTTAACTATTCACTTAATTGGAATTTTAAGTATGTGGGTTTTTTTCCTTATTTTTTAAAAATGCTGCACTTGTGGTTTTACACTGATGGCTTGTTTACTAAAGTTCCTTAAAATAATTAGAAACTAGATAGCAATATTGAAGGGAAAAATATTTCCTATTATGGTCAATATGAAGAACTGGAAGCCAATGAAAAATTTCTAGGTCAAAGAAAAAGGGATTTATGATTATCAAATAAAGCAAAATCACAGACTGTGAGCTTAATCATAGAATCGTTAAGGTTGGAAAGGACCTCTAGAGGTTATGTAGTCCAACCCCCCTACACATGCAGGGTCACCTAGAGCACGTGGCACAGGGTGGCATCCAAGTGGGTTTT